GCTAGAAGGCCGTCTCGAGTGCCCCAAAGTGCTCCACCAACGGTGGGCAAATACGCCTGGGCAAGGAATGCAATGCAGCTGTGGAGAATGGGTGGTCCCGAGGATCAGCCTTTTGAAGGGGCGAATCGACGAAGCAAGGGAAGTCGACCGCCGGTATCCGACGGCCACCTGGCACAGTAAGTGGCCCTGCACAAATCGTTGGCCAGGCGAAGCAAAATCTATGAGACCCGGATCGCGGAGTTTCCGAATTTGAGTCTATTTTCGTGGCCAACGACTGCATCTCACGACTCATCGAGCTGCAGGTGGCTGTATCTGAAGAGATAGCTTTCGCCACTTGTCAGGTCAGGTCAAGCTGGCTGCTCAATGTCGTCACATCTAGAGGCGAGCCAGCATCATAACCCACGATGCTCATAGACTTTTGCTGCACGGCTTGCCTGGCCACTGACAAAAAGAAATCATCTTGCCTCTTTGCCATCCATAACAGCCGCCGTGACCATGCAACCTACGCAATGATTTGCCCACGGCGTACCCATCTCCTGCAGCAGTCCACTCTCCATTAGATGCTGGTCGTTCCTGGACCAATAGCTCTCCCAAGCTCATCTACTCAAACCAAGCAGTTCAGAGATCTATATCGTCACCAGCTGAACGATTCCCACGACCCAACAGAATTCTGTGTTCCCAGCGTTGCTACAATCGATGTCGAAGACCCTTTCCCGTATACGTACGACCTGTAGCACGTTGGCTTGTGTTCTCACTATCGACATCCTTTTTTGACTAAGTCCCGCAAGCGCTTACGGAGCACAAACACTCATGCTGATGTTGAGATGGTGTGAGCTGAAGCTTACTGATTTCCGTGATCTTCATATTTAGATTAGGGGTATGGTGAAGTGCAGGGGTTTGCATGTTTTTGGCATATATTTTGTCATCAGCAGCGAGGTTACATTTTCTGAGCAGTCACGCCTGCGATCAACGCTGATTGCAGGGGAGTATGGTGAAGGCTTTACTTATCCGCGCAATGCTAATAACATGTCAAGATTCATGTAAGGCGTAAAATCTTAGCAGAAGCAGTAGTAGTCATCGTAATCACATGGCCTGTGAAGACTCAATTAAGTATCATGATCAAAAAAGACTATCCATCCTTAAACGGCCAAACCCTCGCCGACTCCCCTCCCTCCCACTTCGTCTTCCCTCCACCATCCAAAAACCTCCCCCTAGCCCCTTCCAACCTTTTTGCCATAGCATCATACTCCCCCGGCTCCACCGCCCCATCCCACCCCTCATAAGCCCCAAGCTCGTCAAGAACCCTTGCCTTGCGCTCAACATGTCTGTCCCACTTCTCCAAAGCATCTCTCAGCTGCGTCAGCTCGTCTTCCGAATAGCTGAGCGGACAAGGCGCGTTCTGGCCCATGACTTTCCTCCACGTCTCCGGCTCCACGAGCTGCGCTAATAAGTTTTGAAGATGGACCTCTCCATCGTCGAAGACAGCCCCAGCAGCATCCATGATCTGACCAGCCAAAGTGTCGCGATATCCCAACACACTTGACAAATTCGGGTCCTGCTTCATTGCGAAGATCCGATAAAGTCCCCAGAGTGATTGTGCCAGATGTAACTCCCTCGCCTGTTTCTTCGCTTCTTTGTCCATGTCTTCAAAATTTCTTGGCAGTTGTGGTAGCGTGAGGCCGGGGAGTTTTGGGCCGGAGTAGTCGAGAAGAGATGGGTAGGTGATGTGGAGGAATGCGGGACTGAGATTGGCGCACTGCCAGTCGATTATGCTGGTTATCTGTGTGGGGCGAGATGGGTGCACGAAAATATTGTGGGTGTGGAGGTCGGTGTGCCAGAGAGTGGAGGCGGTGTGTGCGGGGTCTTTGGAGAGGAGGAATGGGAGGACGAGGGCGTAGTCTTCGAGGACTGATATTTTGCGGGATATGGAAGAGCGGTAGCTGTTAGCACTATTGAAAATGCTTTGTTGACGATCTGGTGGGGAGATGGGGAAGGCTCTGAGACATGCAGTTTCTCGTTGTATGGTGGCGGTTAGGACGTCTTGCGGCGACCTCCCTGTGCAAAGGTAGGTCAGTCAGAGTGCTGGGGCTTGTGGTACACGAGGTGAGTTCTTACATGGACCGCGATCAACATCAACCTCTCCTCTCCTATCGTCAACCCAATCCCGGCTCGTCGTCGGTCCAACACTGAACGTATCGTCGACTTCCGTACCCTTGATATCTGGAATATCTCTCGAAAAATAAATTGACCCATAGTACGGAAATTTCGCCTTCGACAACCGTACCGAATACGTCGCCAACTGCCTCACAATCTCAGTCTTCTCCTTCCCTGTAAGTTCGTCCCAGACATGACCAAGCTCGATGCCACCGCACTTCTCCATGATGATGATGTACTCGGCACCAACGTCGTTGCTTTTTGCTTGAGTGTTGTACGCGAGCACTTTGGGCACGGGAATATTCAGTCGATTCCTGACCTACAGAACAAATTAGTCGCATCATGCTATCTCCAGTCCAAGGGATCATACGTAATCCATAGTCGCCACCTCGGAAGCAGTCGTATAATAAGGCCTTCCTGCGTTCGGATTCGGCAGCTTCGCGATGACTTCGCGTCCATCTTGCATTTCCACGAGTAAAGTCTTATTGAAGTTGCCTTCTGGCAATTTGGTCATATTTACACATTTTTCTCCTGGTCCTAGGGCCTTTTCGGCGGCGTGGATGAGGGACGAGATGTTGAATTTCAGGTAGCGACGCTGGAGCTGGGAAGGCTCGTTCCAGAGCCAGCGCTGGGCTTTATAGGCGAATATATCGGACTCGGAGACATCAGTGATGGTTGAAATTGATTTTTCGCTGTCGAGTGCAGATTTGCTATGGGTTTTGAAATCCCAATCATTTCTTGTCAAACGTAGAGCTGTGACGCTATAACACCGTTGAACGGTCATAAATTGAACGGGGCTGTTCAGGAAATTATGAATCGTAGCGTGTTGATGGCGCGCTCGCAAGTTAGGCTGGGAGTGCAAGATGAATGCACAGTTTGACAGATGAATCGAGGTGCCTATCTGGCGTGGAGTGTTGGATATGGGCAACAGCATGAAGAGTTAGATGCAAAATGACTTCAGTTGCACTTTTACTAAAAACGTGATTCTGTTTGGGAGAAGCACATGAGATGCCGCGCTGCAGATTTTGCCGACCGGTGAGGCGAAGCACCTTCCACCCGCATCTACCTCGCTTGTTCCCTGGGGCCTAGAATCACTCTATAGTTTCTGCCTTACAATTGTGCACTACGCCACAGTCGCGATATTGAGTCGCAGTACCTGAAATTACATCACCGAAGTATCGCAAATACATTTCCAAACTCGAGGACTACCTAGGCAACGCCATTTCTAGATTCAGGATGTTAAGTCGTATGAAGACCCATTGCTCGCTGCCAACCAGCTAACAAGGCTGAACACAAAGTATATGTACGCTCCCAAGGCAAGAAAGACGCACGAACGGGGCTGAGTCGACATGGCACTGCATTTGATGGCCTTGCGACACGCTACTCGAGAGAATAAGAGGGCACATGCATCCTCCAATTTCATGACTTGTTATATCTATTTCCCATTTACCTCACTCCAAATGGCCGTGGGTAGACTTCAGGCCGCACTGGCCGCCGCAACAAACGAGGTGACGGTGGCTGCAGCGAATCTCAATTTTGATTTCACTCTGGTCAAGTACGAAGCACCCAAAGAATACCAGCCACTAGGGGGCATGCTATCAGCAAGACGCAAAGACAACGCAGAGACTGGCTCAAGCCATAAATTGGCTCGGCAATTGGGCGCGCTCTTCGAGGGCCTCTGTCCTACAGCACCAAAACTTCTGGAGGCGTATGGTAAGCGGGCTTCGGAGATCGCCAAAACCTCAGCCAAAGCTTCGGAACCGTACATCGGGACTCTTTTTGGTGACTTCACAGGGATTGATGGAACATCAATATGGGCCGCGGCTACCTCGTCGGACTCCGCCCTATATGTCCACTTGTTAGCTAGCCTCCTGGCTCGCATGTGGAGCGCTCAGGAGGCCACCGCGATATGGACTGAACTGGTAGCAGAGCGCAGAAAGGACATCGCAAACAAAGTGGATAGGGGCGAACCAGTGAAGATCTCACTTGCAGCTGCTGCGGGTCAAGATATCACCCGTTCTCAACTCGCCGCCTGGGATACCAGTGCGAGAGCATGGCTTCGCACAGCCGATGGAGTTTCCGAACGCAAACAAAAGCAACTTGAGTTGATACTCAAGAACACTAGTCTTCCCGTTATCGGAGACTCCACGGTATTCCCTGGCGTTATCAGTACCTGGGCAACAGCTGTCGAAACCATGGAAAAGCTTATCACGGGCATGCCACAGGCTGTTCGTGACGGCGCATCGCTCATAGGACTATCTGCATGGCACTTATACCCTGACATGGGCGTGTTCAGTCCTGAGGTCAAAGAGATCAGGATGAACGATCCACTTGTTGCTGCTGGGGGTTTTCTGTCGATTGGTCTAGCAACTACACCTCGCACCTCTGATGAATCTAGCGGCGTACATTGGTCTCTATCGTTAGCACAACTTCGGTTCTACGGAAGGCCAGTCAAAGTGCAGCGAGCTTTAGAGAACGGAGCCAGGATCACCTTTCAGCAGCTCAACCTCGTTATACTTGGCGTATTACTCTCCGAGTGGCGGATGAACGAGTCTCAAGGTGACCTTGCTGCCAAGGCGATCATCTCGTTGACAGAGTACATAAAACACGGTGAGCAAGGGTCGAGAATGGAAAAGAGGTTATTGAACCTGCTCCAAGACAGCGCCATTGCTTACTCTCGACGGAAATCCGGCGATGAAACTCTAAACAACAAACTAATCCATTTGGGTCGCAGGAGAGCCCAACGACTTGTCCATGGTTCCAGTCTTCCGCCGCAGTATGTAATCTCTCCCTCGTTCTTTGGATTGTTGGATTCGGCAACGTTTATCAAAGCATTGCGAGATTCGAATTCGCGGATTCGGTTTTTGCGTCATGTTGCAACCTCTCTGTATGGCAAAACAACCCCTGCAGATGCTTTCATTATTCGCTATACAGGGGACTTGCCGAAGAGCCGCCACTCGTCTCACGCGCATGACACAGGGTGTCTCAGTAGTTTAGGAGAAGAGAAAGATGATAAGAATCCCATCGGCCACAAAACTTCCATCTACAAAATCGACCCTCGTGCACCAGCCCACGAATCCCTACGGACATCCACAGTTGTCGAAGTTACAATGCATGATCGTGAGTTTGAGTTGCTATCAGATATCGAAATGCAAAATAGCACATATGCATTCATTGCACACTCCGACCAATATTCGGCATCTGAGTCTGGAACTGATACGATTGGATTTGGGGAATATGAAGAAGGATGTGTTTATGGAAAATTTTCCTATGCAACCGCTTCTCCTACTAACTTCAGCGGGTTACCAGACCTTTTATATCCCGCGCACCACAGATGGACATTGGGTCATATTCCCTCAAACGACTCACTGTTGGACGGAGAGTTGGTAACATTCGACGCGCACGGGAAGTTCAAGTCATGGCCAGATTGCCTGCAAATCACCGGAGCGCAGGATCCTGTCGCGTATACTTATCATGTGGCCTTGGGAGATGAAACGGAAGCGGCACTGTTCACACGGCGAAAGAAGTCTGAACAACTGCCCGATCGGCCAATCGACCTTGAAGACTTGCTTTGGTGCTTGGAACATGATATCATAGATTCGGCTACGCTTCTGAGACAGTTGTGCTCTCTGCACCCTTCGAACAATTACAGACTCTTGGAGACTTTAGGAATATTCGCCGCTGTAGCGATGGTTTACGATGATCTACCGGACATGACAATTGATGTAGGTGTTCTAGAGAGGCCTATTGCTGAGACACGATGTGCTCGAGATCTACACCCAAAAACCCGGTTGCCTCAGGATACCCGCATTATAACATGCACGCAGAATACTGCATTTGCGATAATTGCCTACTTTGAGTCAGGTATACATGATGTAGATCCAAAACAACTAGAGAGCGTAATCGCACTGTCTGCTGCCGACTCGCTGTTCGTTAGCCAGCAAGTAAGCAAGCCCATTGATCCCCTTGACCTATGGAACTAAAAACTTGTAGTTGCTCGAAGACCCGTACAAATCCATACCCTGCTCCACAGGCATCCGTCGAATACTCGGCAATGTGGGCAAGCCGGGAGTCACCTTCCTATTACCTCCTCAAGAACCAATGACACGCGATGTCAGTACCAGCAGCTGGAAGCTAAATTCGTATCGCCCATTTGATGGAAGTACTTCTCGGTCCTTCGAGAGCACATCTTTACATCTCTCTTTCACAGAATACCACGTTCCACTGTTCGATGGATCTCGAGGTGCACATGACAACCAAATATCCTTCCTGGAATCTGTAATCTCCGTGAGAGAGAGAGGAGATTGGGTTGCTGACGTAGACCCTTTGCCATTGTTAATTTCAAGAGGATCAAGTCTCCGCAGGCTCGAGGGGCAAGCCATATGCCAGCATTCGAAAGGATCAAATGCGAACCAAGACATAATTGCGGTCGATAGCTGGGATGAGCTGCTCGATAAGCCAGACGGAGTTTTCGTTGTTCGTGTAGGAAACAATTGGATTGCGAGACTAGCCCTGACGCTGGTGGCATATCAGCGCTTGCAACAGACTGCTTCAAAATTTGCGGTAACAGTCTGCCCAGCTGACGTCTGCTGGACTTGCACTCAGCAATCCTTTGAGCATCATGCATTCATATTTTGAGATATAGATGCTGCCTGTAGTTTATTAGCAACGAACTTGTATTTCCAGTCTTTACTTGTGCTGCTCTTCTTTGTCACAGGTAATGTAGACTGAAAGTTGACACTCGAAATAAGTCAAGACACAACACATGCATGTCTTGTATCGAAAACAGGAAGAGGGATTGCATTTCCCAGATATTCGTCGGACATAAATCAGCTAGGGTAGGTGGGAGTGACACAGCCAACTTCGGGACCGTGGTCTCGGCCGAGTCGTATATAGCTCGAGAGTTTATACTACGCCTGGGCTGACTGAACTTGTAATTTAGAGCGGATGGTCCGCCCAGTAAAGGCGGCGCTAGGATCGTCGGACGGCAAGGAAGTTCTTGCGGAGATAACCGATGACCGCAGTCCAAGGAGACAACAAGAGCATGCTATTTCATCTACAACATGATTTTTGGTAATTATTCCGACTCCACAAGACTCACTTTACTGCAGAATACGTCCAAAATTTCGACATACAGATTCCACGCGCCGTTTATCAGGGTTTGTAATATTGATTTCTCGGTCCTACTTCGATGTTCGGTTCGGCCCCACGAAAGCGGACGGTCGGATATCAGGTGTAGCAGCCGATTTAAGACTGTTATCTGGATTAGCAATACATACAATTGCGCACCAACTCGGATCAAACGGTTAGCAGAATGACGCGGTCAAGCAGCGTGGAAGATAGTGTACGGCCACATAAACCACCCTGTTGGTCCCTACCAGGCTTAGGTTGTTGGCCGATCAAATGACCACTTTACAATCTTGTATCTCAAGACACATCTGCACAACATCCGTCACAGACTAGCTCGAAATCCAATGGGAAAAGATGTTGAGTCCGGCCACTCGGGTCGCATTTCACACTTTCAACGGGTCCTCCATCAAGGCGTCCTCAACGATGATATTATCAACCATGTCTACAGAGGCTCAGGGACCGAAAACGACCCATTTCTGGTGACTTGGATCGAGAACGATCCAGTCGATCCAATCAACTACCCAGCCAGTCTCAAATGGGGCATTACTGTGCTCGTAGGCTTCGCTACATTGGCAGTGGCTTTTGTCTCTTCGGCATACTCTGGTGGCATAGCCGAGATCATGCAAGAGTTTAAGACGGTGCAAATTATTGCTACCTTGGGAATTTCGTTGTATGTGATGGGATTTGCCATTGGTCCATTGATCTGGGCTCCAATGAGTGGTGAGTCGTTCGCAACCAAGATGGCTTAGAGGCAAGTCACTGATACCTGACAGAAATGTACGGCCGCCAGTACCTATTCTGCAGCACTTACATTATATTCACTGTTTTCAATGCTGGCGCAGCCGGCTCGCAGAACATCGAGACTTTGGTTATCCTGAGATTTCTGGCCGGCGCATTTGGCTCATCACCGTTGACCAACGCTGGTGGTGTTATTGCGGATATGTTCTCTGCCTCCCAACGAGGTGTTGCAATGACCATCTTTGCTACAGCTCCATTCTTTGGGCCTGCCCTTGGGCCAATCAGTGAGTGATTCTGGCACATTTCCGCTTCAGTCCACGCGACATGTCACTAACATCTGTCAGTTGGCGGATTCGTTTGCCAGAACGTTGGCTGGCGCTGGAACCAAGGCGTCATGGCAATCTTCACTGGAGTTTTGTGGTTTATCTGCACGATTCTCGTTCCCGAAACCTACGCTCCTGTGCTTCTAAGCAAGCGTGCCAAAGCCCTATCAAAAAAGACTGGACTGGTCTACATGAGCAAAGCAGACGTTGAACAGGGCACGAAATCCATCGGATCAGTGTATAAGACTGCTCTTACCCGACCCTGGGTTCTACTTTTCTGCGAACCCATCGTTCTTCTGTTCTCCATCTATATGGCCATTATCTATGGAACGCTCTACATGCTATTCGGCGCCTTTCCCATTGTCTTTCAGCGGGGTCGCGGATGGTCCCAGGGTATTGGCGGTCTCTCCTTCATTGGTGTCGCTGTTGGTATGCCTATCGCCGTCGTATACTGCATTTGGGACAACAAACGATACAACAGAGCCATCGAAGCTTCGAAGTCTGGTGTTGCTGAACCAGAGGCTCGACTTCCGCCAGCATTCATCGGATCCATCGCCATACCCATTGGAATGTTCTGGTTTGCGTGGACGAACCAGCCGAGCATTCATTGGATTGTTAGTATCATGGCTGGTGCTCCGTTCGGGTTTGGTATGGCGGTGGTCTTCCTTTCGGTCATGAACTACCTTGTCGACTCCTATCTGATTTATGCTGCGTCGGTGCTGGCCGCCAGTTCTGTGCTACGCTCACTATTTGGCGCAGCTTTCCCGCTTTTCACAAGCTATATGTACGCTGACCTTGGTATACACTGGGCGTCGTCGATTCCCGCGTTTTTAGCACTAGCGTGTGTTCCTTTTCCTTTCCTGTTCTACAGGTACGGTGCTGTCATTCGCAAGCGCTGCAAGTTTGCTGCAGATGCTGCAGTGTTATTAGAGAAGATGCAGCGGACTAGTTAGAAGGTCTCGTATAATTCATGTATAGACAATCCGTAGGTAGATAGACAGTCTCTAGATGGTGAAATATTGATGCTTCAGATTTTGAAGATGTCGAAAGTGAGCTATACAGTGGTTTCCAATTTTCCTATGTGCAGGGATCATTGCCTAATATACCTACGCGACCGTGATTACTGTGCCGCCCTGGCACCTTCAGGTATGCAGGTTGTGTGGCACAGCCCATCGTCAATTTTTCGCCCCAGCTTTTATCTCTCACACTCCAATCGAGTTCCACTATCACCATTCCGTCCAGTTCAATTGACGAGCTGCTGCTGCAGATCGTCGCCGGCAAACAAGCTGTGCCAACCTGAAAGTCTCCTTAAAACAGCTCATTCAGGTCGATGGCTGCCAGTTACCCTGACCCTAGGTCATTAAACCCACAAGAAATCCGGTTGCTGGAAATTTACCCTTCTACAATTGCTCATGATGACCTTGAATGCCGGCTCTTTCGCATTACTTTGGATTCGACTCATGCGCACCCTTACGAGGCTCTTTCGTACACATGGGGCGATCAGGTAATGAGGACGGACATTGTCTGCAATGACCAACGCGTTTCGATAACATCCAATCTGTCCGTTGCCTTGAAAAAACTACGTCTTCAGCATAAATCTCGCTTCATCTGGGCCGACGGAATCTGTATCAATCAAGATGACTCCTCGGACAAAAATTGTCAGATTCCTCTCATGGGCAAAATCTACTCTATTGCCGACAGAGTCGTCGTGTGGCTGGGGGATTATGAACTTTGCCAATCTTTACAAGACGTAAAAACCGTGGGGCTCATCGCGGAAGGATTTAGAATGAACAGTGAAGAAGGTGGAATCCATGACATCAGCTTGAAAGAATACAGTAAAATGGTAGTACCGAACGAATACACTGGCGGAGTAACACAAGAATTTCTGAAGCATTTATATGCAAGAGGTTGGTTTTCTCGGGTTTGGTGCATCCAGGAGATCGCATTGGCTCGAGATGCAGTGATGCTTTGTGGGAGAGCTTGAACTATCGTGGGTGGACGTTGGTCAAATAGCAACATGGCTATCACAGATTCAGCCTGTAAGAGCCTTGGAGTTCGACGAGAGTGCATTTTATGCAGATATCGACAACGAAAATGCGGACAGAATGTATCAAATCCAACGAAAGCGACAAGGCCTTCTCGAAACACTGGATGATTGCCGCTCCTTTCAAGCGACAGATCCTCGAGACAAAGTCTATGGAATTCTCGCCTTGGTCGAGCCAATAGAAGAAGCCAGTGATCTGTGCGTAGACTACAACAAGGATGTGGGTGAAGTCTATGCCGATGTGGTCATTGCGATTTTAAGACGACACTCAGACCTCAATATTCTCGCTTACATCGATCACGGCTCCGAGTATCGCAGTGACGGTAGTTTTACATCCTGGTCTCCTCAATGGAATAACACAAACGCCGGTTTGAGATATTTCCCAGCTTCCGGCTCGCCGTTGAGCGCCTGTCGGAGCACACATCTCAAATCAGTGGATACGTCTGATGTAAATTCGCAGTATCTTAGGCTGAATGGGTCGATATATAGCAGTGTCACCACTGTTCAGGCACAAATGGGTATGGATGCCATGAAGAACCACTGCAAACATCCGTTCTACAATATTCTTACCGCCGTATTGGGCCATCAATCTGATGACGACTACACAATCAGGCGGACGCTAGCTCGGACCTTGACTGCGGGATGCAACAGTGAGATGGACGACATCATCACTGCAAGCGAAGAGAAAAAACGACTTTTCTACGTTAGCTTTGAGCTCTTCATTTATTGTATGGATGAGGGATTGAATTTCTTGGAGCTGAGGAAGTCGGTGCTAACAGGTGAGAGCTTCTACGACGAAGCAGAGATAGTATGCTTAGAGCGAAGATTTTTCCAGCTGTCGAACGGAAAGTTTGGGATTGGGCCTGCTTGTATGCGGGTTGGGGACGTAGTCGTTGTGCTGTTTGGCGGCGACGCGCCGTACGTCCTTCGACCATGCGGAAGATCTTATCTCCTCATGGGCCAAGCATACGTTGATGAATTGATGAATGGAGAGCTTATGGACGAGTTGGATGCAGGACGAGTACAAGAACGACAGTTTGTGCTGGTGTGATCTTTGTTTCGGCAATGTCTTAGAATTATATTGCGAAATTTCTTGGATGCCACACTCACCGAAAGTCTGCTATACCGCATCAATTTTCGCCTAACTCATAGCTTAGTCCACAAAATTAAATTGATTTCGATTCACGTATGATACTCCATCCGTGCGTCACATGATACAATAAGTCCAGCATTGGAATAGTCTTTGCGTCATTTATTTGCCAAATCTGCGCCTCTTTCACATACGACCATAGGACGATGAGAGCAAGGCTTCCCGTTCGCTCAGCCATATTTAAGCATCGTACCGGAGGGTTAGTAGTTAAGTGGGTGACCATTAGCGAATCTCCTCTGTTGTATGTTTTTGAATTTTTTTTGTGCTAAATTTCGATTTCTATTCAGTGTGTGGAGAAAGGTGGAGCAAGATTGTGGGGAGATCCTTCCTGCACCAGAGGACCTAAAATGATGTATGGCCCACGTAAACATGACCTTCTACATATTTATTTCAGCATTATCGCGATGATGCAAGCCTCGTCAGAGAGGACTAGCTGTCTCATAACCACTATGTGCCTACCTTTTGGGTGTGATGCTTCGGCATGATCTGAATTGCTGCTACCGAAGAAATAATCAGCACCGAGTACAACAGCAAGAGGTGCAACTGGCTAGGGCTGTCGAATTTACGCCGAGTCAAGCTGGGGAAGCGATAGCCTACCGGATTTACACGATGGATGTACTGGTTGAAACGCCTCCGTGAGACCCAAGAGGAGGCACGAGAAGTTGAGAAGACGCGTCTTGAAGAGTTCACGTCTATTGCTATGGCAAGAATAGTCGGCAACGTGCAGGAACAGAATGCGGGAGTCCTTCGAGCCTACCATAGCGGCGGGCCAGGTTTGTATCATGATATGCATTTAGAATATTTAGCTAGGGAGTGCCCAGCTCAAAGAGTTGATTGAAATGATGATTATATCCCGCTTCATAGAGAAGCGTAGCACGCTTAGCGTTATAGCCCGAAAGTCAATCTTGCTACTTCCCGAAAGTTAATCTTGCTATACCCTCAAAGTGAATTTCCACACGTCTACCCTCCAATCTTGCAGTAATCTTTTAGGTTATTTTTGTAAAGTTCCTAAGTGTTGTTCCTGCGATATATTTAGAAATTACCCTGAAAGTCTTTCTCCACAAATCCATAAAGTAAATCTTACAAGATCCCGCAAAGCATTTTCCCACAAATACAGGAACTCAATCTTATGAGTTCCCGCAAAGTGAAATTCCCCACTATCTGTACCATTTTTAGAAATTTACCCTGAAAGTCTGCCCCTCCGCACTGCCAGGAAGTATATCTCGCAAAGACACCCGAAAGCAAATCTTCAACTACAAACTGGCTCCCACAAACTCAAAGCTTTTACCACAGACCCCGCGCTGCGCCACGTACCTAGGTAATTGCAAAACGCGCGCCACTAACCGCGTCGACATGTGAAGTTCTCATCACACCATTCCAGACACAATTTCAAATCAAGTTACAACAGAACATCCCAATTCCTCACCCTGGACACGACTACTTCGGGCGTATCGAATACTCAAAACCCAATCTACCTCGCCAAACCCGCAGCCGTGCTCGCGCGCCCGATAATCTTTCCACACAAACACTATGCACGCAAAGTATTCTCTCCCCACTGTCCCTCAACAAGCACCCACCACCTACTCTCCACTGCCCGCAACCATCCACGCTGAAGAATTAAAGCAGCGCGCCATCTTAATCCAACCTACCGGGTTGGTTGAGTAGAACGTCCCCTGGCATCACGCTAGCGCCGCGCTAGCCCGGTCCCGCACTTTAGCAACGCTTTCCGCTCAACGGCGCATGTCACACCACCATGGCTGCATACGAGATCATCGAGCGGGACGAAGCGGGGATCGAGACGGGGCGGTATGTTTCGTCAGGGAAGGGAAGTAGGGTTGATGTAGTTGTGCGTCGTCACGTGTGGAGTTTGTTTCAGGTGTGCTAATGTGTGGAGTAGAAGCCAGCAGAGAGAAAGAGCTATGTGCAGCAGGTGTTTGATGTGTTTCTGCCTGCGGGGTATCCGCAGAGTGTGAGTGGGGATTATATCCAGTAAGTAGTTTGCTCGATGGATTGGGCTGGGCGAATCGTAGGGCTAACAAAGATAGGTATCAGGTTTATGTAAGCGGAGCCAGGACTATCATTGATTTCATGAGTCTGTGCAAGACTGAGGGGAAGTAGGACTCGTTGCAAGCTTTCTCGTCGTCGATTGCTGGAATGCTCGCTTCGCGTGCGGTGCTTGAAGGTACGTTTCTAGCCCTGCATCTCCATCTCCTTCTCGTATTCTTCGCAGAATCCCAGCGTTCAGGTCATCTTGATGCAGAAGACACATTGCGGCTGCAGAATCTCGTCCCGAGTGTCTACGCAGCATCTATTGGAGATCAACGGCACATGTCCTCCCACCAATCCCGCTGTAAGCACTAATACGCGACACAGGCGTTGGCGTGGGAGATTCGAGTGCCTCGCCTACTGCTGCACTGCTACTCTCCGTGCTTCAAGAGTCTATGGGACGAATTGCGACGATACTGTTTGCGCATAGGCTAGGCACCGCGCTAGAGCCTGAGTGCAAGATGTACCGGCTTGCGGCCGACGTCTTTAACGATACGGCTATGATACTCGACTGTCTCTCGCCCGCATTTCCAAAGCCGTTCCGTGTACTGGTTCTCAGCTTCTCAAGCGTACTACGCTCGCTGTGCGGTGTGTGTGCTGGGAGCGCCAAGGCCAGTCTGAGCGCCCATTTCGCCAGAAAAGGCAACCTTGGGGAGGTTAATGCTGTAAGTGTTCCTTCAGTTTGTCCTAGCCCTACCACTGCCGACCAGAACCTGTTTGCATGTTTTACTGTTGTTTCTTGTTGAGAATGAAATCGTGGGGTATGATGCTTTGCATTGATGAAGTCCAGATTAAATGGCCAGGGTAGCGCAACACGTGCAGCACATCACCCATATGAATCCCAATGTTGACTTTGACATAGAAGGACTCGAGCCAGGAAACGGTCATATCGCTACTTGGAATGCTAGTAAGTACTTCTGGTCCTAATTCTTCCACCTCTTAGCATGACCACATGTGGGGTAAGGTTGCAAAGTGCTCCGACCCCGATCCAATGTCGGAGCTCGTGCTCGCATACTCGATACGGCCGATGCATATTGATGCCTCAAACAATTGTCGTGTTGCCTTCATTGTCAGTTGGTGAACCGACCATGCTAACTGTCGAACACTCTAGGCCGGGAGTGTTGTTGTTTCCTGGGTTTCCACACCGATCACGACATGGTCAGTCCTTATCGCGTTGCTGTCAATTCATCTCGCGACCAATTACGCGGCTGTCAAAGCTGTCAGCATGCGCTGCCTTAATAGGCAACGAGCCAATATCGTGTTCGGGAACTTGATGCACCACGGCTCAGTTCTCACTCCAACAGAGGTGTCGCAGCGCGAACGCATCTTCGAGCGAGATGGCGTGCTCCGTTGGGTCGATGATTGTGTGATAGGACACTGCACAATAGGTGTGCCTCTTGGAGTGCTCCTGGCCAGCATGAGCCAACGCTACAGACGAACCGGATCGTTGGAACTGAGCGACATAAATCTGCCGGACTTGATGGACATATTTGCGGACCAAAAATATGTCCTATGGTTCACGGACAGCGAATACGAAGCCATTGTTGTGCTTAAAGAAGGTTGCACTCCGATTGATCAGCTCAAAGCATGGGCACACGCTCTATTGTTTGCTCAGGACTTACGAAACCCTGTGCGTAGGCCAAAGGATGGTGATACAAGCCCAAGGCTGAGGCGGGCAGATGCTCTGCGACGCACAATAGGTGAAGCAGACAAGCTGTTCGCCAAGTACACCGCATTGCTGAGGCAAGAGGGCTGGGATCTAGATGTCGCTGCTCTGGAAACGCGAGCTGGTGTACGGTCACAGATTGGCGTCGACCAGGGAAGCTGAAACCCACCTTGCGTGCCTTAGCGAAGAGTCAGTCCATTCAATGAAGACGACGTGTCTACCTCGGTGCGCACACTATGTGAATATGACCAGGAGCACTTGTTATGATTTGCGATCGGTGGGGATACAGCACTGTTGGCCATTCTTTTGATCGTGGAACAAGCATCAGGGTGTTGGTGACACTCCAAGCCCTTCACGGCCGTAGATTGATCCGCAGCAGCGATTGCCCCTGCTAGTATCTCGTCTGTGACGGTAAAACGGCGAGGTCTGTTTTGCATATGCTCGTTTTCCTCCCGAAACTGCTTGAGTGGGGCTACGGTCCACACACCAGACCAGGATTGAGGTTCAAATGTCACGTTTCAGCTCTTACCGGGTGACCAGCTGTCCCACGACCATATACTAACATCCATAAGCTTATCTTTGTGCGATGGGACAAGAGCATTAGGGACTGTGCTGGAGAGTTGCAGTCGGGCCGGCAAGCAGCACCTTCCTAACCCAGCAACTTGGTCGTGGGTCCTGGTAGTCAGAGAAGGAAACTGGGGAGCACGCGAAGACGTTCTCTACATTTCTGAGTCCTATCTGCGTAAGGATCGGTTGAAGAGACATTATCAAAGTGTTTACTTAGAGTGGGGTGTGCAGAGTGATGCCAAGTCACAATAATTGTGCTTCATCTTCATGGGCCGACTCTGGTGTGGGATGCGGCTAAAAGACCACCCCACGAAGCGGTGAAGCGGGTGAATCGCACGGCGATGCGATGGATCCACATCTGCGTCATGTTGCGGAACCTGCTGCACCGAGCTTTGCGTGGGCGACTCAAATTTGCTGAAAGTTTTCCGTTGACGTGGGCTTATGCTGAGTCGCGAGCCGCTTATTCTCGGAAAGTTTCTGACCTGGGACTTCTAGAAGGCGCCGCATTCAGCCTCCCGAGGTACGACCAGGTTGAGCGTGTTGAACACGGCGCATCGGAGGCACTCAACAGCGGACACGGTCACACTATAACTTATGCGTACGAATCTGAAGTGGATAGGCTCGGTTCCCGTTGCACCAAATCATGCCGTGGATGGGAGATTGGAGGAAAAGATCGACGAGATCGCCTTTCTGCCTGAACTAGATGGATTCAGGTAACCTTCTGGAAGGCTCGAATCGTTCTGGAAGATTTGGTAATGCACGGTACGCGTCGATGGACAGGGGAGTGCGCGGAGGATCACGGCGGGAAGCGCTGAGTGAAACGCGAGCACTCTCGATGCCCACATGACCCTGTAGCAGCGCATTGCTGGGTGAGTAGCGCGAAAGTATCATCAGGAGAGGCTTGCGTGAACATTTATCGATGGCGCTCACACAGAGGAACGCTAGCCCAAAGAACGCACAACGTTTGCTTCGCTGTTGCGCAGGCGCTGTGGAGCGCTGTGGATCTGCATGATGCTTGAGTGCAGCGACGACAATTCGTTACGGTAACTTATCGAAGAAGCCCCAAGCGCAGGCGTCCGGCATTCTGTCCCCAGCGTTAAGGCGAGGCCAAGAGGGTGGCCGTGCGCGTCGCCTGCAGCAGGAGGCCAGGATGATTGGGCACAAACGGCCGATTAGAGCAGATGGAGAGCTGGCGTCTGAACACTTGAAGGACAAGGTGACATCTGAGGAAGAGTGCGCAACGACACAGCGCTTCAGAGCGAGATTGTTGTCTTTGACAGAGGCGTGTGGCGGGCGTTGTGATGTCACGCATCGCGATGACAGACAAAGCATGCCGATATGGCGGTTCAAGGCGATCGGCAGGCTTTTCTTTGTCGCAGCCAGAGTCATAGGGCGGATTAGTGAGCCGTCTGTCTTTGGCCGGCCTGTTTGCGGCGAGGGCACGCTCCGCAGCGTTGCAGCTGGCTGGACTGTTGGGAATGGGAACAGGTGCTGCAGCGAGACAGGACGTGACGGCGGACGTCTATCGTAGACGGCAGCAGGAAGTACACAGGCTGGAGTCGTTGTTGTCAGCCCGGGGTGCGGGCCAGAGATGCTGCGCGGACTGGTCAGTAGACGGCCAGATGGGGCTAGTGGGCCAAGGACTCTGATTCAGTAAGCGTCCGAACAAGTGCCGTCCCTCGGGGTCTGGCATGCGAATGACTGAGATACTGTAGCGACCGAGCGCGCTGAGCGTGCATGGTGGTGACACGGCGCCCTGGCTGGACCGAGAAGTGGGTGGAGTCTGGCGTGATGGTTGCTGGAGAGACTTTTGTCACGGTGAAGTGCAGCGTACAGCACTGGCGGCACCCACGGCGACTGGCGATATGTCCCAGGCGGCGGTGCATTGCCATTGCGACATGGCTCTGACAGCGACGAGGGGAGGGGTTCGCTGCAGTGGCAAACTCGCAGGGGAGCGGGTTTCGGGGCTGTGCGCTAATTTCTTCGAGAAGGCACGCGGCCAATAGGGCAGACACGCCGCTTTTAGGCGGGCAGGAGCGATGCGGCCAGCAGCAGCCAGCATGAGGACTCCGCCGGACAAGGGCCAGGGCTCCATCCTCTCTCACTCATCGCAAACTCATGTGTGGGCCATAGCGTGCTAACCTAGCGCTGCGCTCAAGCATTGACCCGCGACAAGTGGCCCTCCCTGACTCTGCGGGCTTCTCAAAAGCACTCTGAGCCGCACCGTCCTGCAGCTGCTCTGTCTTAGGATTCCTGACGGCCGACCGCACTGGAGACTGTCTCACCACCTTCGCCCAAACCGACACCGACACGCTCAGCCCTCGCCATCCCATACGCCTACGCCATACACACGCAATCTGGCGCCCTCGCACCTCGCATCTCGCACCTTGCACCTCGCACCTGCCCGACTAGTCGCTGCCGCCCGCCCATTCGCTCTTTCCCTGCCTGCGCCTGCTGCACCCTCCCGCTCACGCCCTGCGACCAAACTCTATATACCTGTGCGACCCTGTGCTGCCTTCTAGAACGCTGCACCACCGCGAACCCGCCTGCTCTGCTATTGATAGGTGCTGATCGCTGATCGCTGCCCGTACGCCGCCCTGCAACCCGCTGTTAGCTGCTACCCAGCCCTCGATGCTGCCGCCATCGGAACGATAATCATCCTCTCCACGTTGCTCTGCCGCCACTAGGTTCACTCGAACCTCGTGCTACCCGTCGTCAAGCTGGCGCAACTCTGCTCCTGCGAGGGATTCGACGAGCAAAGCAGGAAGACCGCCCGCCGCGTCTACAAGCAGTTCTTGAGGAGCGTTATGGTTACACGGAAACACGGCAGCCAAGGCCTCTCGATAAAGACTGCCTCCACCGTCTCCTCCCCCGCCTCATCGCTGGCCGAGTTCGACGCCGACGACGTCAAAATGGCCATGACCGACGTCCAGCCCGCTCCCCTCACCGTCTCAATACCCAAGAACATAGCCAGCCCACAATGCCGGAAGCCAAATCTCTCCGAGATCCTCGCCAACACCGCACCGCCGCCCTACACACTTAGCTCCTTCATGGCCTTCCTCTCGCAGAATCACTGCTTAGAAAACCTCGAATTCACCATGGACGCTTCGCGCTATCGCAAGCACTACTCAAAGATGGTCAACCGCCATCCGGGCAGCGCAATCTCGCCCTTGTCCGACGAGTGCACCTACGTGCTTATGCTCTGGCGTCGCTTGATCGACGCTTACATCAGAGAATCAGGCCCGCGAGAAGTAAGTCGATGGAGCTGATTGTCGTCATAGTCCGCATGACTAACCATCCCAGGTCAATCTTCCTGCTGAAGTCCGTGACAACCTTCTAGGCCTCTCTGAATCATATGTCCCACCACACCCCTCGTCCCTCGACGAGGCTGTGTCTAAGATTTACGAGTTGATGGAGGAGAGCGTGCTGGTCTCGTTCCTCAACTCTGCTAGCCCACAAAGCGCACATCCCACCATGAGCCACGACAACTACGACCCCACCCTCACCCGGTCTTCTACCCGGAGCTACGATGAGCGGACTCTGCTTGCTCGAAGCCAGCAGCCGCATCTTCCTGTCCACCAGCGTGCATCTGCACCTTCATCCCTCACAGCCGGCTTCATGGCCAGCCGTCCCTTCTCACATTCCAGATTCCATTCACAGCCGACCTCATCTGGACCCCATACTACCCGTGTTACATCAGGCTACAACAGTGGCAGTGATGCATTGACGGACGACTCGGGAAGCGGAAGCCCATCTGGCATGAGCGATCCTCTTACACCTCCTGGGACTCCCCCAATGAGCGACTACCACATGTCGGACTACCAACAGGCTTACTACGAGAGTGGCTCAAACAGTGGCACGCCTAGCCCGCGCACGAGTCGCGGCGAGCATAATGGTCTCGCTAGCGCCACAAGGGACAGCTGGAAGCGAGTCAGCAGCAAACTTTGGCCCAAGAAGAAGAGCGGAGGCCAACTCCGCGAAGACGAACCTGGCGTCGTCGAGGGAGGCTTGTTCTAAGCATTACTTTCTCTTGGGTAATCCCCACTCATTTCACATTCACGATGTTCGGAACGCGACACGTTCATGAGCAACCGACTAGAGCGACTCGCATATAGCATTGGGCTGCATACACATCGGCGTCTTCTGAACTTCTCAACTTCGGCATTCATGCGAGGCGAAACGGCGTATTCTTTCAAGACGCAAATCCGGCGCGATTGCGAATCTTCTCAACATCCGACTACTAGACATTTCTGGCGTTTGTAAAAATGCCCCTTCATGGGGGCAAATGGGGCCGCCTATATCCAGACCTGGCCTGGCCCGGCAAAGGCGTTTACCTTGATTTTCTCAAACAGCATCACCCATCGCAAGATGGCACGACCGGTGGGAAAGACGATTTTGTGTATCAATATTCTTATACGTTTCTGGAGAGAACTCCACAGTGGAGCTGTTCATAGCTTGTGGTGGATTGAAGATGAGATAGAACATTGCTTAGCGACAGCGCAAGCAAGAGGCTCAATGAAGCAACCATACCAACTTTTGGTCATCATCCACTCAATCATTCTTCACTCTGCCATATCACACGTGCTAGTCATCATCCACTCAACCGTTCTTCACCTGCACTCTGAATCATTCCTCACGTGACGCTGCACCGCATCCGTCAGGATCTCGATTAATTGCCCTCAAGTCAGCACTAGAACACTTCATCCTTCCTTTCTCCCCAACGCACGCCACACTGCATCTTCGGTACCAGAGTCGTCGTTCTCGGCCCTCCGCCCTACAAGGACCATGCCCGTTCCCAAACGCATAACGCCATGATGACATTTATCAAACACCCGCGTTTCTACTAGTGTTTCGCCAATCTCCACACACAGACACGCAGCGAGTCGAAAAGACAAATAGGCCTTCCACGGCGGAAATCCTTGCAGTGATGGGGGTGATGTGGAGAATTGGGCTGTTGGATGCTCACTGCTGAGTGTGTTGTGTTGTGTTGTGTTGCGTTGTGTTGGGAAGAAGGGTTTGTGCGTTCGGTCAAGGCCGAAACTGCGAAGACTGGATAAAGGCACGTGCTTGGGGTATCCCTTTCACCTGTGTACCTGGTCGGATGTTGGACTGACTGTACTTGCTACGGACGTTACGTTGGACACATTGGGATGCGGATCTCCGAAGAATATTAATATGGCCGTGGCCGGACGGTCAGATCGAGTTGGTTTGGCATGTCATGGATGGAGCCTTGCGCAATGTTGGGAAGGAGCGCGTGTAGGGCGCGATGGATGCTGACTAGTGCGCTTACTCTTGCGATCCTGTGTTCTACGCGTCTTCTGGAAGGATTCGTGCATGTGGATATGCGGCGTGGGTGACAATGTTGGTGGTGGCGATGAGGAGAGGGATACGCATGGTGACTAGAGAGCAGGAAGGGCACGTGGACAGTGTTTAGCTGGTAGGATTTTTACTGCAACTTTTTGAGTGACTTTGAGAAAAAGTGTCTGCATGTTGAGCTGCTCAAGAGTGTCATGCAAGGAAGTGTGCTTGCTCGTCCATCAACTCTGCTGCCTCGGAGCCAGAACTACTGCCACGCAACCCACCGCAAATCCCACCGCCAACCAACATACCAAAGCCTCAACACCAACTCTCCTCCATCGTGACTTCCCCCTCTCCCAGACAAGCCCATGTCCATGTTCTACCGCGAGTCGCCGCATTTGCCCGCCAAAGCAGCGCTGAGGTCCGAATCTCCGACCCGAAACCGATCGGCCCTGATCCCATCCCTCCAAAAAACTCACGATCACACAGCCTTCCCGCAGCAATCACACCTTACCCCACTCCGCGGATGGTAGCATCGCACGCACTTCTCTCCGATGATGATCGCGAACGCTCGCGCGACTCATGTCTACCAAGCTTTCGCCCAGGATGGAAGGTCCCGAGGGGTGCTAGTGCGCTGTTATATCCGAAGAGAGTCGGGGCGGGGAAAAGGTTATAGGCGTGCAATAGCAGGCCCACCGAAGTCTCAAGTGTGCTGATTCGACGGGAATGTCACGGAAAGGATGCACTGTAGAGAACTTTACCAACATCTCGGTCTCTCGTACGAAATCGTACATGGCATAGAGTTCAAGAAAAAAAAAACCACGCACGCAAGCAAGCACGTGCAACGATTCCCTCCCACCAAAACTCCCCGGGCTTTTCTTTCTGCAACGATGCCCGTTCTGTCCTGACGTCGGAACACAAGGCAAATGAGACCGCCGATCGAACCTCGTCGATCCCCCAATCGCTCCATGCCACCAGCACGCGACCCCGCTTTCTCTCGCCTCGCCAACCATATTCCCCCTAGCGCTGCGTGGTTTGCGCAAAAAGCAGCGTTGTAGGTGAGGAGGACTGGTCGTCATGATCTTCGACGCCGTCAGATGCGCGCTAGAAGGCTGCGCCGTCGATTGGCAACTGCCGTTAGCGCAGACTCACAATGTGGGTGGAGATGTGCATGTGTGTGGGTGCGTGGACGAGGTGGGAGTAAGCGAGCCGGGAAGGTGTATGTGTGTTGCCACTGTATGAATAGCAGCGGGAGCGGATTCGGTATTAGAATGCATGCGTTAAGAGTATGGGCATATGCATTAAGGTCTTGATTTTGCCTTGGAACAGCTGGTACTTTGCCTTATGATGATGGTGATGATGGTGACCGGTACTAAGTTTATCACAGGTTTATCAAGGTTTACAAAGCATCAGCACGGCACCTTCGCGCACGATACAACTCCTTCTGTCTACAGTTTCTGGATTGTTGCAGCCATCCGCCCGTCCTTCGTCCGCGGTCGCGCCATGGAAGGATTTCAGCATGCGCCGCCATTTTCTTTTCAGCTCAGGCAGTGCTGGAGGCTGCTTACTTCTGGGTAGATTGGCCCAAAAAGGACACACCGGCATTGCTTCCAAGGCTAGATGCTTAATCTGAGAAAATGTGCTCATATAGTTATGCATGCGACATGTTGCTGATGTTTCCGAGCCGTGATGTTGAGAAGTGTTGTAGTTGCCGCCTTGGCGCCTACTTCATTGCAATCTAACTTTCATTTATCCCGTGCTCACATTCCCAGGTAGAGGACAGCTTGGCTTAATATGTTCCCGGCTTGGTGGTGCGATAAATCCGGTCCAGTTGAATAGATGACTTCCGCGGATGGGAAACCGATGTGTCCATATTGCGTTGGCGAGGCCGCTTGCTGCATATGGCAGGTGATGATCCTTAATGGCCACGAGTATGCAAAAGCATAGGATAGGGTAAATGTTGCTGCTTCCAGGATGCGGGATAGGCGATTGTTTAGTGAGATCGGTCAAGTTCTTTTCAGATCGGGCGTGCGTTCCCAGCCAGGCTGTTGATACACAGGCAATAGAGATAACAGATCCGGTGCATTTTCGTAAATGGCGATATGACCGTCGCACTTGGTCGGCCGTACTAAAGATAATATAACTGCACAGCGTGTGTCACAACTCCAACTTCCATTGGCTGTCAATATCTTTTGTGGCGCCTATCATCGTCAAGTTCGCGTCACATGAAGCCGCTGTTGGTGATTCGCATCGACATCGCAAGATCTCGTCTTTGATGCAGATAATCGCTGCGATCGGCGAGCGAGACGCTAGTGACTGGTAGATGAGGCCAAAGAGTACCGGCACGCTGTGCAACACCCCTGTCCAGCATACTTTGGTAGCGGGCTGGACTCAACGCTTGACCTAACTAGAGCTCCAAAGCGAAATCCTCCGAGGAAAAGGAATGACTCCTTTCGGCGAGGTAACGGTTCGTACTATCCGTACCATATTGCGGCGTGGGGGGAGGGCCGTGAGTCCCATGGTTGGCGCGGCTCATCAAGGTCTGAGTCTATCCCGAACATCCTCGAGACTAAACCGAAAACTGTATGAATAGTAAAGCAGCGTAAACCGTATATGTCGAGACGGAATATGATATACCGTCGGGTCAATTCCATGCGGCGACTGTTAAAGAAAGGTATTCCCAACGATCGGACTAGTCCATTTGCCCTTCCTGGCGGCCCTCATCTCTGCATACAATGCTGGATTGATGCCTTTCTTTTTACACTTCTTGATCTCTGCTTCGCTGAGCGTAGACATGTCGAAATTGCTTGCACTCCACCCGCTACTGGATCCTGATTGACTTCGCTCGGTGTTACAACGCTCGAGGCTGGCAGTGCGTTTCACTGGGAGTGACTGAGTGGATTCTGAAAAGCTCAAGGGTTGTGACGTCCGGAGGACAGACGTATTCTTTTCGTCGGTCAGGTGATCTGCTACGGCTGTTGGCTCATTTGATTTGCGGTTCGTCACTTTTCGGAACAAGGATTTCTGTGCTCTTTCTACCAATGCCGGGGAAAGCACGGGTGCAACAGCTGGATCATAGGAGTTCAGTGAGTTCAAACTAGCTTTCCGCATTGACGAAGCCAAAGACTGCACATCTGAAGGTACGGGGGTAGAGGCCCCATCGTCCTCGAGTGTGAAAGAATGTTGTGAAGGCGTTGATGCTTCTGGTGGGTCTTGCTCTTCCTCATCCGAGGAAAGGGACTGGGTAGTTGTCACCGAGGCAATCGTCTCAAGCGAAGTCCGGCGGTTGAGGTGTGGCGGTAGGCGCTTGTTGGTGCGATAGGACTTGAGTTTTGCTGGAGAGCGGCGAGGAACGGGTGGGGGTGCAGGCTGTGAGGGCCTGGGTGCCTCGACTTGGAAAGGTTTCAACTCCTCCCAGAACGGATGGGAGAAGCGATGTCGCGAAAAGTCTGCGACACCTGGAGTATATTCCCGTTCTGCAGTGCCGCTCGCGACTGGATGCGATGCGAGCGGATTGACCCTTGAGTTAGCTTGCGGGATTGACCTGCTCTCCAGCGAAACGGAGCGATTGTACGAGATCACAGGAGCTGCTTCATCAAGATGGTTATCTGCAGACATGGCCTCACGCAAGGCTGTCTGGCGCTGCTGAAGCACAGCTCGTGGTGAGCGACGGATTGGGGGAGGGAGCGCATCGTCTTCGTCGTCCATGGTAGTCAGCTCGAGTGCAGATGTGTGGTAGAGTAGTTGATCAGTGACACCATGAAACAACTTTTTTTTTCGAGCTCTCCTCTGCTGCTGCCCAAAGTGAATCCTAGTACACCTGGGCAAATGATCAGCATGACGATGAGCGCGCCCAACATGCATTAGCGCTCGTTAGTGCATCTTCGGAGGAGCGTGCCGCCAGGAACGCGGTGGTCCGAATTGCTTCACGAAGATGACCAAGGCCATCGGTTGCGCCTCTCAGGCTTCCGATGTCTGAGGCAGGTGACAAATGACATTCCGTGTACAACAACATGCAGCGCTTGTGCAGCGCGTGTGTTAGATGATGCAAAATGCACGACAAGCGGCAGGCCACGGTGAGGAAGCTTTTTTGTGCAGACAGGCGGTGTTATTCGTGGATGGCACGGGTGGCTTTGACAAGTTTACCGGGCACCGTTGGAAGCTCGTGCGCCAACGGTTGCTCCGCACGTGTGCACCCACAAGCAAGGCAGGCAAGCAGGCAGGCGTGGATAGAAGCGTCTGTTGTTCTTCGCGAACGTTTCAAGGGCGGCGCGGCGCGTCAGAGAAGACGCGTGACGGATTCAACCTGATGGTGTTGCCGTGTCGCAGTGTTTCCGCTGTTTTGGTTGGGTTCCTGACGTGCGGAGTGCCAAAGAGGCTAGCGCGTCGCTCGAGTTCTGGCCCAAGCACCTGCAGTGCTCCTTGCTGCACCACTGGACCTCATTCTGTACTTCACACTCGACCTGTCCTCGCCCCGCCCGAGAGCAGCATGTCTGCCACTCCCTCGGCCGCCGCATCGCTAGGCTACCTCTGCGCCCGCCCGCAATAATGAGCAACGACGGCCCCCAGCCCATCTCGGACGAGGAGGTGATTCGCTTGACCAAAGCAGCCTTTCAGACTTCACGCAGCGACATTCGCGCAGCTGCCGAGAGCGCGCCGCGAGAGCTGCAGCAGCAACAGCCGGGCATCACCATCGACCTCGGCCACAAGCACATCTCCCGCCTGCCAGATGAGGTCATTGATGTCATCCGTGCTGAGATTGAGAGGTTCGGCTGTCCCGCGCCCGCATCGCTTGCGGCTCTCCCCACGCACGAGACGTGCCACGTACTGACAGCCCCAGGCTTGCCCTCTCCCACAATCTGCTCGCATCCCTTCCGCTGCGGCTGATAGAATGCAAGCGTCTCCGCTACCTCAATGTTCGCTACAATGCTATGCGCGAGTTCCCCGAGGCCGTGCGTGTCCCCGTCCCCGCTGGCGATTCTTGGACAGAAACACTGATACCATCCAGATCCTGCAGATGACCTCGCTGGAGATTCTCGACGTCAGCAGAAACCGAATCAAATCCATCCCCACCCCAGATTGCCAATCTGACGTCACTCAAAGTTTTGGCAATTGCGAAGAACCGAATCGAAGAGCTGCCCGTATGCCTCGGAGAAATCAACAGCTTGCAGGTCCTGAAGCTAGATGGCAACCCGCTAGTTTTCCCTCCTCCCGATGTCTGCACAATCAAAGATGGTGCGCCTTCGCCCGCGAACGAAAACGAACGAGACTCGGTCATTGCTACCCAGGTCAAGCGCTTTATGCGCCAACAAGCATCCCAAAGAGCGCCAGCGCGTCGACATGGAACGTCTGCGGGTTGAGTCGTCTGGGGACGAGAGCTGGACCGAGAGCAATCCCGAAACCCCACGTCCCTCGAAGCGGGCAAATGGTGTTCGCTTCCCAGTGAGGCCAAGCGTAGGAGGAGGTATTGAGGGGTTTCCGAGCGGAAAAGCTGAGTCTCCCGGAATACCTGCGCCACCCATCCCTACCAGATCCCATTTCCGCGTGGGTTCGTCAACAAGCAACAGTGGCTCCAAGAAACCGCCCATCGCCCCATTGGTCCTCTCAACCGCGCAGAACGAGCGGAACCGAAGCCAGAGTGAAGGCTCGGGCCAATCGACCCAACGGCAGAAACGCATGGGTATCTACACGAACAAGGGCTCTGAGCTTGGGTCCGTGGACGAACTTCGAAGAGCGAGTCACTTCCGCGGCTTCAGCCAAGGTATTGTCGTTCCTGCCAACTCCTTAGCGAATGGCATGTCTGGTCCTGCTACGGCGATCGGGTACGGTGACACCGGAACCGTTCGGTCGCTTGCTAACCGCCCACTGTCTGATGTTCGCGAATACCGACGAGGTTCACGTGCCCCAGACATTGTTGTTGAAGCTGCGAAGAACTTTCTTTATGCTATATCTGTGCTGCACGACTGTGTCTCGCATATGGTTCGGTCAATAAGCTTGACAGCGCGGGACAAGGAGAGCCTCCACCGCAAAGAGGATTTCTACCGTCGATACCAGAAGACATCCCTGGACCTCCGAGCGCTGAATGACGTTCTGCAGAAATTTGACTCTTTGGTGGAAGAGGATGAGGAGGACGCAGAAAGGTTGTCGCGAAGTGTGTACGTGTACACGCTTCGATGCTTAGATTCTTTCATGTCGATCAGTCTGTCAATCGCGGAAAACAGGACAGAGATCGCCCAGAATGCAAATCCGCGGATAGTAAGAACGTTCTTGCTGTTACAGCAGGGTACCCTGATCGAGCTGAGAAATGGTTGCTCGGTGCTAGGTGCACAATTCAAAGACACCAAAATGAAGATTCGCAGGCCCAGTGCAGCGGATACAGCAACCGTACGCGCGCGACAATTCAAGGTCCGACGTTTCCCAACCTCGCCTCCACAGCGAAACGGAAACCACCAGATGCCCCCGCCAGTCATCTTGCACAGCAACGACAACAGCCGGACAAATACCATGACTAGTATTAGTGCCGCTACACCAAGGTCTGGAGAATCCTCCTTCACACTCGCAACCACCATGTCCCGATCCAATACGATGACGAGCAATTTCGATGAGGGCGATGAAGATACTCAGTTTGGCAGAGTGTATCAGAAGCTCAGAACAGCATGTGACAACTGCAACACATCCATACCCCAGATTACACAATTACTCAGGGATCAGCTGGAAATTTTGAGACGAGAACTAGACATGGATCATCCAAGGTATCGGGCATTAGTAGACCTCATCGAAAAGAGCAACGATGTTCAGCAGGTGACAATACCGCTGGGAAAGCGTTTGTACCTGATGCCGCCCCAAGATAGCTACACCAGAGGTCAACCCGAGTTCTGGCAGCATTGCATGGGCTTCATCAAGGTTTGTCCACCTATTCCCTCGTCTTGCAAACAGCACATTACTAACTTCGATGCAGGCTTGGGGTGAACTAGCTGCCGCATATACACAACAAGGAAAAGACCATAAACTCCTGAGCTTCGAGGTAAAGCAGCTTATGAAGCCCCTGCACAGAATGGTAAAGGAAGCAAGTCTCGTCATCAATGATTCACCTTGGAGCCATTTGACGTCGAACAACTCTGGCATGATGGGCCCACCAAGCTTGTCGTCCATGACATCACGTACATCAGCTCCAAGGTTTCTAGGGAGACCTACGATGGTTTCGGGTGGAGGACCATCGTTCCCAGGACCCATCAACACCTCTCTACCAGCCGTTGGAAACTCTTTCCCCTCGGCAACTATGAGCGTAAACTCGGCTGGCTATCCCACACCAGTTCCTGCGACACCGCTGAGTGCGGCGTTAGGTGCGGCCGCACAAGCCACTGTCCCGAACACACCAGGTTTACGATCACAATCGACAAGCACAGTGAATTTTTTTGAGCGAGCAGATCGCCTGATGAGTCAGCCTAACAGGCGAATCTGATGCCATCGATCTGCGCAAGAATGCTCGTCTCCTCTTCATTCTACGATGTTGGCATACACCCAGATGTCTCATTCTCCACTGCAAAATAGTCTATTAGCAACGGCGTTGTCCGGATTTCACTCACTCATTGGCATTATGGTTTGCATATGGTTGGCGTTTCCAGGTTAGGTGCATATCATGGAGTGCAGTATGGTTGGGCATATCTGGCGGAGTGTTTTACCATTATCTATAGGCCATGCAAGGTCAGACGCTGGTCGTCCACAGCAAGTGGCCCACCTAGCGTAATGTTTAAGCCCGAACGATATCGGAGCAATGAGAAAATTCAGCAGAGGCAAGAATACAAAGATGAAGTTATCTGAATCACAACAGCGTATACTGGGAAATGACTGTGGTTTCACTCATATTGCACTGGCTATGACAGGCGGAACGTACGGATGCTGGCTGACGTCTAGCTTGTGTGGGATTGGACAGGCCGGGGTGTGGAGAAACCCTGTACGTTCGGCTCGGCAGCTGCATCGTCGCGGCCGATCTCGCTTCCCTGGGAACTTTTTGTGCGTCAGCGCCTCTGAACTTGTTGCACCGCGTCGCCATTCCACAATTACCTTTAAGATGCGGTCGCAAGTACTCCGGGCTGGACAGGCTGCCAATGCCAGGGTGAGTGGATTCACAGTGCCATTGAGGCTCAAGTGAAGTTCAAATGCGGCTTGACCTGACTTGGAGTCATACAATCACCCAGCTAACCAATTCACCAGCCCCGTCTCGTCTCCTCTCTGCGTTCCAACCATCGCCGAGCCCTCGCAACATCCCACGACCCTCCATCCGCACGCAATGTCGACATCTCGTCACGCACGCCCCCATACCCCAAGCTCCTCGCCCGCCTCGCAGACGTTCGCCGCGTCCTCGGATCCACACGGCACCTTACGCTCGCAGAGAAGATTCTCTACGCCCATCTCGAAAACCCGGAGGAGTCGCTGCTGTCAAACACGAACAATGGGAGAGATATTCGAGGCCAGGCCAATCTCAAGCTCAAGCCGGACAGAGTGGCTATGCAAGATGCGAGTGCGCAGATGGCCTTGCTGCAGTTCATGAGCTGTGGGTTGGGAAAGACGGCGGTGCCGGCGAGTATCCATTGTGACCATGTACGTCACACATCACATCCGGACGAAATTGCCGTGTTCCTGAAGCTGATTTGGCCTAGATGATTGTGGGAGAGAAAGGCGCGGATCTCGATTTGCCTCAGTCGATCAAGGGCAACAAGGAGGTCTTTGATTTCTTGGAGTCTGCGGCTAAGAAATACGGCATTGAGTTCTGGCCACCGGGCGCCGGTATTATTCATCAATCTGTGCTGGAAAACTACTCGGCTCCTGGTCTCATGATGCTCGGCACTGACAGTCACTCGCCCAATGCTGGTGGTCTCGGAGCTATTGTCATTGGTGTCGGTGGTGCTGATGCTGTCGATGCGCTCGTAGATGCACCTTGGGAGCTCAAAGCGCCTAAGATTTTGGGTGTGAAGCTTACGGGCGAGCTCAGTGGATGGGCATCGCCCAAGGATGTGATTCTAAGCCTTGCCGGCCAGCTCACAGTTCGGGTATGTGAACCGAATAGGACATCGAAATTCTTAGGCTGACATGACATAGGGAGGAACTGGCTACATCATCGAATACTTCGGTCCTGGTGTACAGACACTCAGCTGCACTGGCATGGCCACGATATGCAACATGGGTGCGGAAGTCGGTGCAACGACATCTCTCTTCCCATTCTCTCCCGCACATGTACCCTACCTCCAAGCGACACACCGGGGCCCAATCGCAGAACAAGCCGGCAAGATTGCCAATTCTCCCATGCAACAAAACCTCCTCCGACCAGACCCAGAAGCTGCGTACGACAAGGTCATCGAGATCAATCTTTCCGAGCTCGAACCCCACATCAACGGACCCTTCACCCCTGATCTTTCGACGCCCCTTTCCAAGTTCAAGTCGCTCGTAGAGGAGAAGGACTGGCCCAAGACCTTTGGTGCTGGTCTCATTGGCAGCTGCACAAACAGCTCGTACCAAGACATGACGCGATCGGAAGATATTGTTAAACAGGCCGCGGCGGCTGGTCTCAAGCCCCCGCCAACCGTCTTTATCACGCCAGGGAGTGAGCAGATAAGAGCGACTCTTATTAAAGAGACGACACTCTACAGACATTTGAGAAGGCTGGTGGTACTGTTTTGGCGAACGCTTGTGGGTGAGTTTGCATCTCCAACATGACCATGGAGGACCACGCAGTGCTAACTTTGGTTTCGCCCCTGTATCGGCCAATGGACACGAACAGACGGCGTGAAGAAGGGCGAGGCGAACGCCATCCTGACCTCATACAACCGCAACTTCCCTGGCCGCAACGACGGCAACCGAGCCACAATGAACTTCCTCGCCTCCCCTGAGCTCATCACCGCGATGTCATACTCCGGCGCCACGACTTTCAATCCCATGACTGACAGCATAGAGACCCCATCTGGCGAGCCATTCAAGTTCTCGCCACCAAAGGGATCAGATCTACCGTCCGCCGGCTTCGCGGAAGGAAACCTGAACTTCTTGCCCACACCAGGTGTCCCCGATCCCAGTGTCAACGTCATCGTCGACCCACAATCCACCCGCCTCGCCCTCCTCGACCCCTTCCCTGCATTCCCCACCTCTGAGCTTCAAGGTCTACGAGTCCTCTATAAAGTCAAGGGCCAATGCACAACCGACACCATCTCCGCCGCCGGCCCCTGGCTCAAGTACAAAGGCCACCTGCCAAACATCTCCGAGAACACCCTGATCGGCGCCGTCAACGCCGCAACCGACGAAGTCAACGTAGCCTACGACGTCGACGGCTCCACATGCGGCATCCCCGAACTCGCCAAGCGCTGGAGAGATCAAGGCATCGAATGGCTCGTCGTCGCCGAGCACAACTACGGCGAAGGCTCAGCCCGCGAACACGCCGCCCTGCAACCCCGCTACCTCGGCGGGCGCATAATCATCTCCAAATCTTTCGCACGTATCCATGAAACGAATCTCAAGAAGCAGGGTATCGTGCCTCTCACATTTGCCAACGAGGCCGACTACGATCTCTTTGAGGCTTGCGACGACGTTAGCACACGCGGCTTGTTGGATGTTCTGAAGAGCGGTGGAAAGGGACAGGTTGAGCTGGTCATCAAGAAAAGGGATGGAAGTGAGAAGGTAGTGAAGACGAAGCACACGCTGAGTCACGATCAGTGCGGATTTGTGTTGGCGGGTAGTGCGCTGAATCTACTTGCGATGAAGGGGAGGGAGGGAAAGGAGGAGGTTACCAGGGGAAGTGAGTTGAGTGATTAGATACAAGATGAGATGAGGGACAGGAAAAATGGCGCTCGGGCGTTGGGCTTGGGTGGTATGTATATATGATTAAAAAGTTTCAAAGCAAATATGTCCGATTGGGTTGGCAAACATTGTGCGAATTATGATATGGACGTGCGTTGATATCCTTGCGTTGCCGTTTTTGCACTGACATAAGGTTTTAAAAGATGCGATGCAAATAGATTGTTGTCGTCTCCCGCTGCTGTAATGCATCAGTCTGGTAGTAAGCTCAGAAGTCACGTTCATGACCGCAGGTCTGTCTTTGTCGTGGCATGTGCAAACATGACTTGATAGATCGAGAGAAGGCATTAACTCTGACGCTTGGTGTTGATGAATGTTCCTCTCTTGCTCAGAGGTAGTGATACGTAGCTGCTCTCCTGACGCTAGGTCTTGATGAATGTTCTCCTCGTGCTCATAGGTAGTGACGCATATCTTGCTTGTCTGTGGCTCGTGATGAAGTCTGTGCTTGCACTTGCGATGATGTAGCGTTCGAAGCTAGAACCAGTTTATCCAGTGGTTGTGATCAACGGACGACCAAGGTCCACTTTGGCAGATACTTGACTGATATAATACTATACTAATAAATTCAACCGTCCCGATTCAATGTTTACAGCAATGGTATACTATTCCGGCTTTTGCTAATGTCTGCGATGGGTGTCTTACGACTCAAAGGTGGTGTTACACGAAAAGCGACGACACTTGCGATTCTTTGCCTTCGTGAGGGGCTCCCAAGCGTATTGTGCGCTTAGTGATGACATGATCACCAACGACAGAGCATCTGGATGGCCCAAGAGGTGCAGCACAGTCAATCTCCAGTACAGGTCATCGTTTATTGGTTACACCCCTACGACACGGACAACACTAGCACCATAGACACACTCATATCTGACTCAAGCAAAGTGACTCTGAATAACTTGTCAACTAAATACGTGTGTCAGAACGGATCGCATTGAATATAAATTGTGGTTTACGATGCAGCTCTGGGCTACTCACAACGATACCTCAACATGACAACACAATCACCTTTGCATAGCAGCACGATCACTTATACAAAGCAACACGATCTCATACTACAAACCAGTAGCGAATCTATACATAATAAACCACAATCTCTCAGTCACACAAGAGCATATTCAAAATGTCTACTTCCTCGACCCAAAACACCAACACCACGACTGGGGGTCGCCGGGCTGAGATCAAGAAACTAATCGACGACATGATGGTAGACCTGGACATACCATTTTGTCCAGAAATCAAGTTCTTCCCTTACAAGTGCATCGAAAAGATTGCGACACCTGAAAACATCATGGCTTATATCCGCGAAGAACTCCCCTGGTCGGATAAAGAACTACAGGAGTTCCAGAATGAAGTTTACGAAAACGCAAAATTGCTCTTCATAGTTGTTGCGAAAAATGGTTTTACAGCTCTCTTCCTCTATCAAGCAGTGTGTGTCGAGACAGAGAGGAAATCCAAGTACACGGACGAGAAGTTCACGGGCCAGAATAGGGGTAAAAGATTCTCGGCTTCTGACTATTATAACGTCAAAGGAGATATTCGGGACCAAGCTATGAAGGAGTTGGACATCCACTTTGTCGAAGACATCCTCCGTGGTAACTTTCATCAAGAGCTACCTCTCAAGTTCCTACCGATCATACGGCATCAGCTGATGCCCCTACCACGTCCGAGACCTATGGGTGTACCGAGCAAGTATGAGGTGGAGCTACACGGAGACTATTGGGAGGAGGCTGGGGATGGGCGGGAGTTCGTAATGGTTCAACTGGACGCGCGGCCAGTTGATACAGGCGACGCAGTAGCTGGATTCTATGGTCACCATAGGGGTGCCACACCGTATTGGCTGCTGTTTCCCAAGGGCTCGCCATGGCTTGAAATTGGTAAACTCACTATAGCAGAATAGTATGTCAGCTATGAGTACCAGAATGTAAGCTCTAGATTTTCGCTTCAGATGCAGACTACTAAAGAGATATTCTGGACTGCTTCTTTCCGAGGAGAATGTACTCAGTCAACTAATCCGATAGCTATGCATAGATTGACATTCTTACCCATGGTAGTCGCAGGGATAGCTAATCGGGAGACGTCAGCGAAATCATGAAGCATAGCAAGGAGAGAGTAAATTCCTAAAAGACTTAGAGTCATTACCCGCGCTATCATTTGAGTGCTATGAAAGTTCGCTGTCACCGCAAATGAGAGTGCGACAAAGTTAAGCGATCACCGGTCCTTGTCGGCTACTGTCCTTCCACCACGCTCGTTCGAACTGAGAAGTACAGTGAAAACAGCTTATAGCTATATAGCGCTGTTCCACACTACCTTACTTGCTTTGCGCTTCAGTGTCATTTGTGGGATATTATTATCATGCTCAAGTACCTTGGGATGATGGTTGCTCATCTAACAGTCATAGTGAGGCGTATACTTACGTTTGCTGCTACGATTCGATGGATTGTGTGGCGATAGACGGCTCTCTAAGATTTTTCATTGAACTTGATATCCCGAGCAAAGCATGAGGTCGAATTTCCGGGGGTACTACGACTCTGAAGTGGCGTTTCACAAAAGCAATGATCCTTGTGATCATGACTCTCTATCCCATGATGCAGTCATGCGACTCAAAGGATATGACTTCGAGTAGCCAGTCATTTGCATACGTGTGTCAGAGGACGCCGTATCGATTGTAAATTGCAGCATGCAGCGCTGCAGCACATTGAATACAACAATACAACAACTACATCTATCTACATATATACTCAACATGTCTTCGTCCTCCCAAAACACGGCTACACCCGGGGGGTAAACGAAGCGCTATTAAGAAAATGATCGACGACTCGATAGTAACGGTTAATCTCCCGGAATGTTCCAAAACCGAGTTCTTCCCATCAAGTCGCGTTGCAGAAATTGCCACGATCAAGAATATCTCAGAATATACAGCTGAAGACCCATCTACACACTGGGGCAAAGAGGATAGAGCAGATGTGGTAAGACGTGTTCATGAAACCGCATCCAAACTCTTTATATGCTGCGCGAAGAACATGTGGCCGATGGCGTTTCTTAATCACGTGGTTGATATAGCAAAGTTCTTGGATAAAGATATATATGGGGAGGAACTGCTCGAAACCAATAACCAGGAGAACAAAGAAGGGGGCTTTCAAGACAAGCTAATCGAGGAAATGGAGATCCATAAGATGTCGGCCATAGAACCCGGTAATTTCGACCAAAGCTTGGTACGCGAACAATATCCTTTCACGTCCGTGACAAGAGTCTTCGGACTAGGTCCGGCAGTGCCTCAAAGGTACAATGTACACATACATGAAGACTACTGGAATGGGCCTAGAGATGATTTTGTCATGATGGAATACAAATCAAAAGTTTTCCCAGACCATAAACAATTCGGCGACGCAATCGCGGGCTTCTATAGTCGCCACGAGGATCAAAGAGAAACATATTGTTTATTGTTTCCGAAGCACTCATAGCAGCTTTCCAAGTTGTACCCTACTAGGTATATTTATTAGTTCTAGCTATCATCTGTAGAGAACCAGGATTATACTTGTGAAACCAAATCACTTATTGCCGTGATAAGGAGCTTCTTATATAGGAGTGTGTACTCGTTTAAGTGCATCGACGGCCATGCAGCGTCCCAACTTAACATGCTATTAGCAGTTTACTATTCCTAAATTCTCAGAAGCAGTGTATGATTAAGTATCTGTGTATCTTACAGTGACTGGTAGGGAGGCTTCTTGGGCAGTGAAGACTCGGGAGAACTTGGCACGCGCTATTGTTTGAGTACAAGGTACCTACATCGTTGGTCTATCTGAAACGTTAACAGACAAAGTTTAGAAGTTTTTCATCAGTGAATTCGCACGGAGTCTCTTCTTGAAACTACAACTTTATGGCTGGGTGCATGATCATAGAGAGCGAGGAAATATGCAACGACACATCACTAATGCTGTAGCTTGACCTGAAGTATAATCTGCGTTCGAAAAACGACTTACTTACCGAATTCGAATATATACTTGTGGCCTCTCGTCGTATAGACTTGTTAAAGTATAAGGTAGTGAGTCATGTTATCTGATGAACGGACAAGATGTTATCAGGTCACAATGCATTCGCCATCAGGGCCTCTACATGACTATTCAGCTCATGACTTCTCAACCAGTCACTGCCTCGACAGTCACTAATATGTATGTGTCAGAGCATATATTATCGACTATAAATCGCGGCATGCAAAGTAACTCTCCAGGTCAATCTCAACAACATCTTTCATTGATATATATATACTCAATATGTTCAATTTCACACGTCCTCAATTACCCGAGCCGCCTAATACTGAGTTCCAAAATACTCAGGTCGCTACATTGAAAGCGATCGAAGATAATATCATCAAATGTGAACTTCGCAACACAGATGTTAAATTCATTCCGGACAGCGCAGTTTCGCTCATTGCGACGCGCGAAGCGATCACACGGTATTTCGAGGAAGACTATTCAATCGGCAATGCAGATAAAAAACGAATCGAACAACTCGTCGACATGGTCTACAAGGACGCGCAGAAGATCTTCCTCATAGCCGTAAGGTGCAAATGGCCTGCGGTCTATGTTCAGTCCATAGTCGATGTCCTAGAATGTAAGGATGCTATCGTACATCAGGAGAAGGATGAGTTCACCTTCGGCACACACGATAAAGATGGCAAAATGAGAGCAAAATTTCTCGATGAACGGAAGCTTTTCTTGGCTAAACGTGTCGTCCCCCATACAAAATTCGGGGGCCTCAATCAAGAGATACCGCGGTCCAGATTACCCTTTACATCTGTGGATTGGGACACGGAAAGGTCATCTTGATCTATATCCAAAACATGCGGGTTTCAAGATCGGACACGCTAGGGTGGAATTACACTCAGATTACTGGGACGGCCCTAAGAAATTGATCATGGGAGAGTTCGATGAGAATCCAGGACCAAACCCTCGAGAGGTATCCAGGAAAGCCATTAGCTTTCAAATCCTTTCTTTCGAATGAAAGAGAACATCCATATATCCATATATTTGTTGACGGAAGATCCTGGTCCTTCCTAAAACCGGAATAGCTATACAGCCCCAAAATGTACAAAATCTAAAACTCTGTCTATGTTCAAAAACTGTTTAAAATGAATTTCGAGAACATGAAAATGCACTTACTTTTCCCAGTTAGCTCTTTCGTAGCAAATGTGTGATTGAGAGTCGTTTGAGTCGGATCGATAGACGAAAAGGAGACTTCACGGGAAAATGATCTAATTTTACCAGAACACACAAAAATGGATACAAAAGCGCAGCTGCCGTTGAGCACATAGTAGAGATATTCACGAGGAGGTATGTAGCTCGTCGAGGCGATGCGCAGGGATGAGCCAGCAACGCTTCCCAAGTATAATGCCTGAGAAGTGAAGTTACGCCCTAGCTTCGTGCAGAATACGACGAATGCACAGAAAGAAAGTGAAATTAATCAGGGTCCATACATGGTGATGGAGATTCCGAGCGAGGCGGCGGCTGAGAAAGTAAAGGCTCGGGCGGTAGCGGGCTTCCACAGCGATGGCAGGCATTATCTCTTGTCGGAGATCATTGATCGTCAGTATATCCCTGATTACCAGGCCGATCTACCCTATAACGCAAAGCACTTAAATCGGAGCCTTTTTTGGCTCGCATTGTTTGACGAGAGATTTCAGTGATAATCAATTAATCGATTTGAATACGCAAGGACCGATGCAAGTACTGGTGCAGTCCACGATGAGGAAATAATAGAGACGTATCATCGCGAAGAACACTAAATGTGTGTTAAGCATGGATTGTACCAATAAAGAATTACCGATACAACTCAATATACTGAGATGACAAGGGAACCAGCAGCAGCATGATGAAACATAGAACAGATCAGACCACGTTTCAAGAGAGCAACGTCGATTCATAACTACTACCAACGGCTTATCTAGAATCAATTGGCTTACATTTGAACTCTGCCTAAGTGCCGTTGGACTTGTCTCATGCAATGTACTTTCCTCAAGCTAATGCAATAGCCGGAATCAGCTCCATTGACTACTAATACATACACGCTCAGTAACAGCACAAAAAGTACCTACCCTCACCCTCGCACACAATACCAAGCTGCCTCCGCCCCCAACTAACGTGTTTCTCGGCGTCTGCTTGATTCACGAAAGTCCTCATAACAAATTTCGTACTATCAGCATAACGTGCTCCCGGTGTAGCCGAGTCTGACGCTGTAAGATGTGCGCGGTCAAACTCCACATCATGACCAATGGGGTCATCGCAAGCTGTGATAGAACTGAAAGGAAGCATTCCGAAAGATGTGACCTGCTGGTCATACTCACCAAGCCTGAGCACAGGTGCGCGTACCAATGACTGTGACTTGACAAACGCGTCAAGTCCGGCTTGAAATTCATCATCAACGGCGAAATTTTCCTTGACAGGCAGTTTCTCGTCCTCGTAGTGATTCATGAGTGTCCAGAGAAAGTGCATGTTCCCGCCGGCTGCTAGGGTGGCAACGAAACACTGCTGGCCCAACTTGAATACCTTGTTGATGAAAAAATCGCGAGAGTTCTCTGGTAAGTTGTGAGTCAAGAGGCCCATGTCCTGGTCGGAGAATGCCTTGATGTTCGCATATGTAGCGAGTTCTTTGATGTACGGAAGGGGTAGGAAGGAATGAGTGGCGCTTCTGAAGGACCAGGTTACTCTGTTTTGTGTGATGTAGTCCTGAGCTTTTAGAAGCTGTTCTTTCGATATGATGTCGGAGGAGATTGAGATGGGCATGATGCAGAGGATAGGTCTCTTGCAGTGTATACTTGTAGCCGGCCATAGACTACAGCACTGCGACTTTATGCCCATTTAGCGATTGCTACGAATCAGCATGGCAATCGCTTCACGCAGATGACCAGTCGTGCGAACGACATCTGATGGTGTTCCGTCATCAGGAGCGTGCATGCTTGTCACTGAGCAAGCTGAACCGTAAAGCTTTCCGCACACGCTATGAGCAGGGAGTGAAGGCAAAAGTCGCTGGGGCATAGTGCATTCTATGGTTGAAGAGCCGAAGGACAAAATATAGATGGCTGTGATTGAAGGATACCGTGTGAGAATGTGAAGAAGAGCACCATACCAAACAAGTCTCCAGGATTTTTGACGAACAATGTGAGATCGCACATGACTAATTGCTGACACAGAGCATGCATAGAAAGACCAAGAGAACGCTGTCAACACGAAACTTTCTTCAATATCGAACAGCAAAGTAAGTCCACATCACATCACCATGACCTCTGCCAACCTACAAAATCCACATCACTGACGCAAACCACCCTCTCAACCCCGACATCGCCCACCGCCACTTCACCATGCAGCATCACTCCGCCTCTGCCACCTACCTCATTCCACCACCAACCCCCCTCACCCTCTCGCTCCAACATGCGCGCCATCCATTCCCCGGCCTCAACAAGTTTCATCGCAGTGACACCGCATACCAAGGGAGCGAGGCGAGCCGTCACCGACCAGTTTCCAGGCATTCGGAAGCGACTGTAGACACGGCGTCTGTCTCGTCTTGTCATGCCGCATGAGAGGTGGCAGGGCGTGAGGGGGGGAAAGGGGATCTGGGGAAGTCGTGCAACGATGGGAGAGAGTATGGGTATTGTTGAGGGGGGAAACGGACATGTGCATAAGAGGCAGAAGGATACTGGAGGGTCGGTATCAACGATGTATGGCCATATCTGCACAGTTTCCGATGTCTAGTCGCAGATATTGTTTCTCCACACACGCCGTCATCTTCACTCGTGTCGGCAGTTGCCTCTCTGTACCCACACACACACTTGTCATTTGTGCGGTGTGGCTGCCTGCCAACACCCAGAATAGCTTGACAGGCAGGAAAGCGGCGGGTCATGCACGATGTTCCGAGATGCGCCTGCATGCATGCTTTGCGTGATTGGGCATGTTCCGATCGATACGATGCGCATGGCGAGAATGAAGGCTCCAGATTTTCCAGACGACGGCATGCAGGTTCGTCGATCGATCGGAGAGGAGAGCGGGTATGCTTACCACATGTGCGCTGCGCATGAGTTGGGCTATTGTTTCGGAGACAAGTACATCGATAATGATCATGGTCAATACGAATATGGGGGACAGTGCTGCTACCGTACACACACATTGAAAAAAACTTACATGTACATGAGATACGCAACCAGAATTCTGAGCGGTGAAGCACACACAAACATCGCCCATCGTCAACGATCCACCCGCACCGCCGATCTGATGTTCTCGACTCCAAAGCCTGTAGGACCCGTACTCATCGTCGCACGTAGAAAGCCTAGAGTCGCACAAAAGACGGTCGCTTCCCAGCGTGCAGGTCGCACAGCAGCACGCCTACCCCCTCAATCTTGCCAGCTCGAAAAGTGCCGACATGCTGAGACAATGGCGTAATGGAAAACATGTGTGGTGCGTGAAGGATTTTTTGCTATATGGTCGTTGCAGTTAGAGTGGTGTGGCTTGCATTCGGGGGATGTGGGAGGGAAGGGATGGCGTGATGGGGCATGAGTGTACGAGTGATGTACAGGGCTGTGTTGGAAGGGCAATCATGTGCCATAGGGTGGATTGTGTGTGACCGGCAAGGCAGGACAGCCGGCCGTTTTGTTTGACTGTTACTCGGAGGACGATGTGAAGAAAAGAGGAAGGTAAACAAATTAATGGGCGCAAATGCGTAGTGTGATCGGAAATGTTTCTTTTGGCTAGGTTTACAACCAGAAGAGTTGCTGTGTATGTCTCGAGTACTAGTGGTGCTGCCAATCGCAGATAAACCATGGAGTGACACACGCCCTGGTCCTGTGCTACCTGCCACTCTTCCACATCCCGTGGCCATCAGACCACCACCTCTGAGAAACATTGGGGTCGCCTCCACCATTTCCTTCCAAAGGGTCATTCAGACCCACGACTGCGCTTGCCTCTCGGGCATCCCAGACAAGGATACGCAAGGGGTATAGCCGCCGGCAAGAGTGTCATTCTCTTGCGAATACACAAAAGAAATTAGTTGTAATAAAGCGAAAAATCGGCTGAAGAGCCGCCGCTGCGTAAATCGTTCATGACGTTACGTCTTGTGTTGAAACCCCGTCCATGCCCTTTTTTGATGCCGCCTCCAAACACGAAGCGCCAGAAAAGTCCCACTGAAGGGTCGCAACAGTCAGATGACTTCTGGACTGTATGCAAAAGGGGATTACCCCTCTCTAAATATCATAATTTCGTAACCAACAAAGGAAAGTCGTGACCATATAGCCAAGGTGCGCGTCGTGGCGCGAATAAACGGGTCGAGTTACGGGCGTACAGGTCGTACGTCGTAAACCGTACTCAAAGGTGTAAAGATATTGGAAATGTACAATGGTCGAACAGATGGGAGGTGAATAATCGCACACGAATATAGACAGGGTATGAGTGTGGAAGGGTTGCGAGCCGGATGTGGCCTAGGCTAGTAGCCACGAACGCCAGTGGAAGACCGTCCAAGTAGCGAACCAGGGAATTTCAGGTCGCTAAGGAATTTGAAGAACGCGCGCTTCTTCGATGGAGGCTTCTGGAACAATGGTGACTCTTTGAACTGGAACATGGGGCCGACAATGTCTTCGTCGCCGAGCTTAGGGAACTTGCCCTGGCTCTTCGGGTCGTTCAGAGTCGGCATCTTGCTAAGAGGCTCTGGCTCCATCGGGGATGTGGGTTCGAGTTCTTGGCCAATGGCGACTGCGTGAGATTTGGCCAGATCGTGGTTCTTTTTCCACTCGGCATCGATCTCGGCCCACTTCCGCTCTGTCAAAAGGTAGTACTTTGAGGTAGCGCCATAGTGTTCCGCGGTTCGCACTTGGTGCTTTGCGTAGTTGTTGCGTGCTTGCTGCCAGTCGTCCAAGAGTTGTCTGACAGATTGCGCGTGGCAGATCTCAGGGACATAGGGTTCCGGAAGAATGGTGAAGTTCGCGTGGCCCAGAGCGTTAGCCCATTTGTCATTTGGGTCGGCGAGCATCATGGGCGGGATATCCGACGATGGTACCATGTAGCCGGCACGTGGACCCTTGAAAGATGCAACTGATGGCTTGGATGACAGTGGTGGTGTGAGATATCCACGGACAAGTGGTGTGTCCACGGGTGTCGCCGCGACAGATTGGCTTGCGTCGGCAACTGCAGGCGATTGTAATGGTGATGAAGTGGGCGCCTCGTTACGGCAGTTGACCATGAGCGGGGGCAGTAGAGGCGTAGTTGCGTAGCGTTCGGCCTCGATTTGCTTGGGGTCGATCTCGTATGCATTGGCCTTTCCAACATCGATTGCCATTGGTGTTGGTAAATTGTCGTTGAGTTCTTCTCTGCTCGCTGGTGCTGAGGTGAAGCTCTCGCTGAGGTCGACCGCTGATGGATGGTGCTGAGAGCTGGCCATCGAGGACGATCGCGTTGACGGGACTCTCGATGGCGTCGCGCTGCGTGAGACTCTACTCAGGTTGGAGTTGCGATCGCGCACTTTGCGCGAGAACGAGGGAAAGCGTCTCTCGAATTTTCCGGCGATGCTGTGCGCAGACGCCTCAATAGACCGGCGTCGCTTTGCCAGCCGCATCTCGGTGTCATGGCTGATGGTGGAGTAACCGTCGTATCCGTCCTCTGGATCATAGGCCCTTGACACATAGCACTCGCGCATGTGGTCGAAAGACGAGTCGCCTATGCGATATAAGTATACGCAACACGATATGTCTAAGCTTCGAAACTTACAAGAACACCGGTAGGGCTCCTCGCTGCCATAGTCGAACTCGCGCTCGACTGGCTCCTCAGTAAGCTTGGGCAACTTGCCCGAGCTGTTTGGGGGCTCAATGGCTTCGTGCGTGGGCGGACTCGACGACAGTGTTGAGGTCGAGCTTGGGAAGCGAAAGTGCCCACGCGAACGTTTACTTGGCGTGGGCGGCGTAGAGCACTCGGACGATGTAGACCAAAACCCAGAGTCGGTGTTGGAATATATCGAAGAAGTCGGCTCAGCAGACATGTTGAGTGAAGTCTGTGAGGATTTGCGTGCGGCGACAAGCTTGGGGAGCATCAGAGGTTTGAGTTCGTGCATGTTGAAGTTGGGTGTTGGAGCGTGACGTGATTTTTCGCGATGGTTGCTGGGATCCCATCACCAGCTTAAGAACCCTCTGCACGCGCACTATTAAAAAATAGTCACGGTACTGCTGAGATGCTGCTTCGGGAAAAGTGGCGGTTGCTGGAGGTTTGAGGGTTGCGTGAAGGGTGCCACGAAGCAGGACCACGTAGGTACCTTTTGGTGTGTTTATCCTGCGAGTGCTTTTGGATGCAAAAACAGCGCCCCGGTCGGCGGGATAACCCAATACGGACGGCACGTGAGGGCGAGTGGGCTCGAACAGGTGGCACGTAGGGAAGATGTGCGAAGGAGTAAGGCCGAGGACAGTCGAAGGACAGCGCAGCGATTGATGCGGTATCGAATTAACAGCAATGCGACTGACGTGGGCGGACAGAGGACGACGGTACCTTGGGGTGTGGGATGCGCACAGATTTGAGCATTTGTGTGGACAGCGAGTTGACCGGGGGTGTACGGCAGGCTTCTCTCCCACTGCTTTGGACCGCAAGCCAAGCCTTTCCACAGCAAGCGTCACCACAGACGCTGCTAAGTTCATATGGGAATAGCGACGCGGCAGTCCTCAGTGCTCCCCGGTTTCAACGACTCACACGCCCTGTCTTCGTCGGCGCTCACGACCGTGACCACCTGCTTGTGCTGAGCGCTGAAGCCTCCCCGCGCAAAGTTCATCCGACGCGCACCGTCGTTGTGCCAGGCCCCCCAGCGGTGAAGCCGCTGTGTGAACTACAACTCAGATCGCCGGCCGTGTTGAGACTACCCACAGACAGCGAAAGACTCAACATCCCTGGAGGCCGGGTTTTCTTCCCCCAACCAAACGTGATCCAACGTCGGTGGAGGCGTGGAGAATGCCATCCCTGCCCCGGTCATCACGGTTTGGGGAAAGCCTCTGCGTAAGCGATGCAGGAACAGCCGCGGCTTCACACCCTCTTCACGAAGCTCGCTGCTCGCCATGCATATAGGCGGTGTTGGGTTGCTACGTATATACCGCCGATATGAGCTTGTCGTGTTACCACCAACCTGGATTTGATGGCCTGCCACCCACTCAATCGCATGTGAGCGCAACCGTGGCGCGCAACTGACATATTTTGGGGCGGTGCAATATCAAAGCCGGATGACAGCCTATCTGGCTTTGCTCTTCTTCCGGGTGGGCGTCTTCTCGCCCTTTGCAGTGTCGCGCGATGACATCGCCAGACATGTCTGGTTGGTGATGTCGCAGCACCCGTCTTTCCCGTCTGTCATCCCCACCAGAACAGGGAAGATGGGCCTGGAGAAAAAACAAACAAACAACATCCCGCTGTCACAACATTGCCCACCTCAAACACTCATTGTTTGTTTTCATCGATCACCGCACGCTTTGTTTCGTGACTGAGTCGCCAGCTCGAAACGTCGCGGAGACATGACGTCGCACGAGTGGGCTTGCGGAGAATCGCCAGAGGAGGTTGGGAGAACTTCAGCCCAACAGAGACGCCGTCGGCGTCCAGGCCAATCGAGCAGACAAGGTGGTGTGCTAGCCGTTGAGTAACTTGAGTCGTTCCTGATTGGCATTCGGCCCCTACCGCACTATCTGAGCACTTGCTATCCTTGTTTTTGCAAGCTTCGTGCCTTGAGTGGCCTTACTTTGCGCCTTCCTGCAAGCCTTGTTGTCTTTCCACGCCAGCGCATTGCTAGCTAAACGCTCTCACCATTCCCTTTGCGCTATCCTGCACGTGTTTACGAGTCGAGTTGTTGCGATGTCGTTATTCTTCCAAGCTCGCTACAGGAAGACGTACCGGAACCTCGTGAATTCACCGGTCTGATCGCTGTGCAGCCCCTACAAGCCCCATGCGTTGGATCGCATCCTGGAGCCCAGCGAGCAGAATTTTGGAGAGGCTTTACCTGTTCGGCGTCGCTAGTGAGCATCCTCGCCTCGGTAACAGGTCATTGGGTCCGCGGGATTAATGCCGCGCTCAGATCATGACGATAGCTCGGATGTAGTGTCGGTCCGGTCTGAAGTCGGCAGCCGTCCGCTTCATCCACTTAGCTGACATGACTTTCCGGTGCGACTTTTCATTCGCACACGAGAGACGGCACGGCAGCTCGCCCATATGCAGAGCGGGCGGGAGAATGCCGTTGACTTCAGCAACGCTCAACCTGCATGAACTCGTGGAATATAGCCGGTGAGCATGTGCTGATTGATCTCTTCGCGGTGTATGCAGACTTCTTTCAGGTACAGATTGGATGTACCGTACCTGTACAACCACGTGTCGCATCATCATGTACGTAGCCCTACGGTGAAGCAGAGTTTGCATTCTGCCATACGAGTTAGTAAAATGCATGTGTCCGACCAGTTCGATCAGCGGAGACGGCCTGCAGATTGGCGGTCGAGACCGCGCAACGTGGGTCGCTCTGGGTGGAGTGCTGATCTTTTCACGAGAATGATCCGACGAGGTACCGCGCCTTGGCAGCCATTATCGATAACGATCAATCGGTCGACGGTGAAAGCCGTGCTCTTGCTTCGTCGGCGAGGACATTTGCGGATACGAGAGTGATGTTTGCTGCATCTTTGACACATGCAGGAAGTCAGAACGGCAAATGAGCTTCAGATGTTGCCTCAGTGGCACGTCGGCACAGAGTTTTTCAGCCAACCTGCTATATTGATTCAATAAACCGCGGGCGCAACTGAACGGTAAACCACATGTTGAACGGATGCTCGGACTAAAGCTGCGAGCATGTGCTCGGCTGCGGCCCCTCAGCACTGACCACCAATCGCTAGGTTTGAGAAGCGTGGTATGGTTATATCGCGTCGGCGGAAGACGCAGAGAAGCGTGCGTCGTCATGGTTTGATGGTTGATTGATTGTCGCGTGTAGGGCTGATCCCAGTACAATTCACCAACCCATGCCGATTGCGCCTTCGAATCAGGTCCAGTACCGGCTCCATAGCTTCTTTTGGTCTTCAGAACCTTCGAACTTTAATCGCGCCTCGGTTAGCCAGGTATTCATGCGCCTAGAGCTGCATGACTAGTAAGTCATCTCGCGTGGTACGTACCTCAAAATCGATCATGGTGATTTCTGTGAATCCCTCCGATAGCTTAGGCTCACGATACCTTGAAGCGAATCCAGTGAACGCAAGTTTCGGTAGAATTGTTCGCTTTTCGGGGTTACTCTGTGTAGTCTATCAGCATTGTCGGGACCTTTTCCGTTTCGTTGCAAGTCGCCGTATTGGACATTCTCCGCAGTGCTCTAACAATGTAACTGCCTGATTGGAGAATAGTACAACCGCTGGGCTGATACGAAATGGTGGCTTGTGTGTCTATGCACCAGTTGTTGAGAACTCACCTCCGGTCCTAGGCTCAAGGCGCGAACAGCATCGTTGTGCTCACAAAGCCTTGATGATGCCGTGAACAGAATGCAGCGTATCGGCACATTTAGCTTCTGTGCTAATTTTACCCAGATTTCGCGCGTGGCTGGGTCCGCATTTGTGTTGTCTAGATACATTAGTCTTTACATCATGCGGTCTTGATCGAGGTCCGGAAATACATACCAACGACTACACTCGTGCCTTCCTCAATGAGAGCTGTGGCTGCCTTGATGCATTTCTCGCGCTGTTTCAAGATGTTACTCAGAGAAGAGGGGGTTGTAATACAACATGCATCGTAATGCAGGTTCGATTGCGTGTCGTTACTTACAGTTTTTAGTGTGTCTTGGTTCACACGGCCGTAACCCAACGGCTGCAGATGCTTCCAATAGTACGAGGACTTGCCCGCTCCAGGACTACCGCAGAGCAAGATGATGTCGATTGTCTCTGACTTTGTGACGCCTTTTGCTGCACGCCAGTGTCAGTCATCTAGTATCGGAGCAGTGTATCAAGTGCCGTATGATCCCAGAACGTACATGCAGATGCAGACTCCTGAGCCAGCTCACGCTCTTTGAGGTATACAGTGGGGTCGAAACTTCTTGTAAATGGTCTTTGCTCCTCGTGAAGGAAGAACTCCTCGGGTGTGTAAAACGGTAGACCTACGTTTGCCGCAAAATCTCTAGTTCTTGTTAGCACGCTTTGGCCACCAGCTTTGCTATTGTTCAACAGGTGGATCGCTAACCTGTCGACACAAGAGTGGTCTTTGACACCACCAGCTAGTGCTTCTCGTCCGCCTGCATCCCCAACAAAAAGCGAGTTCTCTAGATCAACAGCATCTGCTCCGTCAAGATCGTAGTCGTCCAAGATCTCATGCCACATGCCTGTTCTAGGCTTCCGGTACTGGTCACGCGCGGTGGCAGCATAGACGGAGATAGGGATATCTAGCTGGTTGAGAACAGCTGAGACCTTCCCCTTGAAATCGGCCAATCGCTTCTGATCAGATTTTACAGTCTTCGGGTCAGGCTTTAAGCTAATGCCACCTTGATTGCTCACAATGGCGACCAGATAACTGTTCAACTTGTCAGCAGGCGACACTTAGACCCTAGGGACATGGTGATGCTGCGCTACCCTTCTCCTTGAAGCCTTTTCAGTGTCCCAGGTACAGTGCTATGCCACCACTTCCAATCCGTTGCATCACGACTGAAGACCTTTCCAGAAGCGGATGTGATTAGCGTGGAATCCTACAATATTATTTGTTAGAACACAGAAGACCGCAGCAGCTCACACAGTTTGGCGTGTAGTCTTACGAAATCGAAAGCTGCTACTCTCGTCCTGCCAGTCGCTGTCGTACGTGCAGCCGCTGTCGCAGCCACATATTTCCCAACAAGAAGACTATCTTGCACAATGCGCCAAGTCATCTTCTCAGGCTCCTTCTTCGATAATGGAGTAAAGAAGTTCGCTACCGCTTTACCTAGACTAGTGTTCAGTAATACGTAGTTCAACGCTATCTTCTTCGACCCTACTGGTGGTGGTTGACTGCTGTTTCCGCTTTGGGGGCGGCGGAGAAACACCTCTATTATCCGAGCTGGGTCGCTTCCCTAGACCTGGGCGATCGACCATGTTGGTTTCAGTGATGCGGTCCTATGTGTGGTGTGTGGTGATTTCGCAGAGCCTGTTTACGGATTTATGCTGTTGTGCAAGTGAGGTCGAGGAGGGCGTTCGCTTGAGCTTGCACGCTCGTTGCGCGTGAGCACGTGCCCAGATAGAGCTCAATCACGCCTGCCTTCACTCCAGGTTACCCGCTGATTTGAGTCGGGATGAGCTCACGTCGCTTTACACCTCACTTATGACGAAATGCGTCTTTGGTATTGTTGCAAACGCAGTCTATACAATTTGTGGACAAAGGTTATACATACACGACATTCGTCAACGCAAATACAGTGGGTGTGAACGGGCGAGCGAGAATAAGATTGGCATTGGAATTCCACGAAGCGATCTACTTCGATCTTCAGCATGCGCCCTTGGACAGGCTCAGGACTTCCATTGCTATGCCCGCTCCCGACTGTCGTCTTCCTTTGATCTGAGCCTTTCGCCGACCCTAGTGTCTAGTCCATGGGACTGCCACTGCCCCGGATGTATTCCCTTCAGAGCCTGGGTAGCAGCCGAGCGAGAGTGTAGCAGCAGTCAAGATTGCCTCCTCGCATATGTACTGTGCTGTACTTGTCCTACGCAACCTGTCTCGGTCGCACCAGGCGTCTTTCGCCAACAACGCTTCGTGCTAACCACACGTTACACCACGACACCGATGTGTTCAGCGAGGGCGATTTTGTGCTGGGGCAGCGCCAGCATGCGGAGGTTTGTACTTGACGCGCGTATCGAGCGACAGGCGATCCGGCAATGACAGTTCCACGCAGCCCGCCATCTGCTTTTGAAAGCCCTTCAGCTCGTTGACCCCACTCTCCAGTGTCGCTGCATCTTTGAAATCCTGCACTCGCAGTTTCACCTCGAGTATGTATGCGCCGCTCATGTCGAGGAGCTGCAGTGCAGCGAAATCTGGCAGCTGGGTCTTGGGAGCTACTTCGAGACTGCGAACGCCGGGCTCATGGAGGACGCGATGCAGAAAGATGATGACGTTTCCGTGGACAAAGCGATGTCCTTCAACATAGTACTCGGTGACGAAGCTGAGATGTGGATTAGTTGCTGGCAGCCGGGTGAATATTGAAGAACTCACCGGTTGGGTCCCGTAGCAATCATGTGGGCGTGAGGGTCACCGGAGAGCAGGTCTGTTGTGTTTGTGAACCGGATCGATACCCCTCTGTCGCCAGTGTCTGGCTGGTCTTCCCATCTCATCGACCACTTAGCCTCTTCGCCGTCCTTCACGTCAGCAGACAATGGCTTGCCATGCTCAACACCGAAGTCATCCTCGGACAGTTTCTGTATGAGCTTGGTGTAGTAAAGAGCAGCGGCAGCAGTTGCGGGCTTGTTGCCCTGTTTTAGAGCAATGTTTTGAGTGCCTCCCCGGCGAACGTTCAAGCCGGGCTCCTCAGGCTCACGCTGGGGCTTGTAGATGATGCATCGCTCGAGGATGCGAAGGGGCTGCATGGCCGCAACCCCCGCAAGAATCTTCAGCACTTGCTCATGGCGACCAACAGGGACCTGTCCGTACAGCAGCAACTCGTACATGGAGAAAGAGGAGAACGCTGGATGGCGGGACCGGACTCGGACACGCCAATATCGATATGCAATTGGCGGGGGTCAGCAAGTGGACTTCTCCGTGGGGTAGATAAGAAACAGGCAAGAGTTGGCGGTGTTGGCAGCAGGTGATTGGCGGGTCGTTAGTTGATCTTGCAGAGTTGAGAAAAGCGACGCGGGCTGGACAAGCTGTCAGCCAGGGTAGCTTGAGCCCAGACGCTTTCCCGGCGCGTGAACGCTGCGAACGGCCGCAGAATCGCATGCTAGAGTTCCACACGCAGCGTGAAAAAAATCGGCTTGTTCATTCACTGGAGGGCCAGGAGGGCCAGGATCCCGCTCAGGCGATGATGAGATGATATTTGGTGTATCAATTCGGATGGCCTCATGCGATATGCGGAGGAACCGCGTATGTGGCGTCACGGATGGCCTCGGCGTTGGTCTTAGTTTCCGCGAACATTTATGCTTCCTCATCACACCATCGGCCCCTCCTCCACCCAACCCGTCCGTTCCCGCTTCCTGCTGTCCGCTCCTCTCGTCCTCTGAATCCATAACAACGCTGTGATCTCTGCCAACTCACCTCTGACGCGACAATCCCAATACTGAATTTGCCTGTGAACGCGCGACTGCCACCGCCGAGCTCCGAAATCCTCCGACTCCGTCCTCTTCACAATGAACGCGACCAAGATTCTCCAGCAGGGTCGCCAGCCCATGATCCGCTTCCTGGGCAAGCGCACCATCCCGACCAGTATGTGTCGGCTTGTATTCTCAGTGCATACCTGAAATTAACCACATCTAATAGAGGTGGACCACACTCCCCACGCACACCCAGCCGCCCCCACCGACGCGCTCCCAGAGTCTTTCGCATCCTACCGCAAGAAGGCACAGCAGCACGGCCCCCTGAACCCCGGCCTGAGCAGCAACTACTCATCCATCGTCGGCGGCCACATTGGCGGTGCTCCCGGCACTTCGCTTGGTCGTGTCGAGGCCGGCAAAGGCGAATACTTTGACCGCTCCGAGCTCCCCGCCCGCTTTCAACGGCTGTCATGGACGCCAGCGGAGATCGAGGCAGTCGAGTCTGGCGGTGCCAGCATGTTTGCATGAACAATTGAAGAGCATGAGCTATGACGACTGGACCGAGATTAGATTGCTGTACAAATACAAGCGCCAGGAAGCGATGTCAAGATTACGAGCGGGAGATGACGGTACTGTCAGAGACTGGATTTGAACTGGTTCAACAAAAGCGAGGTTGATAGGCGCTACTTTCTTTGTATACCCTTGAGAGACGAGAAGTGGTAGGAGTCCATTGCGCACCGTCGGCTGGCGGTGGAGATTCCAAGGAAGGAGCTTCAACGGCGACACGAATAGGATTTAATTTCACCTATAGGAAATTCATCATTACTATACGAAATGTGAAAAACGTTCTTACTAACTTCACTTCGTCATTCATGTATACCTATGCTCTTTTCACAGCAGACGACTGGAAACTCCAAACTCGCATCAAAAGCACCATCACACAGAACTCACCCCTCATTGAATTCAGCCCACGCGACACCCCCAAATCACTGACATCACCACAAATCCCACTAGACTCCCACCACTCCCGCTCCCACACCATCCTTCCACCCGAGCCTCGCCCGCGCCGCTCGGCTATTTCTCGGCATACCGAAAACGAGAGTCGCATGTGAAAAAGCAACCCCCCACATTCACCCACCGGGGCCAGCCAGAGTTTTCTGCAGGTGGGTAAGATGCGCCAACTTACTGCTTGTAGTAAGTAAGACGTTGGGGTGTGGAAAGCAGTACTTGTTACCGCCGGGTAAAGGGTGGTTTTGTTGAGGAGTAGGAAGAAGAAAAGTGAGATTGTTGAAAGAAAAACAGTAGGGAAGAATTGTAGTGCGCATGAATATTGAGGGTGTGTTGAGGAGATGGACATGTAGTGCATTTGGGATCTGGATGTTTGATTACTCGTTAATCAGAGATAGGTGAGATGTTTATTGTTTGTAGCTAGCTTTCTATCTGGCTGAGCCTTGCCATATCGCAATTGTGAGGATGTCCATCCACCATGAGCAGCGTGCCAGAATTCCATGCGACATCTGCATCTTTCTGATCTGTGAACCTCATCAAGCTCAGCACGTGGAACTTCACAGCTCTCTGCTCGAGGTTCGCAAGTTATCGTCTGCTAGCATCAAGCCATGCACTTTCGGCTTGACATTGACAGCTGCTCTGCATCGTCGCGACACTAGACACATGTCTCTGTCACGTACCCGTCCTTGCACCATCACCCTCACAGTCCACGCAATCCTTCCCCTCGCAAACCTCAATACACCCCCTCACAAACCCAATGCGCAACCGCACAAACCATCACAGTACACACTCCCCTCACACAAACCTTCCCTCCCACATGAAACACGCCCCTCACCCACCACACCCCGGCGCCATCCCCGATCGATCGCCCTTCCAACCCCAGGCTGAAACAAAGCACCGAACAGAACAACCGTTCGCTTGCCCATTGTTTCGTTCATTGTTTATTCACGTTGCATAAAGAATCACAAATGACGTTGTGAAATAAAGGGGGAGGGGGGCTTGTTTTGTTGCTTGGGTTGCATTCCTTTGCGAGAACGTGCGTGCGGAGGCTGTGTAAGTACGTAACACACGCGACCATCGCAATTCCGGGCGAGTCGGGTGCTGTTATTGTTGGCAGGGCTAGGAATAGTGCGCGCGCGGGCGGTGGATTCCGAATTATAGACATGAGAGGCGATAATAGATATACGTGAATAGGAGAAAGTCAAGAAACCATGGCGCAAAGTAGAGAAGTGTTGTGAATCAATTTTTGTATTGTTGGTAGAAATGTGTTTCTATCCTCCCGATGATAGTATAGGGTATCCGCAGACTTGCTTCCCCACACACCATGTTGCCCTAGGTGCAAGTGTACAAGAAGTGAAAAGGTAATACCAACGCCCGGTGTACGCCGCGCGCTGACTTTCTCAAAGAGTGACAAGAAGCGAAGCGTTGGAAATTGCGAGTAGCAATGCCAGACAAACAAAGAACAAGCAAATGTCCAACAGTAGAGGGAAAAGCGAATCCGAAAACAAGACCTCAGAGGAACCCCGAAGCTTGTGCAAAATCACCCAGTCGTAACGTGTCATGCAAAGCGCTGACCTGCCTGCGCTAGCTGTAATGCAAAAAATGTTTGATAGAGGGGTATATTGTTCGTCGCGCAGAGGGAGCGCGTGGTTGAGGTAATGAAATGGAGCGCTTAGTTGCCGCCCACCTTGCGCCAGCTGGCCTTGTAGCGCGTAAGCTCGTCTGTTCCGGTGACGGCCTTCCAGGCAGCAGGCGACAGATCGATGTCATGGCCAGAGCAGCCAGGGCACATGTCCATGATGGTAGCAATCTGGGGCTCACCACCGTTGTACGAAACCTCAATCTTCTGTCCGCACCAGGGGTTGGTTGCCTCGCCAGTCATGACGTCGTAGGTGGACGCGCCCCAAGCCTCCTTGGAGAGCGCAACGATCATGTCGGTGTCATAGAGAGGCTTGCCACAAGCACCAAGGTCGCCCTTGAGGTTGTTGTAGACGGTCATGTCGACGTCGTTGAAGTCCATGGCTCCTCCGCTGGATGGCTTAGACGGAGCTGGAGCTGGAGCTGGTGCGGGGGTATATTCAGGAGCGGGCGCGGGTGCGGGCGCAGCAGAAGAGACAGGAGCTGGTGCGGGAGCAGGCTGAGGGGTCTCCACGGGCTTGGGCGACTCGACTGGCTTGGGCGACTCGACGGGCTTGGGAGTCTCAATTGGCTTAGGAGACTCGACGACAGGCGCAGGAGCGGATGAAGGGGCAACCGGAGTTGGCGATGGAGGAGGGGGCGCAACATAGGCGCTGGTAGGCTTCTCCGGAGCGGGAGAAGGAGCGGGAGCCGCCGAGGTAGGCTTAGCAGAAGGAGTGGCGGGCTGCTCGTAGAAGTAACCAGCGGGCGTGGTGGTGGCCGAAGCGACGGGGTAGTCATCATAGACAGTGGTGTAGACAACGACGGTCTCGACGACGACCTCAGTCTTGTAGGCGAGAGATCGCCTGTCGACGGGCGCAGCAACGGCGAGTGCGCCAAAGAGCATGGAAGCGAGGATGGAGTTCTTCATTTTTGTGGATTGAATGTTGTTTGCTAGATAGCAGGAGTTGTTGCTGAAAAGCTAAGGTGTGTTGTTGCTAGGAATAGCTGGTCTTTGGATATTCGCAGGGAACGAGTGAACCGTCTAGCAGTTCAAGTGAGTTGGTGTCTCGTAGGGACTGTGAAGAGATACTGGATCTCTGTGAAGGAGTGAAGGTGGGGGAATGAAAGTGAACAAGTGCAAAGCCTCAAGCCTGTAAAGAGTGGCAGGATGGGGCAGCAGAGTGGTTTTTAAGGCAAAGTGAGTGTGGAGTGAGTGAAAGAGAAAGCAGGAACCACTGTGGAGTGGACGGCACTTGTGGGAGAAAGCGTCGAAACTAGCGTCGAGGTTAGCGCCTCGGACCCCTGGCAACGCCGCTAAATACAGATGGTGCCAACGCCGTCGCCGCGAAGCCGCGCTCGCATCTTCCGCGCATGGGAGAGACAGCCTAAACGACATCCGGCGAACGTGGCAGCCTGTACGTCCATCGCTCCGGCCCAGCTGCAAAGTGGATTAACGGACCGTGGTGTGTTCAACAATTGCGCTGGCGCTGCACACCGTCGCTTTGCGCTCGCTGGCGGTCACCCGGCCTTGGAGCAGAAGCCGCCTCGTTGACAGCCCTCTACAATGGATCAAAGGGACTCTTTGACACATGACAGCACCTTGGATCTCTTTCATTCTTTGCGCCGCGCCAGCTGACAATGCGCTCTGCACTTGTCAAATACGAAGTCAACGACCAAAAAAGCGCCAGCTGTGGTTTCAGGCGTCCGCAAGGAGCAAGCAGGCCGCATGGAACCCAGCGAATAGGCATTCAGCCGGCAGTGATCTTCAGGTACGCTCACCTCGCGTCTTGGTCAGACAGGGGCCCGTGGTTGAAGCTGAACAACGGCACAACGAAACATCCTTGGAAACGTGCCGCCTGCGCCTCATGGTGAAATGCTGAGAGACAGGAGGCTTTCGCAGGTTTTGCGCCGCCCTGGTTTCGCCGATTCACATCCAAGATTCTGGCCAGCATTTCGAAGCGTAGAGCCCAGAGCTGCCACGGTCGCCGGCTTGCAAAGCTGGCCGTCCACTCACGGCGCACATCTGGTGGAACCGCTCAGTCGCTCAGAATTTGCGCACTGCATTTTCGTCATTGGCCCAGTGCTCTCCATTGCTGCCCAAAACCTGCTGTGCGCCGATTTGCGACGTGGACCGCTGCCAGGGTGACATCCACGCTGCAGATGCGGTTGCTTTGCTGCCGCCGCATCTAACTCGTCACGTCGTTTCTCGCTTGACAGGCTCACTGCAACTCCACTGCTTCTGGACTTCTGGTGTCACTTTCGATGATGGCATTCTCACGCTTCTGAGCATGTGCTGGAAATGAATTGTGGGCCTTGCACGTTTTTCACTGGGCGGCACGGCGCCTCGGTTCCGCGCGGTAGGCCAGAGCCAAAATTCGCGCCTTATCTTATCCACCTATCGATACCTATCCTTCTCCACAACCGTTGCGCTGGACCTATCGCTGCTCGGAAGGGCCACCATTGTCTGCTGCTGGTCAGCAGAAAGAGTTTTCTTTGTTGATTCCTCGGCGACAGTCATTGAGTAATCCGACAGTCACCCATTGTACCTGTCCGCGCGTCCTAGCACCCAGCCGAACTCACTTCCATGCGCAACTAGAGAACGTCGAGAAAGTTACGCAACACCCTGAAGCGGGGTAAGAAAGAGTCTGGGAACACAGTCCTCCGCTTCGAAGAACGGCCGTGGAACCCCAGCCGACGGTACGGGTTGGAACGGTTCACTGCTGGGCCTCTTCGTAACCATGGTTCGGTACTTTGCGATCGATCGCACACCCCGTCCTGGGGACTCTGTCCGCGCTCGAGCAAGCAGCCTTGTCGGCACTTGACATGAAAAGTATCTGTCAAACATGGTGTCTGGACTGCTACTTTCGCGGGTCGCGGGGTCCCCGAACCGTACCATGTCGATATGTCGGCTCGCCTAGAGCACGATGTCGCAACAGTACCGCTCACTTGCGCAAGTCATCGAATGCCGTGACACATTCCAGTCTCTACATTACACTACTGTGGGTTGATGAGGTCAAGACAGACTTCAACCTGTTGTGGCAGTGATCCGAAGTGTCTATTCCTCGAGCCGAGCACAACTCAAATCAGCACCACAGTGGATGATATGCAGACTATCGTACTGCAACTCCACTTTGTTGCTGCCAACACGGCTGTCACGGCTAATATGTAGTAGCAGGGTGGGTAAGTGAATCAAATGACAGATGACATTTGGTGTGGTCGAACAGCGTCACGAACACTGACGGCGCATTAACTCCTCCGCACAGCAGATGTGCAATAGGTGCCCGTGAGGGAGCACAGAGGTCATGTTTCAAGTCATGCTGTGCAGCAATTGTTTAGTGAATAGGCTCAACATTCGTGTTCATTCAGATATGTCATCTGTTATGCGTTCGATTCCCTTGTCTAGTGCCACATACGAAGGCGCAAATGCCGATTACAACCAGTCATATATCAATTGTAAGAATTCCGAGCATGTGAAGTGTTTGTCCATGCACGGTTCATAGCCTTTGCACGTCTTCATGTACCATGAAGTCCGGGAGACCTAAGTCTGGATCAGATCACGGTACTCAAGAAGCGTAACAATATCACAGGAAAGTCTCGCAAGTAGGAGAATGATAACTTGCAACAATATAAGAACCCTTTCCCACAGGTGAATCAGCTACACATTACCTGTCCAATCACACGAGGCTCGCATATCTACATATTCCATGTTGAAATCTCCTTCAAATTCTCCACCACTTCTGCAGCTGTAGGCTTTGTCGTAGGTGCTAGATGTGGCATAGTCCCGATAAGCATCGCCAGATTCTTCCACTCACCACCTTTACCAATGTCCCATTGATCCAGCAAATCTCGGACAGCGACTTTCAATAACGTTGTACGCCTTCCTAAGACTAGCTTTTCAAAGTGGAAGCTCTCGTCTTTGTCCATGGGGTCGGGCTGGCTTTCCTCGCCTCTCCAAAATCTTTGTATCCTGCCTTACCTCCGGTGAACCAAGCCAACAAATCCAGATACAGACCGCCCATGGACCAGATATCGTAAGGTCTAGACGATTGACTGGAGTTATCTTCTTCAGACTCGGGTGGATGGTAGGGCTAGTCGCCCCTATAGAATGTCTTGTGACCATCATAGAGGAGAAAGTGGCAAACATTTCAGGGCGGAATGCGAATGCGTAGCTGAAATTATTGAAGAAATACGTCCGTGCGAAAGACCATCGCGCAGGACGCTCTAGTTACTGGTTCCGGAAGTCTACTTGAACCATGACTTTGACTTACACTTACACTGTATAATCTGAAGCCCACACCTCGTGATGTAGATCTGCCGAACTATGAGTATGCGTAGACTTTCACACCTTTCTGACTGACTTTGTCAGAACTTGGTAAGAAGTCATTCGACCGGGAACGGTGAGTCGTGTAGTTTCTCTTCTCAATTTGTTTTACCTTAAGATCATGACAGAAAAAATGCTAGGATATTGAGAATTGATACTGAGATGTATGAGAAGCTGTACTAAGGAAAACAAAGAGCAAAGACTGTAGACCAAAAGAAATACCTACTCGTTCTTGTACCTACCCGCTGAGCTGCCATGGCTCAAGACTAATCTCACCTCACCTTTCAAGGCATTTGAGAGATCAGCTCAAATTGGGTTTTGTGAGTCGTTGAGAGCTGTGACCAAATCCCGAGCCGTGATGCGGTTTTGAGGGTCAATTGTGAACATCGTCCGGATGATGCTGATCATATTGCGCCATTTGCTCAATTCAAGGAGGTCGAGCTTGTCTTTCAGAACTTTTGACAGGTCCAGTGTACTGTCCTGACCGACGAACCAGCAATCGTGCTCACCTTCTTTTTCATACACATCCTTCGCGAAGGTGCCGTGACCGTCTTTGCCCTCGGTCAACCACACTAAAATCTCTGTGAAGACACATCCTAGTGCCCAAACATCGTGAGGGCGACCAGTAGGGCTACCAGCAGGGAGAGCACCCAGATGCTCCGGAGGAAGGTATGGGAACTGCCCTCTCGCGCTCGTTTTCGGACTTGACAAGGGCGTGTCATCTGAAGCCCTGAAGCTAGCACAGCCCCAGTCAGTGAATTTCAGGGTTACACCGTTGCCACAAGCAAGTATGTTGTCCGGCTTGATATCGTGATGGACGCCGGTGCGACTGTCCTGTGGCTCGTGGATTAGTTTGAGCGCACCCGCAAGGCCACGGATCTGCTGCTCCACCCAACCTTCACCCTGTGCCATCTTCTCCGGGGAAATGCTTTCATTGAGCATGAGGCCCTGTAAACTGTTTTGAGCAAGTTCACTAACGAGATAGCGAGAGTCTTCGGACTGGCCTTGGGTATGAACCGTGAAAGCTGCATAAGACTTCATGATATGTTTGTGAGGCCGATGTGTTGCAAGGGTATTGGCGAATGATATTTCTCTTTGGGCATAGACCTCTTGTACTTTATTGCCCAATTTGTACACTTTGATGGCAACTTCTCCGGTGAGACCAACGTCATCACGTTAGGCCGTGATTTCTGGAATCTTGCAGTAGTCTGTGTCAAGTCGAGCCTTGTAGACCGTGCCACTGACACCGGATCCTAATGATTCAACTCCTTGTGAAGAGCCAGGCAGCTCAATAGGCACGCCAGCACTTGAATAGTGTGCAGCAAAGCCACCACCAGTAAGGGCTTGAGGTACAAGGTGCTGAAACTCGTTGAAGAGGCTGGCATTGTCGCGAACGTCCTGGGGTTGGTCAATGAACTTGTCATGCGCGAAGGGGATTTCGGCATCAGTAGCTCTATGCAGAAGGAAGATGCTCAAATAATGCATCGTAATCTTGGCGGCAACGCATATAATGAACATACGGCGTCCTTTTCTTTTGATAACATTGATCAGAAGGTTCTTTTTGACACGAGGAATAGTCCTGTCGCTTTCGACGATGTTTCTGACATTGAGGTCGTTCGCAAGTTTGTCGATGTCTGAAGGCCGCAGATATCGAGAGATTTTGTTGTCGAAATAGCGGGTTGTTAAGACGTCGTTGATGTATGTGTGGAGAGAAGTCGCGGCTCGAGGGCCGGGGACATACACTTGGGTGGTCATGTGAATCGGATTGACAACAAAGTGTATTCAGAAGTGAAAGAACTATGTCTAGATACTTACCATCCATCCATCCATCATCTCCTCCTCTTGTACCTTCCTGCGCTGTGTGCCAGCAAACGGAATCACAGCATGTGTAGACTAAGAATGACCAGATGCCTTACCACCGTGACTTTTCCAAGCCGGCGACAAGCTATTGTCAGAAGTCTCGCGACCAGCAAGTAGAAGAGCAAGCAGAACATGACATCTGCAGGTTCGTTTTCCTCTCCGCGAGAGCTACGGTGAGACTCCAACATGATTAAAACGTGCTTGCGCATCGCCATGAGCCGCTGAGCATGACCACCATAGCAACCATCAACATGGCAGTTCAGTCCCTTGTTTTTCAGAGCGGAGATCGTTGATGCATTCGTGAAGCTTCTTCCTCTTGTCCTTTTGCATCAATAGTAATGACTGGTAAATGCGGCGCGAGTTTGCCCACATGTACCAGACGCTGATGGTAAAGAGTGTCAACGGTATGGAGACCGCGAAGAAGAGCCATGCATTTGTAGCGTACTTGATCTTTGTTTCACCCGAAGGCAGCTCTTTCTTGTCTACAAACTGGGTAGAGTAGAAGCTCTTCAAATATATTAGCGAAGATCTGATAAAACGATTTCTCTAGACTATGCTTTTTACTTACTGATACGACGGTACATGGAAGGTAGATCAAAGTGATGATTGTGAGTATCCGCACGCTGGTGGAGTCGTGGCTGCTTTTCTCTGCTAGTTGTCGCATCATGGCGTTTTCTTCTTGTCCTTGTCTTTCAAGATTTTGCAGCGCAGCCATCTGTTGGTCGAGATTGTGGCCATTCATCCTTTCCAGTAATGAAGAGACCTGGAAACCGGTCAGTCTTGTATTTGTTGTCGGAGTTTAGCATCCTACCAAGGCACGCGTGTTCTGCGCTTTCATGAGAAGTGCTTCTGCCTTCTTTCGAGAGTATGCAACTTCGTTCACTTTCTCTTCTAATGCCACGTACATCTCATCGCTTTCCCACTGTCTGTTAGTGATGTATTCGCTGCGTTCAGGATCTTGAAGTGGGCCACAGTAATGTCGACGATACATTTCGGTGAGAGTGTTGATGCTCTCAAATGTTGCATCCAAACATAGAATCACGTCCGAGAGCTGATCTTCGATCTCTTTGAGACTTTGGTAGTCTTTTACGTCAACAGCATAGCCGCCGCGCAAAGACTCGTCCTTCTCAATAGTCGTGATAATGGATCTCGTGGACTACTTCAAGTTAGACGGTCATCGTAGAAGGTGTATTGTAACCTACCAACTCCACCATATCATCATGCAGGTGAGCTAAATATGGCCGCCACGACGCGATTGCAACGTCGTGGAAGATGATATGAAGCTCAAAAGGATTGGCGGTGTACGGATCGAGCACTGTTCTGGCGAAGTCGTCGAAGCATTTCTCTGTACGCTGAGAGGATCCTACAAGGATCCAGGTCGAGTAGCGAGTTGGTAACTCCCGGAATTTGTGGTACACGGCAAATTGACGTAGAGACCACGATGGCCTTTCATCCCTATTGGTAAATTCCATGAATCTAACGACATAGGCAGTCTCCAGGCCATTTTCAGAAGAAGCACCAATTATCAAGATCCAGATTGACCACTTACCAAAGCCGGGACTCCTTTCACATTTCAGCTTGAGGATCGGACGAAACCTGATTCGTGGCGGACCAATCTTTGTTTCCTTCAACTTCCACTTGAAGTCGATCAGAAACTCCCCAAATTGTGGGAAGACCCGACATCCCAGCACCAGGAGCTGGAAATTTTCTTTTGTGATTTGCAGACGTTGACGTGAGTTCACCTGCCTGATGTAACTGTGTGATAGTCAGCCTTAAGGACAGCTCGCAGCGCGTGAGACCTTACAATATCCTGAATAGTGCATTTGTGGCCTGAGAACTGAGTGTCAATCCCAGAATTACATATTTGAAATGTCAAAAAACATACCTGTATCAGGTCTTCCAAGGTCAGGAGATTGACGTTCATGATCATATAACGGGTTGATGCAGGCATAGTCGAATTTTGCTCGCGCCCACATCCGACACTGACGGACTCCACATGACCGCCTGTGTACATCCGTGTAGCTGCCATTGTCGAATCATGCTGTACATCGACTACTGGAGTTTGCTTGTTCTGTTCTGCGCATCCGGATGATTCCGCAACCGATGGTCCTTGATCTGACGGCGATTTCTTTTTCTTCTTGTACGCGGCAAGGTCTACACCAGACCAACAACGTAGCTCCACCTTAGTACGAGTCTCGTCTTTCTCGAAGACAAGGCCGGCATTACGCTCGTAAAACTCGCCTGCTACGGAGTTACGTTGCAAGCATAGGGATTGATGGAAGAAGTCTGTGGCCATCGTTTGTCTCTCGCCGAATTGCAGACAGTTCGTGATGAAACCTAGGAGAGAGTGTCGGTCGCAGACACAGATAAAGGGTGGTGAGGCCGAGCATTGTTACACGGCCTTCCACAGTTGACCGGAAAGCCGCCTTCATAGGACGAGTGCGCAACACCAATATGGAGACCAGAACACAGTCGTGCAGACCCAACTTTTCCGGGTTGTACTTCTACTGCTTCGATTCTGTTAAGTCTACTCGTCCAGTTTTGCGATGCTAAGTTCTTCGGCCGCTTGTAGCTGTCTGCAACTCAATGGGTTGACTTTTGGCGTTGTATAGGAGCTCAAAGTCGAACTCTCTGAGCACAAGCCGTGTGCAAGATAGCAGTCGTGTGATGTGCGCGAACTTGTGTGTGAGCGCATGTGTACCGTGTGCACGGCACTCTAAAATGGCACAACATGCGCCAGACACTTACATGTGATAAAGATCGGCCCAATTCCTGTCCTGCTCTGAAGATCTTGACCAACAGTACACTTGCCTAATTTCAGCTATGACTGACGCTACACCAAACGGACTCATACTGCAACCACTCGAATCTAATTACTTGGTAAAAAAACTCATAGAGAAAGAGTGCCTAGCTGAGTATGGACCAGACAGATATTTTCATGTAGGCGTATGTCGTGACTGCTTAGTATCCGTAGCAGCATGTTCATTCACTAACATGTACATCGTAGACTGTTGAGAAGTACGAAACATCACCGGCTGGCCGAAAATCAGTGACCAGACAATACGTTCTGAAAGTTCCCTGGCGTCTTAACGAAGTAAGTATTCATAGATATAGCAAGTCAGGTGAATTCATCTGATCATGGCTAGGCTGCAATAGAGCGATGTCAATTGCCGCCAGAAGAGCCATCGGATTGATTGGCGTATGCACGTTCTGAGGGTACTCGCAGTGGTCACATGAGAAGCTTTTGTTCTTCCAAAGATTAATCGCGAAGAATCGAGTATTCGACTACTATGTCTGTGATGAATTGATCATTGCTGTGATGGGTGAGCACGAGATGAATCCATCGCGACACCCAATGCGCGCTAAATTTCAGGGTCCACTGAGCGGAAGCTCCCCGCAACGTCATCGCACGTGGCTCAAGCTTAGCTTTCAACCATCTTTCACAAACAATTGCTGCCTGTCCAAGAAGCCACATTTCGCTCCCGTGCTTACTATTGTACTCCTGATAACAGAAGCCTCATATTGTCCTCTTCCCACACGTAAACAAAACGCTCCGACCCACAAAATGGCAGCCACGCGCCTCCGCAAAACATTCCAATACCCGTCCGAATCCGACGACGAAGACGCCGTAGAGCAAGGCATGGACGAACAAGGTACATAAGCCCTACCAAACCCTCTTTTCTTGTGATGCAGCTCTCAAACACATACGCGTCCCTCTCACAGCTAACACCTCCCGCCAGACCAAGACCACCTCATCTCCACCCTCTCCGCGCGCGACACATCCACAACACGCATCTACACGCTCCTCCTCAGCGCGCTGCCCCTCGCCCCCGCACTCCTGCACATCCCTCTGCTCCTCAGCATCTCTACCGTCATGCCGAGTCTCGCAGCGATAGCAAGTTTCCTCGCAAGCGCGTACACGCTGTACTTCCTCCCACTGGCGCCGCAAAAAATCAGCATTTTAAACAGTGCGGATTTGAAGGCAAATAAGGGGAAGAGGGGAGGATATCAAGCGGCGCAAGTGGAGAGGAGAGCTGTGCCGTATGTGTCGGATGAAGTGGCGGAGATGTTGGCGAAGTACATGGTTCCTGCGAATGCGGGGCTGTGTGTGTTGATGGCGGTTGCGGAGTTCTTCTCGGGCCATGAGTGGAGCGAAGGCCTGGCTGTTGGTGGCGGGTTTCTGCCTGGGTTCGTGCTGAGCGTGGTGTTGTGGGCGCGCAGGGAGTTGAGGGTCGTGGATATGACGGAGTTGGAGAAGCTAAAATTTGCTTCGAAAACTACATGACCGAGAAGCAGGTGTTGGGATAGGGATGGTGATTTGTTTTTAGCGTGCTTTAGATACCCCGGATGAGATGTTTTCTGATATAGCGATAGATGGCATTTCAATTTGAACCGCAAAAATGGTCGATGAAGATATCATTAGGTATATGTACATAATAGGTTCGTATACATGCCTTCCAATGCAATGCAATGCAATGCAATGCGATGCGATGCGTATGCCAAAAACAGTCACAGACCAACGCCATGCTCGCTGAATGAAGTTCAAAACACGTCTTTTGTACCATCGAACTGCGCGCCTATAGGGCGGGCCAATGCTCCATCCTCAAGGCTCGCGTTCGCCGGTATGCTGCGCTTCTAGCGACGCTGCCAGAATCGCTTCTTCCTTGGCTGTTCCGTCTTCGGCGCGCCGGCGGTCGTTGGATGTATACCACTCAGTGCACTATGGTATGCCTTCTCACTCCCCCTCTTGCGTCCCGTCTTGACATCTCTCCTTGAAGCGCAGCAACAACACAGTCCCATCTGCACAAGCCATGCGAAGATTGTGAATGCGCTGGCGATCCACATGAAGACGAAGATCGTGGTTCCAATCTCCGCGCCAATGTTCAGCTGTGCCACGCCAGTAATAGTGTTGCGGAAGATGATGAACATGACAGTTGCAATAACGGATGCGACGGTTACGATCAGTGCGTTCAGGAAGGCGAAGATGGCGACGGGCAGCGCGAGCCAGCGGGTGAAGACGGAGAGGGGCATCAGGAAGATGAGGACAAAGGTTAGGCAGGTGCCTGTGAGGAAGAGGCCGAACATCCATTGGGAGACGTATTGGATGAGGTCGAGGATGTCGTTGATGTCGGCGGGAAGATTAACTAGTATGTACTGTTAGTGCTGCCTTGGGTGGGATACAAGAATACAACGTACTCGACGCCCCAGCAAGAAGCTCATTCCTCAAGATTTCCACTGGATTGAACCAGTACAAGGTCTGTGGCTTAGAACAGAAAGTGACTCCCTCGCCTATGTACCCCTCACAGAATCCCCATAGTCCAACTTGATAGAAGTCGTGCAGTCCCAACGTCTGCGCAATGGTATTGATCAAGGCAGAATTCGGTACGGATGCCGGCACGATGTTGCTAAGGTCGAGACGTATGAAGTACCAGCCATTGATAATCTTCTGATTCTTGATGTTTGATATCTCGACGAGTATGAGGAAGACTAGTGCGACGAAGAGGAAAAATGATGTTATCAGGGCCCAGGTCTTGCGTGTTCGCGTTGCGCGTTTGATTTGTTGCTTCGAGAGTTCTGTTGCAGGTACGTCGGTAGCGGGTGTTGCGGCAGTTACTACAGTATCGTCGGATGCGTGACGGCGGTTGAAGAAGCGCATGTTGTCGGTGAAGCGAAGCGTGAACAGTGGTTGTAGTGAAGGAAAAAGTGAATGAAACGAAAAACGATTAAACGATTCCGACAACAGCAACCTTTTCGAATACCCAAGCCAAGAAAGGCGATAAACCTCGTACGCGTCGCTGCATGGCGTCGTGGACGAGTTTTATGGAGAAGGGTGACGATCTCAGACTATGACGTCGATAGCATCTGGACATCAAAGAAGGCGCGGCGAATAGACCGCGCAAGGCGCTAGACGACATAGCATGGCAACGGACCTGGTTTGACACTCAACAATTGGGCTCACCAGACGACGGCGCACTACTCGCGCACTTGCTGAGGACGAAGCTGACGGGTGGGTTGAGGATGGTGTGAAGTGCATTTGTGCAGCGGTGTGAACGTTGAATGTTCAACAGTTCCCAGGAAGTGAGGCATCCCTAGTGAAAACATTTTTATGCTGTATGATGTGTGCTGTATGATTGAGATCTGCGCAGGGTACATCACGAAGTGCGGAGCGGATAAGCGGCAGCATGATGTGAGATTGACTTTGGGGTGCCGAAGCGAGGAAAGTGGTGCCAAGCTAGACTACCCACCTCGACCATCTTGACCTCCTGGATCAGACCTCAAGCAAATGCGCTTTGCTAGGGTTGAGACAACGCAGAGCAAGGTATCACTCATTGGCACAGTGACTGCTTCTTTTATAGTAGTTAGTTTTTCATGTTCTTGATGCACGAGCAACGCAATGAGTATGATTGAACACTTCGATCAAATGAGCAAATTGCTTTGCTCATGCTTACCCTGAAACTGAGTTACTTTCAATGCAGAGTCTGACCATCCTATTCGTACATATTCAACTCCCTGACACGACACACGTATCGCAAGATGATTGTGCCCCCCACATGCCAGAACCGTCCTACTCCGCAACAAGCCCAATTTGGATACACCTCAATGATCCCAAATCCCTGCATGCCACTTCTTCTCATCGTAGAAATGCGCGCGAATCTTGCGGCCTTGGAACTCGTAGCCCTCGTCAAAGCGATTGACAGCCTACATCTCCGCGTTAGTATGGACTTGTTTTGGTACAGGAAAGTTTAAACTCACGTTCAACGCGCTCATGACGGATTCGAACTTGATATAGACCACGCCATCCTTGTTGCCTTCGTCGATCTGGACTTGTTGAACATGACCGAACTGAAATCGTAGCGTTAGTATATGATCGGAGTGAAGAGTTGTTAAAGGCATACCTTGGCGCCGAACACCTCGCCCAAATCCTGTCGGATACCACCATCGTTTCGCTGGGCATTTTCGTCCCAATCGATGCCATCAACGCATCCCCAGGCCACCACAACGGTCGATTCTTCGCCAAACTTGCCGGGCTCGTCTTGCTGATTGCGCATACCTCCACGGACGTCCCAGACTTGCTGGGACTTGACTTTGCCGCCGTCTTCGTCGAACGTGCTGCCTTTCTGTTGTTCCTTGCGCTTCTTGACCTCGAGATGAGTGACGACACCGTCGTTGTTCTTGCCGAGACCCTGTCCCTTGACATAGCCCATCTTGGCCATCATGGCTTCGGCCTTGCTGATCTTGGGGCGCTTTGCGGGACGCTCATCGTAGGCAGGTTCGTCGGCGTCGCCCATCGGGACGTCTGGGTGCTCGTAGCGGACAGGCGGTGCGGATATGGTAGCATTTGCATAGCGGACGGGTGGGCCTGAGATTGTTGCGCCCTGGTATACAGCACTGGAAGAAGTGCCCGGTGCAGCGGGTACCGGAGTTGGAATTGGAGCAGACTGCGAAGGCGGGGGAGGCGGAGGAGCCGCAGACGAAACTGCTGATGGTGGGGGCGGTGGCGCATGTTGCTGTTGCGACAGGCGCATGCGGCGAGCATACGGGTCTTCTTCTGCCTGCATGTCTGCTGGTTGCGAGGCAGTCGCAGGGTCATAGGAAGCAGGCGGGGCGAATGACGGCTTCTTCATGGTTGGTCCCGGCATCTGTTCACTGGAGGGCGAAGCTGGGCGCGACTTGTTGGAAGCTTCGCTAGTCTCGCGAGACTTGGACTTCTGAGCAGCTTGTCGCAGGAAAGCATCAAAGTCCTGCTTCTTGCGCGCATAACCACCGCTTGCCCTGTATGCCTTCAAGTTTGAGTAGCGCTCGGGCTTGAGGGGAGCGGTCGGGTTCCAGTACCCGTGCTGCTTCTGGAACTTCTTCTGCTCCTTCTTTCGCTGGCGTTCGTCGTACTGGCGCTGCCTTCGCTCTTCGAGGATAGAAGCATCGTCGTCTGCGGTACTCCGATAGTAGTCGATGCCGTGCTGCTGGGAATTGGTGACGCGGGAGGCATCTTGCGCGGTCACAGACACGACAGGCATGGCGGGCTTTTTGGCGGGTCCGGATTTCTTGGCCTGGGGGCGTTTGATATTGTGGGGGTTGTGAAAGTGGGAAGCTGCACATTCACATAAGTCCAGTGATCCAATATCAACGTGTGGAGCAAGTCGTGTAGATACCAGTTTTCTTCATCTGCTCGGCCTTGGCCTGCTCTTCAGTCCACTTGACGGGCGCAGCAGAGGCGACAGTCGCTGAAGCATAAGGATTGGGGAGCCCTCCTTGGGCATAAGGATTCGGGAGGCCATAAGGGTTGGGCAGGCCTTGCGCCTTCTTGTTATCCTGGGACGCCATGGTGTTAGCAAGAATCCTGCAGGTGCGACTGCGCGATCCGGCAACTGCTGGCTGCTCCCTGGTGCGGTTAATATTGTAAAGAGGAAGAAGAATAGTCCAGTGCAAAGAAGTGGTAAGGACGATCGGACGCAGGTGATGTTTGCGCCCCGAGTGACGTGAAGTGGTGGTCGTGAAGCCAGACGCCGTTACCTCAGCAGCCGAATCGCGGAGCCATCCCGCGCCAAGCGTCACGTGCGCTGCAGGCACCGGGTGAATCGCGTCATGCACGCGATGCGCCTCGGAGAAGTACTTGTTCGATAGAGGACGGAACAGACTCATTAGACTCATCTTTCCATCAGCAGGTTCTGGTGTATATATTGAATTGTTAGTTTCGTCGTTGTTGCAATTGAGCGATTAGCAGGTCCTCCAGATGTACAAGTGATATACCCGATGGCACTGATCTGATCTGACAAGTAGCAGTCATCCCTTATCTCTACACACAAAGCGCAATATGTCACCCTCTACGCTGGCCGATGCCTTTTCCAAGGACTCATCCGCGACTGCCATCATCGTGCCTGGCAGTCCTGCGCTGCATGTCTCCTACCAGAAGCTCACTGCCGATGTGAAGGCATTCCAGCAGCAGTTGGCGAATGTCGGTGTTTCGGCGCAAGCAGCTGTACGTGAAAATGTTGAACCACAGGATATGACAGTTTGCTCATCCTTTCACAGGTCTCCATCGCCCTTCCCAACACATACGAATTCATCGTCTCCTTTATTGCCGCATCATGGCAGCGAGCGATTGCGGCGCCTCTGAACCCGGCATACAAGCAGTCCGAATTCGAATTCTACATCGACGATCTCAGCTCCGCCATCGCACTCGTACCCAAGGGTGCTTTCGCACAGGACGCAGCAGCGGTGAGAGCAGCGCGGAAGTACAATGCGGCCATCGCCGAGTGCTACTACAACGGCAGCGAGGTTGTGCTAGATGTCAAGGAGACCGGCAAACTGGCTGGCAAGAAAGCTCAACTCGAAGTTGCGCAGCCAGACGATGTCGCGCTGGTACTTCATACATCAGGCACTACAGGGCGTCCCAAAGCTGTTCCTCTGACGCACCGCAACCTGCTGCGCACCATGAAGAACATCCAAGGAACCTATGAGCTAACGCCCAAGGATCGCACCATGCTGGTCATGCCACTTTTCCACGTGCATGGCTTGCTGGCTGGCTTCCTTGCACCCTTGGCTTCTGGTGGCTCAGTTGTTGTGCCACTGAAGTTCTCTGCAACTGTTTTTTGGAAAGACTTTGCAGAGCACAAGGCGAACTGGTACACCGCTGTTCCTACGATTCATCAGATCCTGCTCAAGAACCCCATCCCGAGCCCAAAGCCAGAGATCCGCTTCATTCGATCATGCTCATCTCCCCTCTCCCCGAAGACCTTCCATGAGCTGGAGAAGGCTCTTGGCGCGCCTGTACTGGAGGCCTATGCGATGACTGAGGCTGCCCACCAGATGACCAGCAACCCTCTGCCGCCGGGCCAGCGTAAGCCCGGTAGCGTGGGGCTAGGCCAAGGCGTCGAGGTCAAGATCCTCAACGATGCCGGCGACGAAGTACCGCAAGGCAAAGAGGCAGAGATCTGCATCCGTGGGGAGAATGTTACTAAGGGTTACCTAAACAACCCCAGCGCCAACGCCTCTTCCTTCACCAAGGGCGGCTTCTTCCGCACTGGCGACCAAGGCTTGATGGATGCCGATGGCTACGTGATCATCACCGGCAGGATCAAGGAGTTGATTAACAAGGGCGGAGAAAAGATCAGTCCCATTGAGCTCGACAATGTCATTGCGCAACACCCAGCTGTGTCTGAAGCAGTTAGCTTCGCGATTGAGGATGAGATGTACGGACAGGATGTCGGTCTTGCGATCGTCCTCAAGGATGGCCAGACGCTCAACGAGGGAGAGCTCAGGGCATGGATGTCAGAGCGTCTCTCCAAATTCAAGCTTGCAAAGAAGGTAAGTTTCATCCCGCTTCTCAATACATCGCGCGACACAGCCTAACAAACTGCAGGTTTTCTTCACCGATATCATGCCCAAGACAGCCACCGGCAAGATTCAAAGACGCCTCGTCGCCGAGGCCATGCTCAAGAAAGAGAAGCCGCAAGCCAAGCTATAGTTTCAGCTCAGCGTCTCTTGTTGACGCACGAACTACGCCTGTACCATATTGTGTAGCCATCTGGGATGTTCCAAGCAGTCCCCGCATAGACTTAGCATACAATCGTTGCCCTGCATTGCACTACCTTCCGCTCGAGCTAACATCACGTCATCTATGTTTGCTATTACTCCGCTTACGATTTACGAATCCTTTTTACACGACATTTACACAGCCACTATGGTCTACCAGGCTAGGGCCAAATGCGTGGGGCATGGCCAATCATTCACTCAGAAACGCACAGACCCTGCAGATGCAGCTAACGCATGACAGACGACGCGCATAACCGCCCCTTGAACATCGACCTGTTCAAACCTCCGAGCGGACCGGCGGATTGTCGTGTGTCTCTTGAGACATCGGTCTGTAGACGAATGGCGTTCCCTAACGAGGGCACGGATTGCCCCGCGCGCGGCATGGCGTCTGCCGCCGCAACTCTTTACGACGTAGCTGAACCATTTGGCGGATGCTGTGGGATCGGTTGGCCCCCGTGTGCCGTGTCTCTAGATGTTTATTGATGTAGCCGTCTATGTATGGACCTTGGCTGCATATGTTAAGGAAGACTTTGAGCCGTCTTTACTGCTGTCTGTGTGGGCTTGCTGTTGCTAACCTCATAGCTTTGTTGCACAACGCCAATTGCAAGTCTTTCTAACCTCTCGCATTCTATTCTGGGACGTCCATTAAGGGCTCCACCTACTGGGACCAACTGCCTGTAAATTTCGGTGGTCATTGCATCGGCCATTTCCCGCATGGTGGTGATCAGGCGGCCGTCCGGCATTACCCTCGCATTCCCCTTGCGCTTCGTTTCAGAAACCTGAACAACAGATTTGACGTCGCCAACATTGTCATGCACCCCATAACTCATCTTAGCGGCGCCAAAGATACTTCAACGCGAGATGCTCCTGTTATTAACACGCCTTCGTCTGGTGTGTGCGAAAAGTACAGAAAAATGCAGGACCAACACATAGACATGGACAGGACTTCGAGTGGTAATACCACACCCACATCGGATCAGTACTCTCTCAGCAATGTGTCCAGCGTCTCTTCTTTGTCTTCTTCTAGCTTGCCAAAACGCTCTTCGATGAAGTCGAGCATAAGATCGAGGCATTCTACAACCAGCATCAGATCGTCGCCGCCAACTGTTCGATTTGCAGAGCCAGAATTGCCATCAAGACCCAAGCCAACACCACTACAATACCAGCGTCAACAAAACCATCCACAACGCCACAGCGTCCAATGCGCTCCAACGCGGTATCGGTCACGACCTCCATCAGTAGCCTCAAATCCCGCCTCGTCAAGATACTCTATCGGTCCCCAGCCATCCTCAACACTGCCACCACATAACACGCGATCAAGCCAACTCAACTTCAGCAAACCGCGTGCCAGCCAGCGTTTCTCTGCATCAGTGCACTCTCTTCCCCCAAGCCGCCGGCAATCCCACGCAAAAGCCCCAGAAGACTTTACGCCCCCCTCCCTCGCACTGGAGCGCCGCGTATCTTCTTTCCAATCCACCACTTCCACCTTCTCCGTGCAATCTGCGCCCGCAGCGCTTCCCTCTACCACCCCACCAGGCCCGTATAATCCGCTAGATAATTACATCCCCTGCCTATCCCCATCCTGCAGCACGCTTTACTCGCCCACGCATCTCGGCTTGGCATTCTACCTCCCGCAAGGCCCCTACTCGCTATCCAAGCTACGAGGCTATTGTCCCACGCACGCAGCGCAGGATCTCAGGGATGCGAATGCGTGGTGTAAAAGTAACTACGAGCGTCTGAGGCAGAACGCTGGTCGCAAGACGCTGGGCGAGATTGCGGGGGAGTTTGAGATTTTCCTCGAAGAGTTCCGGCTGCAGAGGAAGAGCGAAGAGAAGGAATTGAATGAGAAGTTGAAACGACGGGTTATTGGCTCTTCGTCCGGGGGTAAACAACCCCTCGACAGTGAGTGGCGATGGGAATTTACGACTCGACATTGCACGCGCGCATCATGTCCTTCGCCGCGCTACTCTCCCTTCGCAAACAACCTTTACGCATTCTACCATCCCCATATCCAAACACAATCCGAACCGTCTTCTTTCGCACCGCTCCCCACGCTCTGCCCTGAGTGCGCGACGAACGAAGTTGCTGCGTTTGAGCGCCTGATTACGGAGAAGTGGGGGTCGAGGTGTGGGTGGCATGAGCAAGACTGGGATGAGTGGATTAAGAAGGTTGTGGGGGGAGAGGTTTGAGGAGAAGGGGTTTTGGGAGGGGGCGCAGGAGAGGGAGGTAAGGGAGTGGGTTGCGAGGAGGGGGGAGAAGATTGTGGATGAGGTCAAGGTGGAGAAGGTGGAGGTGCAGGTGGAGAAGAGGAAGAAGGTTGGGGTGTTTAAGAGATTGTTTGGGAAGGGAGGGGAGTGAGAGGAGGGATTTCGGTAATTCTTATTCTTAGTGATAATGTTTCGAATCATGATGGATCGTATTTGCGATGATACTCAAAATGATGGACAATTGAACATGTGCCCGGCCATCAAGAATCACATCTGTTCGCTTGGTTGTCAGAAGCCTTGGATCGAGCGTAACATTATGGCCTGCTTAATCGATAAATTCATTGATCTTAGAAGGAATGCAAAATAAACAAGAACTCAAGAGGAGAGTGCCGTACTACAGTGAAATGTGCTCGCCTGTATGAAATTCGGGATTCAGGACGTGACACACCTATGTACGCCTACTCTGGTTCGATAACCGAAGTGAAGAAAGTGAGTTCAACCCTCTGTGCACCGGAAGAAACCTTGCCTTGTTTACTTACTTAAAAGTGGCGATGTCATCTTCCTTGTCGTAGCACATGTGCAGTTTTTCACACGATGCCTTCTCCTCATCCTACGAATGTTCCAGATAGCAGCGGCTTTCCCACAATTCCAGGTTATTTATACCTTTGAGCTCGCAGAATCTTCCCATAGCGCGTCTTATAAATGCGTCAGGGAGGCCGGCGAGGGTTGTTGCATCGAACTGAGAAGAGGTGGCCCTCCAGCATGCACAGTACCAGTCCACTAGGCGCTGTAGTATGACGCGATCCGAAGGGATGTTTTCGAAGGCGTACGCCGTCGACTCTCCATCGAAATAGGACTAGTATCCACTGAGATCTGTTTGCGCAAGGGCATTGTTGGATGCGCGAGAGAAAGCGGGCACAGCAAAGCGATCGCCAAAGCTGTATGCCTTTATATACTCTCGTAGACCATAATTCATCCAGAAAAAATGTACACTGGGCATCGACAAGCGAGCCCAGACTTTTCCGTCTGTAGGTATTTCTTGATGGTACAGCCAGTGCACGAAGAGCGTGACTAGTGCAAGCAGCTCAGTATGCGATTGAAGAAGCTTGAAGATGGCAGGAAATGCTTCGATTGAGTGACTGTGACTTACAGGTTGAGGATTCGACATCATCGAGAGTTACCACCTGCTTTTGCGCCTCTGTTCATGGACCCGTCAAGGCGTTGCGAAAGTATTCCGAATGATGAACAAGTAAAGCCTTGTGAACGTGGTAGTGTACGCTCTTGGGGCCGACTTTGACAAGTACCATGCAGTGGGTACTGGCGAGTCTAGAGCAATGAATTAGACAACTGATCGGTGAATGAAAAGTGGCATGCATACCCGACGGATGGCAATGGATCTTTCGCAACTCCCGGAGGTTGCGCCTTCGCCTCCCTCGCAGGCGTTGCGGCCGACATGTTGACTGTATGCGGGTGTTGGGCATTAGAAGTCAGAACTTGAGAGGTTGAGAGATTAGAGGTGAGAGGCGAGTCCTTCGCTTCCCAGGTTTGGAAAGAGCGTGAGAGAGATACGCGCTAACGCTTGGCATGCACCTCAATGTGGACTTTCCAAGGTTCGGGAACTATCTCTCACCTCGAACTTCTTACGAGCACAAGCATCACAAGGTGGCACGTGAATGGTGAGTCTGGGATATGTGGAGTCTAATAGCTATTCTGCAGGGTACGGGCGCTGCAGATGAGGGTGCAGTGAAGGAGAGAATTTCGGTCACGGTAGCTGGAGCACGTTTGTCTTGATATTTGTATTGTACATTCAGATATCGGCGCATGTGCACTCTTTCTAGGGCTCATGGATTTCTGACCGTGAGCTTCTGTTCAATCGACGTTGCAGACAGGCTAAGCCTGCTGTAATCGTGTCCGAGAGTCTGGCTTCTATGCTTACTGAAAGTAAGCGATGTCAACATTTTTGTCGTAGTTTATGTGCAATGCTAAGCAATTCTCCTTCTCTTGTTCAGAAGCGTGCTCAAGGTAGCAGCACTTCTTCTTAGGACGGTGGTCATCGTTTTTGAGTCTTTGAATGACACGTCGAATGAAGCTGTTAGGCAACTTGTCAAAGGCACTCTCGTCGAACACGTCTGCGTCTTCACGCCAGACGGTGCAGTACATGTCTACCAAGTGCTGTAGCAATACACTAGAAGGCCGGATATTCTTGAAGGCGTAGTCTATCGAAAAGCAGCCATCTTCGTCGAAGAAGGAGCTACCCAGCGGTGTGTGTTTGACAGAGGCGTTATTGACTGCACGACAAAATTCTGGAGCCAGGAAGCGGTCCCCGAAGACGTACGCTTTGACTAGCTCGGACATCAGGTAGTCCATCCAGTAATCGTTAGAAGGTGGTACAACCGACAGATCGGCCCAGCCGTCTTGATCTCGAGGCAGCTCCTGCGTGTAGATCCAATGCACGAAAATGCGGACTAGACAACGTTTAATTAGCGGTGTCCATGTTTGTAGAGCGTAGCTCTGGTCAGGACTCACATGTTGATGATTCCACATCCTCCAATTTCACCACTTGCTCCGTGGCTTCCTTCCACGACCCCACTAACGCCTTTCGGAAGTATTCCGAATGATGCATGAGCAAAACCTTATGGACCTGATGTTTCTCACGATCGGGGCCAATCTGGACGACGACGATGCCTTGACTGGTGGTAGACCTGTTTTTGGAGCGTGAGCAGAGACTCGCATTTAAGCAGGATGATAAAATACCCGACCAACGGGGCCTTCGCTCTCACAGCGGTGACAGGGCTCGACATTTGGGATTCGAGATCTTCTTGGAGAGTGAGTAGAGTCTATGGTGCAGACGTTCGGGGCCAGTTTATATAACCGAGGGCGGGCTCGAATGGACGCTAAGCGAGAAGCAAAGGTGAGAGCCATGGTCGTGAATACGCAGTGAAGGAGCTCTTTGTGCGTGGGGTGAGAGTGCCTGCGACCACCGTTTTGCGCAAGTAGGTGTCCAGAACGGTATTTTATTGCTTGGTGGGTGGGACTTTCGCCTCTTCGGTGAGAAAGAGAGATAAACGAGGAGATTGAAAAGGACAGTAAAAAGAACGCGAATTTAACAAGTACCATCAATATACCCGTATGTAGATAGAAATGCTGATGCGCCCATAAATCTCTAGATATCATCACACCTGCCATAAAGATCACACTCGCACTGCGCCTTCTCCGGGCAAGATATCGCCTCTTTCCCAAACACAGTCGGCCAAAGATACTCCATCAACAGCCCCGAGGAATCATCGTCCATGATGGTATTGTTCAACCACGTCCAGTACTTCAGATACTCCTCCACACTCCTCTTCCGCACCTGCGCCTTACTGACCGCAAACGCGTTTCCCAACACCGTGGCGATCTGCTGCGGCACCTCTTTGTCGTTGCCAAACAGATTGTGCCAGCTTTTTGGAACTTTTTCTTCCAGCGTCCGGAGCTCGTAAGGCGGCTGCATGGGCTTGAGGACTTTGTCGTTGCACGTAGTCTGTGACTTCTGCGTCGGACAGCGCAAGTTCGCAAAGCCAGATTCCTGGATAAACGGGATCTTGAGATTGAGCAAAGGATTGTGGAAGCCAAAATGGTGTTTTTCAAGAGTATCTCTCGGGGGAATGAAGACCAGGGTTTCTGGCAGGTTGTTGTAGTTCTCGATGATCCACATTAGATACGCATTGGCCACGCGACCTTTATCTGGGCGATGAGCTTTGGGATGAGCGTGCGAGTACATGGCCTCGACGGTGATGATGTTGTGTTGCCATGATGGTTCGAGTTTCTGGGTCCAGGAGGCGTCTTCTGCGTCAAGCTTCACCTTGACGATTAGGCGCGCAGCAGGATCTCCGGATGCATCCTTCGGTTTGGGCGGAGTCGCTGCAACGGATCCGATTCGAGCCTTTATATGGCTCGACGCCTGGCACAGGCTGGGCTGGTCGTCGGAATATAGATGCAGGGGAGGATGGGACGGATACGAAGAGGAAGAAGGTGATTAGCCCCACTAGCGTTACTGCGGCAGCTGCGATGGTTGCGATCCTGCCTCGCATGGCGCTTGACACGGGTAGAAGCGATTAGACCAACGGATAATTGGTCCTCGCCTGCTCCAGAGATGTTGAGGGTACGGAGTGTGCGACATGCGAAGCTCGAAGCTTGCGAGCGGTTGCTGTTGCGCGTCCTCTTGAGATGTTCGTTGTCAGGAGTAAGGGGACGCTGAGACGCTAGTTCGACCGTGCTTACGACTCCCCATATGAGAAATCGGAGAGATGTTCTGGGCCTGCGCTCTTCTTTTTTGACAGTTCCCGCAAACTTTGGAGAGATGTTCAATGACCATGTAGCGTAGGAAGTACTCTAAGTACCTCCTGGGTTGCCTTGACCAACGTCTGTCCGAACTATTCTGGACAGCCGCTGGGGCGTAACCAGAGGGGCTGTGACCAGACGGGCGTACTCCATCTTCAAATAGACTGCGATCTTCTGGGCATATGCGATGCGATGGTTGGCAAGACGTGCTGCTGGCGACTGTCTGCACAAGATGAAGGGTCTAGTCTGGCGCAACTTGAAATAGTCAACGTTCAGCGTCATAGCACAGCTGCTGTTTGCTTCTCTCGGCACTAGTGTTCAGCAAAGGATGCGTCGAGCAACGACGCACAATGACATGCAGAATGCCCAACAGGATCCCTGTCACATGCCGACAAAGCAGGATAGGAATCTCAGCACGTGGGGGAAGAAGGGAACGGGACTGTGGCGCAGGGAGCAGCAAGTGGCTTCGACGTCATTGCCGATCTGGATCAGGATCAGGGAAGACCAAAATTATGGACAGCCGCCAAACTACGCGTGTCAACATCTCAACTCTTAATAACCATCCCTCAGCGCCAGGTTTTCCAGTTCCCGTATCTTTACCTGCTGTACTCAACATACTTGCGCTGTGCAAGTTCCAGGTCACAGCTCCTTCCTAGCCTCATTGGCTCCCGCGCGTCACCGCTTCCAGCGATAATAATCCCGCGCTCCCCAGGCCTTGCGCTGATTCCCATCTTTCCCCACGGCCACGTCTAATCCTGCTGTATCACGTGTAATCCTGCGCGGCACAGTACGGACATCTCCTAGAGCATAAGGCCACCTGCACATGCCGCCGAAACGAAAGCGCTCAACCACCGTCTCCTCAGTAAAGAAGGCCGCCATGGACGTCGCACAACCCTCGTCCCGCGATGCGTCGGATGAAGGTGCCGAAGACCCTGTTCTCCAGGCAGTTGCGTCCAAGAAGGAGCGACAGGCCGATGCAAATGGCACAACGAAGCGAATGCGCTCCCTGAAGACGGGAGATGCCGCCGACGACAGCGACGCAGAAGGCAGCGAAGGACGCGCCAGCAAAAAGAGCCGCCGCACATCTTCAATTGCTGGAGCCGAACACGGCGAGGGCGGCGAAGCGGGCACTATGCGCATGGAGGCACCGCCAAAGGCTGGCATGGTCGACCCCGTAGGCTTCAAGACGAACCCTCCTCCCGAGGGACGGGCCGTTCGCATTTATGCAGACGGCGTCTTTGACCTTTTCCACATTGGCCATATGCGACAGCTCCAGCAAGCCAAGACTGCATTTCCCGAAGTCCACCTCATCGTTGGAGTTACCGGAAACGCCGAGACACACAAGCGCAAGGGACTGACTGTTCTCTCAGCGACAGAGCGTGCCGAGAGTGTGCGGCATTGCAAGTGGGTGGACGAGGTCATCGAAGACTGTCCCTGGATCGTCACTGCCGAATTCCTCGAGAAACACAACATCGACTATGTCGCCCACGACGACCTGCCGTACGGTGCGGACGAAGGCGATGATATCTACGGACCGATCAAGGAGAAGGGCATGTTCCTGGTCACTCAAAGAACAGAGGGTTTGAGCACGACGGGCATCATTACCAAGTAAGCCTGATGCGCCGCAATATATGAATTCAATGCTGACAACCGCAGGATCGTCCGCGATTACGATCAATACATCGATCGCCAGCTCAAGCGTGGAACTTCTCGCCGCGAGCTCAATGTGTCCTGGCTGAAGAAGAACGAACTCGACTTCAAGCGCAACATGGCCGAGTTCCGTGACAGCATCAAAGCCAACTGGGCCACAACCGGGCAAGAGCTCAGCAAGGACATTCGCCAGTTCTGGCAGTCAAGTCGCCCTGCCAGCCCGGCAAGGACCCCGACGCGTGAGGTGGCGGACCAGCTCGACGCACATGGTGCGAGTGCCCGATCGCCCTCTGCGTTGTCGCGACTCAGCCATCTCGATATTCCCGCAAGGGGCTCCGGCGCACGAGAGTCTTCGGACTTCGCTGCTGGATACAACCTGGGTCTCATTGGTGGTGTGCGTTCTTGGGTACGTTTGAAAGTGGAGTAGATGAATACATGGCCATTGCTAATATTGTAAAAGATGGCCCGCAGTCGTCGCAATCTAAACGACAGCAGACCGGAGAGTCCTCACGATGACAGCAGCTCCGACGAGCACGATACGCGAAGCCCGCAAGAAGCTCCGCGTGGCCGCACTGGCAAGCAAAGCAAGTCGGAGCCAATGGACACCGCTACTTAGGAAAGCAGCACCATTTTTTTGTTGTCCCCTTGATATCAGAAGGCGAACCTCCGGGCACCATACCCCCTTTACGACACTAGCGTGCTATAGTGCGCGAACAGCTGCTCTAATATTCATGTCGCCAATGAACAACTTCACCTCTGTGCGACTCTTTCTCTACGGGGCCACTAGCTCGAAAATATCATAACTATGAGCAACTCCGTCAGCTTCGCGGTCCGCCCTATCGTATATCGTCTTTCTCTTGCGCACACCTGTATCTCTTGTTCCCAAAATGTCCTTCTGCAGAGTATTTTCCCTTGCAAGCGAGGTGCAGCTTGCTCCGTTCCTAGACCACCATAGTAATTGGCAGCTTGCTGCGCTGTCGTCAAACGAAAGTCGCCCAAACGACGTTGGTTGTCCTACCACAATCGTTTTCCAATTGCCATCTTAGTCGTCTTGACCACCTTTGTCCATAGCATTGATGATGAATTGCTAACACACAGAATTGATCTCGGATGAAGGAATCGAATGGCACATATGTGCTGAGATAGATCCGCGCAACATTGGGTCTCACTAACAACGGGAACGTCCAGCATCATCTCATCATCATTGGAACAGTGCAGTCATCAAGCCGTCGACTCATCGTACCACTCTACCAAAGCCTCACGCACCATCAATTGGCTTTGCCATTCACACTCAACTACGGTCCACTCCCACCCGAACGAAGCAAACTCTGTCCAATGTGTATCGTCGTCTTTGGTGTTGCAGCTGGTTGTACCTGTCCACCAGCTCCTGCGTACCCGTATGTACGCCTTTGTCATGTCGCTCGGAGTCAGAACCCCACGAGAGCATGCCTGCCAGGAAGGAGACTCAGCGAGACATTCAGATATCAAGGCCTGTGTCTCTGGTGTAGACAAAGCTCAAGGGACGCTGGGAGACAGCATCGGAGAACTCTCGTACGGGGCAGGCTCAGCATACAGAGACGTGCGAATGTGAGAGAGGAGGAAGTGCGAGAGGGAATTGCAAGGCTGGAGAGGGCAAGGGAGGAGCGACGTGGACACGGAGGATCCACGGCGCATGACGGTTATGAATCTGGAGGATCGACCAGGGCAACGTATCACAGGTAGGGTGACGGAAGTGTCAGGCGGGACGGAGACTGGGATAGCATGGCATGGCGTTGTTGGATGGAGGAAGGGCAAAGGCATACGCACCATGATGACCCGGCGTAGCATTCTAGAATACCTACTCGCTGGATGTAATGCGTTTCATTTATCGAGGGCAGCAAGACGTGTTGACGTTGAGGCGGAGACAAGTCGGGCCTAGCCTGACGAGTGGTCGTGTGGCATCGCGACTTCCCTCGCGAGGCTCGCGAGGGTTCGGGTGCTGCCTGTGCAGTCGGCCAGCTTCAGCCCTGCGATGCAATATATATGGGGCCATCCGTCCTCTCCCTACGCGACCCAACGTGTCGCTCGGAGATTTCCCTCGGTGAGGTTACGATCACCGTGCTGGCCCTGACACAAACCCCAGCGCCTCATCCGCCTGCCGGCATCAACCACTTGCAGCCCTCTCCCTGTCTGCCACCCCTCCACCTGGTATATCATGAGAGGCTGCTCCGTTATTTCGCCCTTCACATCCTCGCTCCGGTCGCGGGAGACTCATTGGACATGTTCGGCTCTCGATTTTCGAGTCAATCAGCATCATCGGGCGCACCTCGGGATCGACCACGCGTCGTGAATGAGGCGTCGTCTCGGTCCCCGCTTGCAGGCGTCCATCGCACCTGCAGTCGCCTTCCCGCAGGCGATGCACATGGTGTACTTGTTCGTCTCGAGCACTGCACAATCGTTGCTACGCCTGATGCGACGGCAGGTGGCCCTTTGTTACCCGTGGGCTTCCGTCGCTTTAGTAGCAGCGACGAGACTACGAATGTTCCGGTCACGGGCGGCATCCAATGCGTCTCCTCCTCACCGGCCGTGCGGCGATTGGAACGCAGAGTGCCAAATTGCTCGCCCTGGTTTTAGGGAAAGTGAGGCTGGCGATGCGGTTGCGGCTGCGCCGACCAATCCCGGATGCCGGCTGGGTGTCGGCTCGTTCTTGGCTAACCGCTTGTGGGCCGTGAAGCAAATGCCTGCGCTCAGTATGCGTCTTGCTCCCTCCCAAGCTCCCAAACACCATGTATGACAGCGGCCGAGACCGCGCTACAGTGGCTCCGCGTCGGCCGCAGAGACGCCCACGATTGCCGCAGCGCTGATTGATGAGCGGTGAGGTGCTGGGAAAGCCTGCGCTGCAGCTTCACACCCAGCAGCCTGCCCCCGAGTAATTGTAGCGAACGCCCCGGCGCCGTCGACCGCATCGACCGTGCTGTGGCGATCGCCTCCGCGTCTCAAATATTGGTCACAGCACATTTAAGATACGGTCAGGGCATGAGCGCTGTCTTGTCTGTGCTCTCCTTTAAACCACTTCCCGTCTGTGTACGCAAGGGCTGTCCCTCTGACTTCACACCCCCCAAAAAATCGCACTACCACGCGCTGCTCCCAGGAACGAGTCCAATTCGATTTGAATTCCACAACGCACCTTGCAGCACCACCACGCCTTACCGCCGCTACATTCAGTAGCATCCTTCCTGTCTGTCTCTCTGCTTCTGTTTTCGTCCGCGTTGTTCCCACTTTGCTTTTCTGGCAAAGTGCTTCTTATCCGAAAGCCGTCTCATGAGGCTTCCGCAACCGTCCTTGTCGTTCGTTGAGCACCACCGACTACTTTGTCCCCTTCGTCATGTTCACACAACATAAGGTCTGAACACCTGCATTTATATCGTCTTACACATTTGATCTGCCGACGATACACCAAAGAAAAGGTAAAGCCCCAAACTAAGCAAGATTCCCGCGTCCTGCTGCATCTTTGTACTGTCCCACTCGGGTGCCGTTTCGTTCGTTCGTGCGGCCACCTCGCAGCCTTTTGTCAAACACTTCTTGGACACGTTTTTCAGCTTGTGTCTTGCAAACCGCCCTGTTTCGCATGGTTTGGTCACTGACTGCTCGCAGATCGCGCTTGTAGCAACTCCAATGCGCTTTTCTTGAGCTTTCGCTTCCCCCCCCAGATTCATCATCATCGCTGCGCTTCCACACGCGGCTGTCACATTACTGTGTCTGCCAACGTCATCTATTCACCGATATCTCGTCAGCTCATGAGGACCCGACCCCTGCAAGAGTACCGTAACCGCTGCGCCCAGCAAAAAGAGATGGACACCAGGACCCCCAAGGCTGCCAGCAGCAAGACTTCGTCGCTGAGGACTGCGCGACACAGTTACGTCCAGCCTTCACCAGATGCACTTGCTGTCGAAGGCTCAGCATCAGCATGGCATGGGCCGCTGATCAGCCGCGATGGACCTTCCAAGGACAAGAGATATCCTACAGAGTATGGCTCCCGATCAGAGCACGCATCACAGTTCGCATCCCCATCGCCACCTGCGCAAACAGCACCGTCACGCTGCCTGGATTTCCCTGAAGAGCTTGCACAGATGATCATCACGATGCAAGCTGGCCAGTACAATGAACAGCTGGCAGAGGCATATCGCGAGGCTTCTGATATTCCGCCCGTCACCAAGCAGTCACTCAGCGAGCTCGACATTCACCACATCATCACCAACAGTAGGTTGAGGCATGACATCAATTTCGATCGCAACCTAAGTTTCAGGCCTAACCTTGACGGCCCGAAAGGCCATCAAAAGCGGCAAGCGACTGGTCAATACTGGAAGGCCTTAGAAGCTGAACTGGAACTCTATGTGCGGCTGTTTCAGGGCACGCCACCTCCACGATTCCAGGACAGCAGTCGATGGGCAGGATTAATCCAGAATGCCCAACGGCGCATCCCCGTCATGTTCCGCACGATTCAGGAGGTGTTGAAGAGCTTGGTACCAGACAGGGATCATGCGAGAGTGGACGAGCACTTGGATGTCCCAATGTTGATGCAAGAGATCGAGCGCGGTGTATGCGACCTCGTGAGATTAGCAGAGTGGATGGCTCAACTACTGAAAGAGCACTGTGCGCCCATGCGGGATAGTCAGGTTGATGGTATGGTCAACACCATTCGGTCCGGTGTCACGGAGCGAAGCTCCGCACAAATCGTAGAGGGGCTGCGTGACTTGTTCGGAATATTAGAAACTATGAAACTCGTAGGTCTGCCGTGGGTAGTTTTGCTGGACTGACGCTAACATTGTCACAGGACGTCGCCAATCACCAAATCCGGAACCTGAAAACCCTTCTGGTCGAGGATACTGTCAATTTCGAGAAGCACCACCACTTGGACCGACTTGTCAGCCATCGGTCGCGTGTGAACATTCACGCTGCTCAGGCATGGTACCTTCGTGCGGCATGGGAATTCGCAGAGACCCATCCGACTCAACCGAGAAACATCCAACAAGCTCAGCTCGAAATCTTCGTCCGCGCTGTGGTCGCACAGTTCTTCAACAGGAGCACACATTCCGAATTCCCAGAGACGTTCTATCTCGACCAAGATCGCCTACGATCACTCAAAGCCGAAATTGAAGATTTGGTCTGCATGGAGGTTTGCATGGATGCATTCGCCGCTTTTCTCAAGCAGTTCAGCTACGATAGCTACATATCACCACAGATCCGGTTACAGCTCCACAGCTCTCTGCTAGCTATCATGGGCAGTTCCATGGGCTACGGGTCCCACCAGTGGGTCATGAACTGCGAAGCCCTATCTTTGGAGATTCTGCGACAAGCATCTATTGTTGCCGGCCAACCCCAGACTTTCTCTCACGACGCTCTATCGCATGCAAACGAGCACCTTCTCCATATGTTCTACGACTCTTTCAACACGCACAACTCACGCATGGAAGCTACTCTGCTTAACCGGGTCATCACATGCACCGAGCGAAACACAAAAACAATGGCCATTGATCTCTTTAACAACCTTGTTCCTATCACTAGCTCCTCACCGCAACCGAAGCCTACACCTTTTTCACACCTCACGTCATCCGCCGTCCATACGCTGAACCCCGAAACGGCTCGGTGGCAAGACATTGCCAATCGCGTCACACACATCATTATCCTCCATTGGCGGGTTTGGGATCGCATCGCATACGTTCAAGAAGATGGCTCCGAGCGATCAACATCTCCGGCAGGCCACGAGTCTACCTCATCATCGCAACACCCTGTCCAATCGTCGCAAAACTCGATGCAAGCATCCGAGCATGAGTCGCAGCTAGTAACGGCCATGAAGACAGGCGACTCAATAGAGTCCGGACAAGAAGCACTTGTCCCACACCACACATCCTCGCAATGACAGGTATCCGGTTCCTAACATTTTCATTTTTCAATCCTGCATAGCGTTGTCCTTTTCATATGTATGATACCTACCTGCCACAATGCAGACACTATACGTTTAACTAGAAATTTGGAACATCGGGTATACCTTATAAACGGCGTTAGCAAGGCGCCATTCGATTCTGGAAACAACACCACTTTTTTCGGTCGGCGTTCTTCATTTCACGACGGCGCAATGGCGCAAAAAGGATGGATTACACTGACGTGTATCGTGGAGCAGAGGAGTTTTTTTTGGCAGTAGTTGCTTGGTCCCTGTCGTGCGGTTTGGCAATACAGACACAGAATACATTTTTTGGAACCAGATGCATTGTCTTTTCTTCGTCTCTTCTACTCAAAGACGACAGGGTTTTCCTCGTCGCTCGCCAATTGCGTGCAATCTAAAACTTCCTCACAGCGTTTCCGCAAGCACGTGGTCAGGTCTCGCCGTTTGCATAGCAACCGGAGTGCTATCAGCACACAACACCGCAACCACAATGATCAAGTAACAATTATCTTCAAGCGCATTCTTATTCACCTCCCACCACCACCCCGTTCGAAGCCCGCAAACACGAAATTCTTCACATATGCAACTACCAACAGAGCACGCGCAGAACCTAGCCCGCACTCCGACCGCCACACCCACCAAAAATGCCCATCAATGACTCCCGCCACCTCCTCCCCATGAACAGCATGGTCTTCAAATCCTCGCCCAACCTGCGCAACGAACTTCCGTCAAACCCCACTCTCGTTAATATACGCGACGCGGCGGATACCAGCGTAACTGCGCTGCCAATGCCGGCTACCGCGCTAGAGGATCAAGTGGTTGAGCGCAAGATGGGCTGGTGGTCGCGAATGGTGGCGAGAATCAAGGGTTGCTTTAAGAAGAAGGAGGAAGGCGGCGAGGAAAGAACGGAATTGAATATTGGTGGACCGACGGACTTTCAACATACTTGGACGGCGGGAATTGGGCCGTTGAGGACGACGGGGGTGGGTGAGGAGGGGGAGTGGGAGGATGTGGATGAGGGGAAGGGGGTGAGGAAGTAAGGGGGTGTGAATGGGGGGGAGGACTCGCTCTTTCCACCCGTTGTGTCGAAGGATCTGGATATTGTGTTGGGCATGTCAAGGATGGAGACCTCACGTATGTATCGAGAGTGTCACGAAGTACAGAGAAAAGATCCCACGTAAGCTAACCAACAAAATGATCAAGCCGGCATACTACCAGCCCTTTCCTTCTCCTTCTCCCTCTCCCTCTCCGGCCCCTCCTCCTTCCCCTCGCGATTAACCTCCCAACTACTTGGGCGGACACCACCACTTCCTCTCCCTCGTGCCCCTCTCCGCCACTGGAGGTACCACTTGCAGATGGCCGTACAGGTAAGTCAGCCCTTGTTCTCGGTCACGGTTCTCGCCGTTTCTGACTGTCAACTGCAGAACCCATTCCCGACATTTCAGCAAAGTTATCAGGTCCTTCTCGATGGGGCGATGCCGCAACTTACTTCCTCTTCTCCGTTAGTGGTCTCTTCTTGGGTGGTGAGATCGGGTCTTTTGACAGGAACTGCATCTGCATCGCGGACTATCACGAAGGATCCTGAAGCAAAGGCCAGAATCGAAAAGGCTTTTAAGAACTACAGGATAGACGTGTTGAAGCGCGAGATTGACCAGCTTCAAGGAAAGAGCAAGTTTGAGGAGTTCTTCAGCGGCTAATTTTGTGGGTTTGTTACGAACATGAATAATTGTGGATTCTGGAGGCATCGAGATCTTGTGAATATCTTCATTGATTTAACGTGGAAAAGCCGGTGTAGAATAAATCGACGCGCAACAGAGTGTGAATGATGGATTTTTATTGCGCCCAGCCGGCTCCCAATCCCCGCACGACACGAAGACCATCCAGATCATGTACTTACGTGTGCCAAATCCACACTATAGGGACCGTCGCATGGCTCCTGGCGATCGTTGGTCGAGGAAAAGCTTATTTATCTTGCGCTTGACGTCACAACTGCATGACTCGCCAATGTTTAGGCCATCAAAACCATCGCTTTGTGCCTAGAGCTCAACAACAGTTCGCAGGTCCTTTCGTATTCTTTCGCTCTTCTATTTTGCGTGTCGGTGGTACAGACTCTGGGCATAATTAGCACCAAGTGAGGGATCGAGGAACGCCCGTCCCGCTCAGGACATAATACATCAGCATCGTACACAGCATTAATTCCCGCAATTCGATTTAGAACGCTTCCAAGATTTCGGAACACACGGAAAACAAGTGGACTTGAACGGGTTTGGTCGGCAGCTGTATCAGTCGAGCTATACATCCCGGAACAGCAAACATGAAGAGCACAATAATAGCCTTACTTGGGATGGCCACCCTGGGCAATGGCCAAAGCAATTCAGCTGCATCGTCCTCATCGCTTGAGGTCGTCACCTTGACCGGCTCACAAAGAAGTCAGTCGTTAGATTATTTGCCTGGTGTGACCCTGCCTTCCTTCTTCCAAGGCAGCACGTTTGCGACAACTTCGGTTCAGCCATCATCATCCATATCATCATCGGGTAGCATGAGATCAGCGAATAGCACTATGTTGAGGTCATCGTCATCGACATCGACAACTACTGAGGAACCAGTCACGAACATTGGCGGAGCGACGAGAACATCAACTCCAACGAACACTCGAAGTGCACCAGCACGACCCTCCAACACGCAGCCCTGTAACAACTATGTGGAATTCTGCAGTCGAAAGTACTCTAATATCACGGAAGTAGCAGCACACAACTCACCATTCACACGCAAGAACAACGCAGCACGAAACCAGGAGTATCCTGTAACACAGCAACTCAACGACGGAATCCGGGTTCTTCAAGGCCAGGCCCACATGGTCAATGGCACTCTTTACTATTGCCACACTTCCTGCGATCTCCTCAACGAAGGCACAGTAGAAGACTACCTTCGCCAAGTTGTTGCATGGGTGGAGACACATCCTTTCGAAGTTGTCACCATAATCTTTGGAAACTTCGATTGGGCGCAGAAGGACTCAGAAGGCAATTCGCTAGTAACTTCGGTCGACTTCGATGTTCCCGTCAGATCTTCTGGCCTTATCGATTACATTTATCAACCACCCAAGACTGCAATGACGGTCGACGATTGGCCGTTACTAGGCCAGATGATCCTTTCCCAGAAACGCGTCGTCACGTTCATCGACTACGGCTTTGATACTGGGGCCGTTCCTTACATGCTCTGGCAATTCTACAACGTCTGGGAAACGCCATTTTCGCCAACGAATGGCAGCTTCCCCTGCACGATCGGAAGACCGGAGGGAATTAGCGACGACCAGGCAAAGAGCATGATGTACCTTGCTAACCACAATCTGAACGCAGAAATTGCAATTGGAGGAACTAGCATCTTGGTTCCGAACACTGCGCAGATCAACCAGACCAATGCTGTGAGCGGGGAAGGAAGTTTGGGGTTGATGGTGAATGACTGTGCAGGTATGTTGTCAAAGCCTTTTGTGAAGTTTTCCAGCATTTGCTGCACATTTCAGCTCTTCAAAATTGTCTAGGATACTGACAATGATTGCAGAGAAATGGGGTCGCCCGCCTAACTACCTCATCGTCGACTTTTACAATCAAGGCCCGTCGAGTGGATCGGTCTTCGAGGCTGCCGCTCGTGCCAACGGCGTGACTTACAATCGCCCATGCTGTGGCACAACTACACGCTCATCAGCTTCGTTGAATTTCCGTCCTTCGTTCGGATGGCTTGAGTCGGCTATTTTCTTGACCGCGATCATGATCTTTTAAGCCCGGGTTTTGCGCGAATGCTTACCAAGCACTTTTCTCTCCTTGTACTCTTCAATGCCAATACTAGAATTTAGCGGATTCATTACGGCATATGGTGCCATCATCTTTCTAGGCCACCGAAGTCCCCATCAGAAGTACATAGCGAGTCTTTGATGTGTATGATGGACAAGGGGGCCAGCAATTTTTCGAGATCAGCCACTCATTTCTCGCACGTTTGGTTTTTCGTACGCCGGCTGCATTCGTGGGCGTCCTGCATGGAACATATCCCGACAGCCACAATGGCTGACCAGTCACATAGAGCAATGTTCCTACAGCCACGTTTGCTGGCGAATCAAAAGGATTTGCTTCGATTGCCACGTCCCTACCAAGTCACAAGTTCGTCTATTCCTGGCCCGCTGTTGTGCGAAATCAGCGAGGTGACCGATGCGGGGGGAATCCTTCCGTCGGCTTCGTCGCCGCCCTGGGAGCTGAGTGGTTCGCGGTTCTCCTCAAGCAGGCCTTTTCTTAGCTGCATCAATTGTTTGGACAAAGCTAAGCTCGTTACGGGATCGAGTCGCCATGATTCTGACGCAAAGTACAAGACGGTAGAGGTCTTGCGTCTCACCGGACATGGCAAGGCACTGCAAGCGACAGTTGATAAATTACAACTGGAAAGAGTTCGCATACAAATACCGCCGTCACCCGGACATTTCCAGCTTGATCAATTCAACTCGAGTCTGGATCCACACCAAAAACTGTTACATATATTTCCACACTAATACCTGCGACACACATCGTCTTACAGCGGTTTTCTACACTCAAAGCTCATCTACTCTTGCCCTTTCACGATGGTGCCCATCTGCCTAATCTTCAGCCTCGCCGTCATCATATCCGCTGTGCATGCAGCCCCTATCGAACCGAACCAACCACCGTCCAATTGGTCGAAGGAAGCAATCTTCGGCCTTCTCGGATTCTTTGCTGCCATCCTGACTATTCTCGCTATGGTACTCATGGCTTCACCTTCAGCACGCAAATGGTGTACTCGTGAGCATGCGTAGACCATACTGCACGGAGAACGACTGCAGCTAACTGGTATAGGTTGTTTCACGCGCAAACAAAAGGTAGCGATGCGCGCAACATGGGATGAGTACGTTGAATACTTGAGATGGCAGGAAATGACAGGGCGGCGCAGCAGCTGAGTTTTGCTTGTCTATACATGTATGAGAAGAAGATTGCAGATAATGGAAGAAGGCCCACGGCGAAATAGACTTGAGAAGCGAACATAGATAAAAAGTGCGACTCAAGCGGTCTCGCATTTTTCTTCACTACACCCGAGTCCACGTGCATATCTGGTTTGAAGCGATAAAGGTGGTGCCTTGGTGCAGGATGAAAGCATTAGCTTCCATGAATGACTACAACAGTATCGTGCACTCACTAGCATAAGTATAACTACATGATTGTTTGTAGCCATGCGTACAAGAGCGTCTTCAGCTTGATCTTGATGTCAATGTGTTGTTGGTGCTGCGCCACCCCGTGAATAGGTTACCGTTAACCGATGCCCGAAGTGGTTTGGTTACGTCCCAGGATCTCTGGACGGAAACCAAATTTCTTCGAGGTCTTTAGTGGAACGCAATAATCATGTACGATATAAAGGCTTCCTTCGCCCTCAACGATGAACTTCGCACAAGAGCCTTCCTTTGCACTACAAAGTCTACCAAGTCTCCAAACTACACACATTTTCACTCGTTATCTTCGATAGCGTTCAAAGTCACATTGGATCGCGTCTTGATCCAACGCCTCCAGTAATCACTCTCCGATACGCACGTGACGATTCGAAATGGCTTTCTTCAGCCTCATCGTCTTACCTGCCACTACTCTAGTCGTCCATGCAGTACCAGTAGAACTGGACCAGGTTGAATCTACCCATTCCCAAGGCTGGAACAAAGAAGCTATATTCACGCTCGTCGATGTCTTCCTCGCTCTTTTAGCCATCGTTGTCATGGTCATCCTCGCTCTACCCTCGGTGCGCAGGTGGTTTACTAGTGAGTACACCCTTTCCAATGCTATGAAAGCCCTCTATTAACGGCCAGTCAAGGAGCAAGAAGCGACACCGAATTGGCTTCCATGGAGGGCGCAGCTTGGGAAGAGTACATGGAAGCGAAGAAGAAGACCCTCGTGCTGCGCAAGAAGTGGGAGGAATCGATTAGGCCGCGACATGCGTAGGTGGCGGGTAGCGCCGTCCTCGAATGGGTTGTGGCGTGGGACGGCGAGAGAGTGGTTGCTGCTCATTGGGCACAAGCGTGAGGTGAGCTGACCCTGCACCTCTTTACTGAAATAAAGTGTACTGATACCATTGTTAAGGATCGAGTCGGAGGAACGCGGAGACGGTAGCTGGAAGTATTGAGAATATCTGCATAGTGGAAGTTATTGATAAAGTGTTTCTTTCTCTTGCGACGCCATTCGCACCGTACCAAACATTATAATATACCCATTAAGTTCCTTCGTTTTCGGTTCATTACATCGCGCTCCCGTGATTTTCATCACCCAGCTTTTTTCAGGTGTTCCTGACACCTAGAACATAAAGAAAAGCGCAACAAGGTCTATCATGAAGAAAAGTCCAGCCAAGAGCTAGAGTAGTCGCTCCAAGCATCTCCTTCAGGTTGAGTCACGTTGGTCGGCAGTAAATCATCATTGACTATCGATTTCAAGAACTGTGTCATGGACTCTGTGTCGTTCGTGAGGCTCTGTAGGGAAAGCTCGCTGTCGTTGGGATGATCTTTCGGCGGCACAGGCGGTGGTCCATCGCGAGCAATCGACTTTACCGCTAGATCGTATGCCTTGCGCACCAGTGCTGCTGCATCTTTGTTGGGTGTGAAGTATTCGAGTGCGTCTTGGAGTCGAGGAAAGCGGCTGCTATCTGGGTAGCCTTCCACACGTCCGGTCGAATGTACGTCCCAAGCAAAGCCCGTGAAGGGCCGATTCATACTTTGGAGGAGTGCGTTCCATTCATCCACGACCTTTGGACGCTGTAAAAGCGAGTAGATAACGACGCTGTGATGCCAGTCTGCCATCGTCTTGTGATCGTGCTCAAAGTGGTCGGCGATGTGGTTGCAGCGCTCTTTCCAGTTTGTGGAGAAGTGATAGCAAAACCCGCAACCCCAACCAGTCCGAGTCTTTCGCTTTCGCTTTGACTCTTGTACGTGTTTTTTCTCTGAGCATCTGGTGTTTGCGTAGCAGGGCACACAGCCATGAGCCTGGACATGATGGGTGACAAAATCTTTGTCTAGGAAGTACTTTGCATAGCAAATGTCACACTGAAACTCCTCGGGGCGTTCTTGGTAGGTTTCTTCGTGTCGTTTCCAATCAGCCTTCTCCACAAAGGGCTCTTTGCAAATTGTACAGAAATACTTCTGCGCGGTGTTCGAGCGCCGGGCTCGTTGCTTCCGCGAGACGCAGGTCTTGTAGTAGTCTTTCTCTGGGGCGGGTAAACGAGGGGCATTACGTTTCCTGGTCGCTTGCGGTGCTGGTATGTCGGCAGCACTCGGGCTGTATGCAGGAAGGGGTGAAGGATAGCCGGTAAGCAAGTGTTCAGCTTGAGCACGGTAATGGCTCCTAGACTGGTTGGAGATGCAGGAATAAGAAGAGTCCGTCGAGATTGTTGAAGCCCGGTTCTGGAAGTTGGAGAAATTGCTGCTGTTTGAAGATCGGGCATGGGAAGATGCGGATGACTGTGACGAGAAAGACAGATGTTGCTGGTTGGTGGGTTGCGCGTAGCCCATATCCACTTCCCAAGGTCTCAATGGTTGGTTGTTGTGATCTGCTTGGGTCGTCAGCCTTTGCCTGCTCATGAGAATGGGTCGTAACAGGCGACGCACCTATTGAGCTCTGCCCGAATCCTGTCGAACATGTTTGCCCAATTTGCTGCTCCTCAAGGAAAGGTGCTGATTGGTCCATAGTGTAGTCCATGGTGATCTCGCTTGTACCAAAGAATTTAAGAGGCGAACCAGCGCCAGGATGATAGCCGCTCATGTTGCAAGTGAAATATTATAAGACAAGCATGGAAGTGAATAGACGCCTGGTATATCGAAACACGAAACGAGTGCAAAACCTACCCTCATATGAAGAGATAAAGAATGCATAACTCATTCTTCATAATAAACTCGCGGAGAGCCTCAGGAGACCTGAGGGACGTTCTAAAAGCGGTTAAGCGAGTAATGTAAGCCTACATGTTCACCTGAAACACAGGCCGCGCTGCAGGCGACGATTTGGTGGCCCTGTTTTGTTTCATCGCGCCAGGCACCAGACTGCTGGCATAACATCGATTGGCCGCTGCGTTGCTGTGCACGAAACAGAAAACACAAAATGTTTCTAAGCTTGGTGCAGGCGTTCACCTGCAGCGGCGCGGTTGGGGCGGTTTTATGGTCGAGAAGCTGAAGTCACGTGCACCCGTCGATAAGCGAAATTCTTCCGCGATGTGACGTATACCCGTCGCGTTTTCGTCCCGCACCAGCAGCACATTAATAATGCGCTTCTACGTGGAACAGATAACGCCTGAATCTGATAGACGTCAATGCTCTTTTGCTAACAATTCCCCAACGTTAACAAATCAGTAGCACAGCATGTCCGCCGAGATCAGCGAACTCAAGCCTCTCGGCCTTAGGGCTGTACAGCACCAACATCGAGACACCCCGCGAGTCGATCCCTTCGCTTTCGACCGCAACGATGATAAGATACACGTGCTGCTATGCGCGAGTGGCTCTGTCGCGACCATAAAGATCCCCAACATGATAGATGCGCTCGCAAAACATGAGCATGTGCGCATACGACTGATCTTCACGGCCTCAGCTGCGAACTTCTTGCAGGGCCAGAGCGCAGAGCAGCCCTCAATAGCGGACATAGAAGCGCTTCCGAATGTAGATGCCGTCTATTTCGATGCAGATGAATGGGCAGAGCCCTGGATTCGTGGGAACAAGATCCTACACATCGAGCTACGGAGATGGGCAGATATAATGGCTATAGTGCCCCTCAGCGCCAATGAGCTGGCGAAGGTTACTCAAGGCTGGTCAGACAACCTACTTCTATCTGTCGTGCGCGCATGGGATACTACCGGCCTGGTGGATCCAGTACGTGACATACCAGGTGTGCAGTGGGCGGAAGAGGTAGCAGCGGAGGGTGTGAGAAGAAAGAAGAGGATACTCGTCGCGCCGAGCATGAACACAGCAATGTGGCTTCAACCCATCACGAAGAAGCAGATAGATGTATTGAATGACGAGTGGGGTGTCAACAACGGGGGTTGGTTTGAAGTACTGCAGCCCATGGAGAAAGAGCTAGCATGTGGCGATGTAGGAGGAGGAGCAATGAAAGACTGGAGGGAGATCGTGGCAATCTTAGAAGAGCGCCTGGGCCTGAGCGACGTTGCCGCGCAATGAAGCGTTATTCTGGTCCCTCAACATAGTCGGATCCCTTGATCCCCAACATATGCACACGCTTGTCCTGTTTTACGGCTTCTTTAACTCGCAATCCAACCATAGACAGAAAACAGAACCTCAAGCATGTGCTGTCTGCTATTTAGCTGTCCTCGTCCTGTCATAACGCATGCCAACAACGCCCGCACCGCACAAAATGGACCTGCACCACCGGCGCCTGAGAGGCTACCAGCACTATTCTAGAGATCGGTTGGCGAGATGCTTCTGCTGTTCAAATGGCCTGTCTGCCTACTCAAGTCTCGTGCACGTCACCATATATAATAAGTCTTGGCAGGTGAAAGGCGAGCAAAAAGAACTGCAAAAAATATATTGCCCTGCCCCACGCGATTGTTGGTTACCCAAGCGAGGATCGAAATCCTCACCCACCCGACATATGTAACCCCCTTCACAGAGACTTATCAGGCTTGGAGTCCTGCGCTGCTACCCCCAGTATCTCTTATCAGGTTCCCACCTAATCGCGCCAACTTGTGTTGCTTGATTGATGAGATAGAGCTGAATGAAGTTGAAGATATACACGAATTTATTGGAAGGCGTTAGTTGGGGTAAGAGGTGGTTGCCTGGGGTGAAGGTCTGGCGAGAATTTGCGCGGTGCTCTGGAGATTGCGGGAGCGAGGCTGGAGAGCAGCATTCACCTGGGGACGGCGGCGATGTTTACTTGCTCTTCGGGTCGCATGTAGCTGTGTTGTGGTGACGGCATACTTGTTGAGGGCACCGTTTGCGCGCTCCGTTGCCGCAATTCTTAACACCAAACATACAGCGCTCTCTCACCTGCACAATCATTTCAACCACAACACAGCCTCACTGTTCCCTCACCTGTCTACATAGCAAAGACTCTTACCTAGTACGAACACGACTACACTCATAATGGCACCGAAGAAGCCAGCGTCAGCGCCTGTCAAACCGAAGCCTTCAAAATCAGAGCAGAGTGGTTCTGTGCTTGCGAGTCTCAAATCATCTGTAAGTCTTTCGGATGCTATCGCCAAAGTATCAGATATACGACGACATCTATTGTTCTCATCACCAGTTCCAGTTGACTAATACCATCTATAGATACAAGTCACCAAGGACAAGCTACACAGTATTCGCACATCCGCTACTAACAAAGTCACCAAAGCCACCAAAGCCACCAAAGCCACCAAAAGGACCGAGACCACCACCGAACGCGAACATCTCAAACAAGTCCTCGAGCGCGTTTCCATAATCGATGACAGCAGCAGCTCCAACCCATCTCCCTCGGGGCCCACGCCAGACACCTCTGCCCAACCCTCCTCAGACCCAACCCCACATATCCCCCTCCAAGGCCCTTCTGCACTCACACCCCGCAACTTTGAAGTCGGCGGCTCACTGGGCAAAGGAAAATTCGGCCGCGTCTACCTCGCTCGGCACATCTCAACCAACTACATCTGCGCGCTGAAAATCATCTCCAAGGCCTCCATCTCTTCGACCTCCGAAGAAACGCTCATCCGCCGGGAAATCGAAGTGCACCAGAACCTCGCGCATAAAAACATACTGCGGCTATTGTCCTGGTTCCACGACGGTGCGTCGATCTACCTCGTGCTGGAGTACGCAGCGGGCGGGAGTTTGTTTGGGCGGTTGAAGAAGCAGAAAAAGGGCCGGTTTATGGAAGATGAAGCGGCGGGATATATTGGGCAGATGGCCGAGGCGCTGAGGTATATGCATTCGAAAAATATCATGCACCGTGATATCAAGCCCGAGAATATCCTGCTGGGGTTGCATCAGGAGATCAAGCTCGCGGACTTTGGTTACAGCGTGCACTCGGAGTCAGGTATGCGATCAACTGTCTGTGGCACGCTGGACTACCTGTCGCCTGAAGTCGCGGTCATGATGCTGAATCCGGGCAAGAGCGATGCGTTCTACACAAAGGCGATTGATCAGTGGAGTTTGGGCGTGTTGATGTATGAGCTGCTGGTGGGTAAGGCGCCGTTTGAGATGAAGAGTATGGCGCAGACGCAGATGAAGATTGCTAGGTATCGGGATAAGGGGATTAAGTTCCCGAGTCATGTGAGTAAGGGGGCGCAGGATTTGATGCGTGGGTTGCTGAGCTTGGAGGCGGAGCGGAGAATGGGGTTTGAGGAGGTGTTGGAGCATGAGTGGATTAAGGCATGTACGGTGAGGAGTGTGAAGTCCGGGGTGAGGTCGTTTGACGGGATGTTAAAGCGAGCTATTACAGGTGCGTAAATTAGGTACGAAGGGCAGGAAGGGCAGTGTTACTGCTTGTGGTGTCGAATACCATGTGCCGCAATGAAGCCCAGCGATGCTCGAACAGATCATCTTTAGAGTAATGGAATTTTGTAACGATGCGTTAGTACAAACCTTCTTTTAGTATTGCATGTGGCTGCGGATATATGGCTGGCAGCAGGCTTATCTCATCTCCATCACACAGTGGCCATATGTCATAGTATTAAAACTGACATGTAGAAAGCGTCGAACTCTTCGGGTAGTCGAGCTTGTATATCCTCAGCGTCGCAACAATTTTCTCTCACAGACTTGCAGTAGCTTGAATGTATCTAGGCATGCGAATCGTACATCTCTGGCGATGTAGAGGGTAAGAACACTGTCAAGGCCGCAGGGTTCAAGCTTTCGATGGTAGTAGCCTCATAAGCACAGAGACTGGAAATACTGAGCGTTGACGTTCAACCGTCGAAGGTAATCGTTAAAGCTAACGGGAAAAGAAACGTAACGTAACGTAACGTAACATGGGGTATCATCAACGATCCTGATCTGTAAACACGAAACCCAGACGCCATAATCCAAGTCCATTTCCGTCGTCATCGTCATAAAACAATCCTAACTCCATCATAGCATCTTAAAAGTTACCGGGGACCTTCAGGCTAATGCCATCGGTGGCTCGGTGTTGTCGATGCTTATCATCGGAAGTCTTCTGCCAGCAGACTCCAAAGACAGCGAGGGGGGTGTCAGGGACCTTCAGGCGTAAACGCCATCGGCGGCTTGACATTGTCGTGATGTGGTACCGGGGACCTTCAGGCTAATGCCATCGGCGGCTCGGTATTGCCGTGAGTGGAATCTCATCGATGGAAGCCCTCTGCCAGCAGACTCCAAAGATGGCGGCGGGGAAAGTGTGCCAGGGACCTTCAGGCTGATGCCATCGGTGGCTTGGCTTTGTCATGATGTGGTACCGGGGACCTTCAGGCTATGCCATCGGCGGCTCGGTATTGTCGTGGTGTTAGGGACCTTCAGGCATAGAGCCATCGGTGGCTTGACGTTGTCGGTCAGGTCAGCTTAGTAAGGACGCAGCGACCTGATCTTCTGGACTGATTCGCGGTCGAACCGCATTGGAGGCTTGCCGTTATAGGAGGTGAGATACCTATACTCGACGTCGTATTCTGAGTTTTCGCTCAGATTTACGTAAGTTCTCTTCGAAAACCTGGCGCCAATCATCTTTGCCAAAGTCGTGCCAGGATGTGGCTTGTCGTCTTGGTTGTTGTCGGCAAGCATGAAGAGGCGTTGTTGATGAGGGGGCTTCTTTTCTGTGACCGTATGACCATTAAAGGTGGTACACAAGCGGATTTGGACGCACTCCACGCCCTGGAAGTCGATCTCCTTGCCGACCACTACGGCTGGGTGACACCAGGGGTTCTGGTCAGTTCCCTTCATATACTCGTGGATCTTTGATCCGACGAGCTTTTCTTCAGTAGGCAAGTAAAACACCATGCCAAGCTCGACATTGTCAAAACTGGGCAGGTTCTTGTCGGTTGATGATGGTGGCGCAGCCCCAACTCGCCAACTTCCCTTCAATCCACGAGTAACTGGTGGAGAAGGTGGAGGGGTTGGAGGAGAAGAAGGCGGAGAGGAGAGCGAAGCAGACAAGGGGGGAGAAGGAGTGCGGGAAGGCGGTGGAGTTGCCAGTGGCTGCAGTCCTCGCTTGTGCGGAGGGACGTATTTGGTAGTGGCCAAAGAAGACATCTTCAATAAATAGTAATAGTTATCAAAGATGTATGAATGGTGGTAGCTTTTTAGCTCTTTGTAATGGTCTCTCTTCAGAAAGATATCAATGAATAGCTATAAGATGTGATGGGTGGTTTCCTGCTTTGCAGGACTTTCGACGACTTTTAAGGAAGGCCTGGCGCTCAAAATCCTGCCGACGACGCTATAAAATGAGTACAATTGGTTCCATGGTGTGCTATAGTTGCTTGCTAGATCTGGTTCTCTGGGTCGAGGATACACATCTTCCCCAGCGGTGAGCCAAACATTGAGTCTTGCAGCTTTCGCTTGGTAGAGCCTAGATACCTTCGCAGCTTTCCTGATGCTCGGAAGTAAACCAAAATAGCTTCGTATAGCTTCAGGAGACCATATAGTGGCCATTTGCATGCTCGGGTGAACGAGTTTTCCTCAGCGAAAGTTTGGCTGCAAGAGCATATATCGGCAATGCATCGAGAACCTTCCCCACTCAGCCTACTAGACCCACTCTACCACTTTCCGCAACGAGTTTTCAGTATCTTGGAAATCCGAGATATTTTGAACAATCAGGTTAAAGATGTAGCTGGTATATCTTGAGCGCTAGCGAAGCCTCTTATGGCAACAATTGGTCCTCTTGCTACACTCAACGGCATGCATTGACGCTTCAATGGCTTTGGAAGGTTGGTTTGACCTGTATATCTTCGGTGTTGTTTACTTGCTTCAATTGCAGCTCAAAGCGACTTGTAAACACACAGGCACACCCGTCGGCACGTTGTCCATTGTACACTATCAGAAATTCTTAAGATTGCACCATGGTAAGTATTGACAATAGCGGCAGGGTCCAATCGCTTCTAAAAAACATTAACTGCGTCGCAGCCTGATTGGCAACATCTCTGGAAAGTCTCCTGCGTGTGAAGTGGAATTGGTTCGATCTCGGGCAGGTTTGTGCTGAGCCATACTAGCAACACTCGACGATAGTCGCTTCTACTTTTCTCTGCTAACTATGGACAAGATACGATAGCGCCAACTTCGACCAAATTTGCGGCAGGTGCAATGGAAAAGCCATCACTGCGAGAACATCCATAGGAGATCTGGGAGCCATTTGTATGTATGCATCAACAAGCATCGCAGGACTGAATCTTTTCACAGTACTAAAGTCATCGACAGATCGCGATTTCATGGGGGCGGCAAGTAAACATGCTGAAATTCCCTTCGTGTTGTGCGTACCTCCGACGAGAATAGATCTTTCCATGGAACAAGGCCCACGGATAATTTCCGTGGAGGCGATCATTGTCCGCAACTGCAGAACCATGGTCTGCGGGATCTATCATCGAGCTCACGGACTAGGGACCACAGTACCAATCTTGCGTTGGAGCGCGGGCGAACAGGCTTGTGATCCCTCATTGAAGACCAGCCACCTGCGCGAAACGCACAATTGGAAATGAGTTGACAACAAAATACTTTGGAATCGGCACGCCATTTTACTCACGCGCCTTCGGTTGCACAATACCTGACCCGAGAAGAGTATGTGCGACGGATTGATAGGAAGCGACTCTGTTAGCAAGTGCGTCACGAACTCGTAACGGAAGAGCTAAGAAAATGGAAATGCTGCAGGAGCAGCGGCGGCGGCAGTAAAAGAAGAAGTGACTGAGGGCAGCAATTGAATAATGGAAAGGTGGTATGCAATGCTTGAGGTGATTAGATGATGAAAACTGGCTCGTATGCTTGAACTGAGCCCTTTGCAGCATTTGTGGGTTATAATTTTCCAGTGCCAACTTGGCAGGAGCTGTAAGCTCGAAGCAAACACATCTCAATGCGTTCCAAGCAGCAGATATTCTTGATCGAGCTCCATCTGCTTTCCATCCAGTCTAAACTTCAGAAAATCCCCTCTAATCAGAAGCAGGCTTCGCTGGATAGCAGGCACAGAAAGCCTTCTGCCTCTGTTCCGGCATTCCTCCCAACACCCTCATGATCCTTTCATTGTCTTCCTGGAAGCGCTTTGCATTGTTCTTGGGTGTGCCATCAACAGGAGCTTCGACAGCGTCAGAGTTGGGATGGTTTGTCGCGCAAAAGAGTTTGCCACCTGGGAGGATGGCGAGGGACTTGAGAGACTCGCAATCGGAGATCGGAGCTGGGGCGGCGAGGACAGAGGCGGCAAGCGCTAGGACGGGGAGGATGGTGAAGCGCATTTTGGCAGTCGAAGAACGTAGAGGCTGAAGATTAAACGAGATAGATTGATCGAGTAGATTTTGGTAACGAGTGACTGTGATGCGGAAGAAAGCGACAGACAGACTTCAAATTCGAAAAGTAGCAACAGCGACCAGCAACAGAACGAGCAGTTACCTAGCTCTTGTACCAACGCACTCATGTCTCCTTAACAACACGCGTAATAACAATAGACTACCACATGCGCCTCAGCCTCCACACCCGCATCGCAGCTTCGCGCAGCCAATAGTGATGTCCTCGAGACCGCCGTCGCGCGAAGGTAAGCTTTGACAAGCGATGGCTGGGCTGACCTGGAGCTGAGCTTATCCAATTAAGCTTCTCTAGCTCAAAGAAAGGACCGCAAGCGCCATGAGATTTGAAGTGTTCGTACATGTGTTGAACTGTTTCAGGGGTGGTGCTAGCGGACGTCGTGTCCGGGTGGCGTGCGGGCTGAGCTGAGACTCCTTTTCGCGCGCCGGAACAGGAAAAGAATGCAGCAGACGAAGAGAACGTATTATTCAAGGAATGACAAAAAGAAAACGACTATGAGTGTTGACTGTGTGGGGCACGCTGTCGCTGTACCAACATCAGATGATGTGTCATCACCCGTCTCGCACCAAAATCTTCGGAAGGCCATAACTCAACACCCACATATCCAAAAAAAACGCCAACGAGCGCAAAATGATGATGACAAGAGTGGGATTCGAACCCACGCAGATTGCTCTACTAGCAAGCTCTACACGCTCGGTGAGGATGTATTGAACCTGAAGCTAGCGCCTTAGACCGCTCGGCCATCTTGCCTGATGATTTATGGGAGATCGAAAATTACATCCAATATGATTACATTATAGTATCGTAGAGTTCAGGCGTGTAACGCAGCAAAGCGTTGTTGAGTAGACTCACATCGGGGCGGCTCGGATGAGGGGTAACGAGCAGAATCTTCACTACTTTGCCTGGTTGAATTCGGCCCCACATGTTGCTCACACTATCAACAAAATGCCAACCACGGAACCCCAAGCAAATAGTTTGACTGATAACGTCGAATAGTCAGGCGACATTCGGTTCCAAGGTACATACCAGGTCTGATCGTGTGAATATAAGCATATTACACACAGCAGATGAAGTCTGTTTCGAGCCTTGGGACCCATATGTTTGACTTGAGACTCAGGGTCAACTGCATCCCCTTTCGATTTGACACAATTTTGATATTTTGCGGCATACTTTGTGTGCAAAGGAGGACTCGAAGCGAAGTTGTAGCTTTTGATTCGTACGTGTGCGCGTAAGTCTGCCTTGAAATGCCTCGTCTCCCAGGCTGGCATACAAGGCAGACATGAGCTTGCTACTGTAATGAACATGCAACATAATAACAAGGTAATTATACAATCAATGGTAGAAAATGGAAGTACTAATGCACTGGTCTAGTTTTCGTCTCCTACTTAGTCTGTAGTTACCTTGAACAGAATTGTACAGCTTGGTGTGCGAGAGCCATAAACCTCTTGGAAAACTCATTTGTATCCTCTGCCTAGATCAGACAAAGCTTAAGAAGGGAATCGAGATTGGTAAATAACATAAAGTAACTGAATCCTATTTCCTAGACCACATTTGTATTTCCTTGTCCAAAACCAATGTCGTTGCTATACACCGTGTGTTTTGACTTGATTCTCGGTTACAACGTGACGTTGCCTACTACACTGGCGAGCATCTGCACCTTACGTTTTATGCTACCAAAGAGGCGGCCCACCAGTCTTTTGAACATGATTCCATATCCGTGGTGAGAGAAGTGCATAGTCCCTTTCTTCAGGCACTGCAGTCTCACCCCATGCATTCTCCCCTTCTCTTCTACAAATTTAAAGCCATCAAACCCGGCAGCATTACAACAACACCAATCTCCATCCGTTTCGCAATACCCGCAGCACCATTCCACCCGTCTTCATCGCGCTCGCACTCGCCACAGCTCCAGAGCCTATAGGCGTCGACAGCGACCCAGTCATCGATGATGATGTCGAGTCATTTGGGGGGAATATCAATCACACTGCACGAAGCTGTGGCATGGCCGGCTGGGAGATCAGAAGATGTAGCTAAATCTATCGCTACAAAACATGACATTAGCTATGAAGGCTACGACTCCCAATCCCATCCTCTCCTTCTCCCAAGTTCAAAGCAGACTTACAAACCATCACCTGAACCCCATTACGCACCCGTAGCTTCACCGCTTCCAAGCTTCGCAGCAACCATGCCTATGTCTTTCTCACTGCACACTTCACTGTTCGGCGCATGCTTTCACAGCGCCGAGCAAGCAGCCTAGCGGTGATGCAAAGACAGCTGCATCTCGGACTAAACGCACATACTCCCCAACCACCTAAACGCCAACACCATAATCGAACGACCACGTCCCTCGGTCAATAAACAAGCAACTGCCGGCATCACCAAGCAAGCATCAAGCTGACTCCCCCCTCTCTCCCTACGCCCCACATTTTATCTATTTCCAGCCGAGCCCTAGTCAGGAACAAGCGTCGGTGCCATGCATTCGGCGCAATAGCATCTCGAAACACGAGGCAAAACACCGCCGACGCCGAATGCCGGATGGCGAGTCATTTGTGTGCATGAGAGCGCAACGTGTCCAGGATGGTGGGTGTGTTTATGTCGACGTCATGTTTGACTTGCCAAAAATAAAAATAAAAAAAATCAATGGGGGAGAATAGGAATACAGGGAGAAAAGTAATGGTACTACTACCTCGAATCTGATTCAGATCTCATACCGCGTATTAGGGCAGTTCCAACAAAGTCGACAAAGCAAAGGAAACGAGTGAATGCAGAAGTGTAAAGTCCCACATTACAAAGTATATATATGTAATTTATCTTCCGAATGCAGACCAAGAGCCAATTCCAATCTTGCCCAACCCTCCCAGGACCTATGCAAGAAAGAAAAGAACCAGCGCAGACCCTTGATTCCATCCGGGTATGCAAGATAACGGACCCTGAACCCCCCCACCCGCAGATTGACTTTTTCCAGAAATGACAATCCAGCGTGTTTGATGATGTGTGATGCGCCGCAAAACTCCTTCGCTAGTATGTTACAAATGCAAGGCTTGACGAGAAGAAGAAGACAGGAACAAAGAGAGAAAGAGAGTGAGAGAGAGAGAGGAGCGTAAAGTTGATGTTATGGTGTCGGATCAGTCGTGAAGGTGGCGTCGTGAGTAGGAGATCAAAATGGTGCAGGGCCAGTGCCATTTGGTCCAAGCATGGAGGGAATAGGCTTGCGGCGAGCTTTTGCCATGGGGATGCGTGGCACGCCTTGGATGACGCGGGGCTCTTTCATGAGTGTGGGATCGAGCTTGGAAGGAATGCGGCTAATCACGGAGCGATAGTCGCCGGGGAAGCGTGAGTTAGGTGGAGTTGCGGACGCGGTGCGCCAGAGGTGATCGCTCGTGTCAGAGAGGAAGTCGGCTTTTGATCTGGAGAAGAAGGATGATTTGCCGCGGTTGCGCTTTGCGAGAATGACTTCGTCGAAAAGTTTGACAATTGGGTCATCTGCTCGCTTGCTCTCGCGTTCGTGGATAAATTCGTTGAAGCCTTTGCGAGGTTAGTGAACTAGCATGGTCATGCGGAATGTGGCGTTACAAACCTTGCGTCTGTTGCAGAGTGGCCAAATACTGCACGTTTTCACTCGGTTGGCTCTTCATGAACTCGTCCATCTTGAACTGATAATGCATCCCAGATTTCTTGCGCTCGCCGGTCGCTGGAACCATGAAGCGCCTGTACGTGTATAACAGGCTGGCAAAACATCGCACAAACGAGGCACGGACTTGATCTGGTCGGAAAGCTGTGGGACAGACTATGCAGATGGAATCGACGCATCGACCGTGGGCAAACGTGGTGCAACCTGTGGTATGTTAGCTAGGAGCTAAGCTAAGATAATGTGCAACTTGCCAGTACAACGATAGAGGCCATCGTCGGATTTCTCCTCGCAGATTGAACAGCTTGCCTTTTCCTCATGGGGCCGCCACTGCAGGCAATGTCCTTCTTGCCACTGCGTAGTTGCCGTGTTACGGACTGGCTGCATCGCCATGCCAGGCATAATCGTCGATGCTGCCAACGTCGACTGCGCATATACTGATGGAGCATAGGAAGATCCAGCGTGATATTCATGACTCAAGGAGGACGTTGAGGCGCTAGGAGCGTGTCCGAGGAATGGCTGGCTGGGCCTTCGCAATGGGGGTACACGATCTGAAATGCCAAACGAAGAACTCCGACGGGACGAAGTTTCAAAATGACCCGATCGCTTCTCTCGGAGTTGTTGAACCTGCAAAGCATATCCAGAATCGCTGCGGGAAATTGGGGTACTTGGCATGGGAGGAAAGACTGTCGAAACCGGCGATATCTTGGGCGACGGTGGTGAATTGTAGGTCTTCATGGTTGTGGCAGTCGTTGGTCTATCGTTTCCGCGACTGGAAGCACTCGACTGTAAGAATGCATTATGGATCAAAGGCTTCGAGCTGGACGGTCCGCCAACAGCGCCGAATGATGTTGAGTTAAGACCAACATAGGTCTGAATTGTGGAAGGATGCGCTTTGTGAGAGAACACATTAGGGTTCTCCGAACAGAATGTGTCGTAAGGGTATGCTTCTACTGCATATTGAGGAGGCCCAGTTGGTACGCCGTACCGAGCGTGGTGCGGAGCAGAGTGTTGAAGAAGGGACATCAGTTTCCGTCGCTGCTGGCGAGGCAGAGCTGGAGGCGGAGGTCCATTCGAGACAATTGAGTTAGCGTCTAGGTCAATGAGCACGTATTCGTCCTCGGGGTAATCGGTTGGCTCGTATCGACGCTCGATGCCAACAATGTATGGACAAGGGGCTTCGATCGTTTGGACCAGACGGGCGGGCAGAATCGGTATGAACACACCGGCCCACTGGAACGGATACAGCAAGTTGACGATCGCCATACTTGCAAGATGCAGCATTGCTGTATGTGAAGAGAGGAGAATGATCCTCGACTCACTAAGCACAAATTCGAAGAGTGTGACGATGTTCGGAATCGATAGGCAGCGGAAAAGCGCGTAGATGTCGATGTTGCGGGATCCAGGAATCTCGTTGAGCGCTTCTTTGCGAGCATACATTCGCAACTCGCGAACCGCTAATTCAACCTGTGTAATGGAGGTGATCGGACTAAGAGCTTCCGCACAGAGGTTGACCACATATCGCTCCAACGGCTGCCACATACCAATTCGGGGTGAGCTTGCGGGGACGCGCAGAATCGCACCATTGGTCATGGGGACTACAACTGCTTTTAGCCATTCCTTCCAGAAGGGTGTCAGACTGGCATCTCGGCCCATCACGCCATAGGCACGTGGGATCCAAAGGCCGGTTTCTCCATCAGTCAGACCTTCGATCTTGGAAGCAGCTCCGTGCCTCACCGGGCGGAGGAGGTCTGTCATGAGCTGAATCTTTTCTTCCACCGCGCTGATCTGGTCCTCCAGGTTCTCGCGCTCTTCGGACTCCGGAGCTACGGCCGGCAGTTGGGAAAGAAGTTGAGACAGCTTCGCACGCTCGAGCGCAAGACGCTCTCCCAAGCTGCTCGCCAATTCCCGCTCCTCTGGATTCATGTGGACCCTGCGCCATTCTTCGCACTGGCGCTCCAATCCTTCAGCAGCTGTTGAGTTCAAGGGCAGCCAGACGATAACGCAAATTCCGTAAAGTTTGCAGCTGTCACCACCGGTCATTGCGAATCCATGCCATTGGGTCTTTGGTCGCTCGTCCGAGGAGACTACGCTGACGTCGTTGGGAAAAGCAAACATAGGCACGTAGTCGGGAAAAGGGTTTCGTTTTTTCAGCTCCTCTACCATATTCTTCGGGGGATAGCGATCCAGGAGAACCGGCTCATAGCGGCGCAGCAGAGGGTGCATGTTTGGCTCCGGTGTGAATGGCTGAGGCGCCGGTATCACTGAGTTGTATCCCGACATTCGCTTTGATGTTCGGATTGAGGCTGCCTGCATGTCAGTACTTGTGGGTCAAAAGAACAAAACATAATGTGGCTTGATGCAGATGCATGTGCAGATCTGCGCCATGTCGTTACACAGTCTCGATTTTCCACGTACATTGTCGGGCACCTGAAGACTGTCGCTTAAGACTGCTCTGCATGGTCGATATCCGCCGCCTGATGCTTCCAACTCCGGATCTGAGATTTCCGCCATCTTCGTTACCGGGATGTTGCACTCGCTGCGGTCGCGGGCGTGGTCGGGTGGAGGTGGGGCGGTTCTGTTGCGCAACACCAGCGGTAAATTGGATTTCCTCGAGAAAATTGTCTCTCTCCGAGGCGAATTTGCGCAGCGCGTTCTCAAAGTCCTGCTCGCTCAGGCCAGAACCAAGCAGTTGCACGCCCTTGATAGTTGTGCTGCTGCGGTTACTCGCGGTGTGCTTGCTGTCCGGGCCAATAATCGTTCCGACTGAGTTTCGGTGCTCACTCATACGTCCGGCAGAGCGCCTATTACAACTGTCACCATTGGGCAGACCCTCCTGTGACGCGGGCCTGCTTGAGTCCGTCTCCAGGGCGCGATCTTCTTCAATGGTCTCGTCGACTGGCGGGGCGGCGAGCGGGGAAGTGACTAAGCCGATGCCATTCTGCTGTGCGCGCTCGTCGTAGACCTGCGACGACTCAATGCCAGAGATGAAGAAATAGTCGGCGAGCGGCGCAGTGCCCTCGGCAGTAGGAGCGGGTGCCATGGTGATGCTAGGTCATAGGATATCCAAAAAAAAAAGAGTAATGGCTGTTAAAGAGCGTCGGATGCGCAGTCACGGTGTGATAGGGCTCGAGTGGGTTGCGGCTCAGGTCATTGGCAATTGGGCGCCTTCTCTACGGTCCAACGGTGTTGTGTGTCGGAGTGCAGGGCGTCAGGTTATGCACGGGAAGGGCTTCCGTTGTGCGACGGTGGCAGAAATGTTGCACGGGCGCCGCCTGTGTACGAAACGAACAAACGAACGGGGGAGCTTGGCCGGAAGCGAGAGCAGTACTAAAAAGTGAAGTCGTAAATTGTTTCTATGGACGATGGCGTCGTGGAAGAGAGGACGTGAGGGCGTGGAGATGTGGTGGGTAGCCGATATTCCAGCGGTGCAGCAGCGGCTCACAGACCATTCAAAAGGACGGCCCTGGACGGGCTCTGGCACTGCTAAGCCAGATTGACCTCTCGTCTCCCGCTTGCGATAAGACGCAGAGGCGCTTGAGGCTAGCGCACAAGACGTCCCGCAACTAGCACTCGGTGACCGGCCAGACCTGCTGCGTGCCAGCCAACGACGCGCCTGCAGACTGCAGGAGAAACAAAAGGTTCCTGGTTCTGCGCCTCTATGCGTCGCCCTGGCTGCCTTCGAACGCGTTGCCAAATTGATATTGATCGTCTCATTGTTTCGCGTCCCTACGCAGGACGCATAAGGCCGTGCTGCCGCACCCCTGTACGCGGACCCTGGCCTTGGGAAACAATCGCGGCAATTGTGGAAGTGCCTATGCTCGATTGGGGCGTCGATTCAGGGGTGCGGCCTGTGTCAGCCTAATAGGGACCCGTTGACAATAACATGGTTGTCGTGGTGTGTGTCCAATTTATATATAGCGAGCGTTCAGTGCGGGAGACATGGGAGAGTGAGGTTTCAGCTGGAAAGCGCATGCACAACGGACATGTGTATCGCATCGCATCGGCACAGAAATAGGGGTGGCACCGCGCAGTACCAAGAGAGACCCGACACGCAGCTGGCACTCTCAACATGCCTCTCACCGCAGGTGTGTGGCGGGATGATCCTACATACATCCTATCCTACACACCTATGCTGTGCATATGCATCGTGCATCCTGGTCATATTCGATGGACTTATTGCAGGAAGAAGCCGTCGTTGCGGACTCTGCACATCGCCACGGTAATACGTCTCCTTGAAGAAGGAGATTCGGTCATACGATCCTTTGCATAGACACAGCATTCATCCTCGGACGCCATGCTTGCATCCAAGCCATGTGTACCTGCAGCCCGGCAACATCCTTCCACATTAGACGCTGGGGCTAGTGCATGCATACCGTATAAACGAGCCCGCAATGTCATTAATGGGGCGATCTTGTTCAAATTTGCATTGCTGAGACCACTTGTTCGTACAATCGTCTGCATCAGCACCAAATCCGCAATACTTATCGCGATCCCGTGTATGCGCGGAAGTATTTCTTCCAACTGCATATTGCCCCGAGCATACCGAGTGTGATCTGCGGTTCCTACTACTTCCTCTAGCCATGTCTCTCGTCAGCGCAGATTATCCTCGGCCATGTTTGCCTCCTTAGACCCTGAGCAACCGACACTGCCCCGTTGTAAAATGAAGCCTCGCTGGCGATCGCGAGCAGACCCTTAACCGGTTCATAAGATTAGTGAAGATGAGGCCCCATGTCGCTCGGTCGTCGCCAGACCCACTTTTGCATGTGGGGTACCCTTGCCGTCGGATTCGCAGTCTCACCGAGTTCAAGATGCATGTGCTGAAGATTGAGGCCGAATTTTTTGGTAGTTGGGTGCCAGTGAATCTTCATAGGCATGTGACTGCGCTCTGGTGTATGACGCGGTGAATCCCGGTGAGGTGATTGAGGGTTGTCCCCAGTCTAGGTGTAGACTTACTCCACGATCGTTGGTTCCTGTCGATCAACCATCTCAATCGACCCCACTTTGTGGCCGGCTGCTGACAATTTCGAAACCTTGTTTGACAACAGATCCAGCATGAGTTGGACTGGAAAGATGTCGCAGTTGAGAAGCCGACACAGTCATGCCCATGGCCATGCTTCACTGAAGGCATGCGCGATGTCGGATCGAGCATCGAGCATTGTAGAGCAGCATGACGCCTACTACCTAGATACTTTCTCGGCTGGGGCTGCATGCCCAAGGTGATACTTTGAAGGCAGGTGCATCCGAGGATGAGCGTGGGGAGATGTTCGGAAACAAGTCCGCGCGAATTACAATGTCGAGTCAGAAAAGCCCGACAACAAGTCGATCGTGCCTGTGTTTGACTACCATAATTCAGGTACGGGACCTGACTGGCTGTACCAAAGCCTGTAGTCTAGTATCGCGGCTCTTGCCAAGTTGTTATGCTCTCAACGTCTGCACGTGAGCCAGCCGGTGCTTAAGGAACCTCGATCTCCTAATGCGCCGCGCCATTGGATCGCCAGCTGTCCAAGAAGCCTTTTGTTATCTGGCTCTGGTCCGGGTTCCTCCATATCTGATTGCTCGACGCCAGTTTCGTGTTCCAAGATAAAGGCCACCTGGACCACATCGCGAGGACTTAGTATCGGCGCATTATGATAACCTGTACCTGGTGGATGTGCATCCCAATTGAGGGACGTAGATCTGAGCGAAGGTTTCGGATTAACATTTACCGCCTGTATAGTGTTAGCTTAGGTTCCACCATCCGAAATCGTAAACCTCGGGAGTGTTGGCAATTATCGCGCTGTTGATATTACATGGAACGAGATTCGCAATGTAACTAGTGCAGATAATACTCCAAGGAATGGTAGCCGTGCATGATCTCGGTTACAGATTGATGAACTGTACGACAGACGGCACGGGTGCGGGTAAACACATTGTGGGGTCCAAGGATATGGGAACAAATCACGCACCTCTAGGCAGACCGCAGCCTCGCCCATGTTCTCAAGCTGTGCCTCGAGCAGATATTTGGATGGGCCGTTCGGCTGGGTCAACTCGCCGGCCTTTGTTCTGACACTGAGCAGTTGTTGCGCAACAAACTGGTACAGCTTGCGGAACGTTCGCACGCGTCCACTTGCCGCTTTGCCTTCGCCCAATGCTGTTTCTGTGTATGTGACTGTGACAGCCAGAACGTGATTGCCATCCTCCTTCAGCTCGAACCTCAGAATGCGCTGCAGCGATTCGCCCGGCCCAGGTGATACAGCGTCTTCGCCATCTTCGAGCGACCCTGTCAGATCCAGAGGCGAACCCGCGGGGTTCGAGGGCGTCTGCATATCTCCTTGTATCCTCACACCACTGACCGCTCTGGTGGTGTCTGCAGCATCGAGCTCGTTGTTTGCGCACAGCGTGCACGAGAATGTCTCGCCCACATAAGCACTGCCGAAAGCCTCAGGTAGGTTGAGCACAGGACTAAGGAGGAATCTGCTGTTCGAGTCGTCTTGCGAAGGGTAGGCTAGCGACGCCTTTGGCGAGATGCCTAGATCTTGCGAGTTGGGCAGTGGGTGCTGTGTTGCAAGCGATGGTCGGGATAGCCTGGAGATCAATCAGCATTTATGTGCTTTGGTGAACCTCTGAACTGGCGCTGCTCAACCTGACTCAAGCAGCTTCGGTAGCCTTTGCGAAGCTCGCAGACGCAACTCGAAGCCACTCATAGCAAGTTGCTCAACGACAAGAAGATAGCCATGGCAGAGATATGACGTACCGCAAGACTTTTAAGCTCACCGAATGCGGTGTCTTGAGCGAGTCGCCCATAGAGGGCTGATTGCGCTGGTGAGCCATGGCTGCGGGAGTGGTGAGCGTGCGAGAGATGACGGAGCTCCAGTCCACCCCACGCTTCATCGTGGTCTGTGCTCAAATTTCATCGGGCAACTGCGCCGGCAGGAAAAGTGAAAACAGCCTTAGAGTTATTCTCGTTCACGCAAACACGAACATGGGTGTCATAATAGAAGAACCGAGAATTTCGCTTCAGCGGTGTCCAGATATGGAAATTCGGCTTGATACTCCGAAAGGTTGAACATTGGTGACCATATCCAATTTCCCAGAGCGATCCAGCTGAGCATAGATAGGTCGTGGCGTCTTCGCAACAAAAGATATACCAGCAAAGGCAATATTAGATATCTGCCCAGTGTTGTTGCTTGGCTTAGAAGAGAACAAGGAACACATAGAGAAGACTTCGTTGTACCACTATACCTAGTGAGTAGTTGTATTCTCTCAAAAGTGTACTGCTGACATAGACAGCAACTGGCCTTGTGCCGTCCCCAATAGCGATAAGAAGTCGGCTCAGGCCGTCGTTTTTGGACTTGGTTCTATGTTCAATCACTCGACACAAGACCAGAATGTCGTGTGGGAACGCGATACCGAGCGGCTCGTTATTACTTATCGAGCTTGGAGGGATATACACGCCGGCGAGGAGCTTTGCATATCATACGGAAGCCATCTCACTTTCAAGGACGCAGATGCTCCAGTGCTACTTCCCCCGGAGACAGAACTTGAGCAGCTCAATCAAATACAGTTCGATTAGAAAAATGATGTGGTACAATTTACAAGTCGGAAGGCAATGCGGCCAGAAAGCAAAGCAACTAACCGTACACGATCCGCTGACGTCCAGTCATTGAATCACAACGCCAACTCCGGGTTCATGTGCTCTAGTTCAAAATTATGCCGCCAACGGTTCGTTGGGTGTCTCACTCTGGGGAGTCGCTTCGGCAGAGCTGTCCTCTTCGGCATCGTTCCGCAGCTCGTACGCAAGATCGAAGCACTCCTCGAGCAGTTGCGTCACGCGCCCTTGGCCGTCAGGAATTTCGTTACCAACCATAAACTTGCCATCTTTTCGCATGTTGTCGATCGAGTTCAACTGTAGTAATGTGAATAGAGGAACCGCATCAGGGTTCATATTGCGTACCTTCATGCTGTACGGATAGAGCTCTCGTGGCGATGAAACGCCACCAAGTTTCTTTACATCCAGCAAGCATTTCCGTAGAGTTGTCAACTGGTTGTAGATTGGGAGCAGGGCCTCTGAGACCGGTTCCGAGGTCATAAGAAGTTGATAGACAAGCGCATAGCTCTTCCGCAGAAGATAGAGTAGTGTCTGCGGATCTGTTAGCCGTTTTGCAAAAGCACATAACGTCAGCGCAGCTCACTCTTTGCTCGTAGATCTCTGCAGGTCTTCCGAGAGCATCGAAGAAGTTGCCGTCGACTCGCGACTCATCAATGCGATCAAGTTGACGTTGGTAGTCCCAAAGATCTGTCTCACGTAAAGACCAGGCTTGTGTGAGCGTGAGTTTCTCGAGCTTGTTCCTGATGGCAAGGAGTTTGTCGTATGTGTCTTGAAATGCTGGCGCTATCCGACCTTGCCTGTCCATGTGTAAGCTATATATCCTTTTGGCAATTTGGGCCAACATACTTCTGTTTGATTAGAGTCACCCAAAGGAGATTTCGTCGCAAAAGCGTTCCGAGAAGATCCTTTGCCGCTGGTGCAGGCTCAGGATTCGCGGCGGCAATCTGCATCTTGTCGACCATCTCGGCTAGTTTTTCCTCTGTAGTGCCAGTAGCCTCATATGCGAGGATACCATGTTCTTTAAGCGCTTCTTGAACCTTGAAAAGTTCTTTTTGATACTCATCCACTTCATCGTTAGGGAACTGTGATTTTGTTAACAAGTGAGTGGACAAAACAGTGTGGTACAAACCTTCGATCTTGCGTTGCAGCCGGCCAAGGACCGCAGCAAGGATACCAGCTTGTCCCAAAGTGGTATGAGCTCCGGGGTCAATTGCGAGAGGTTGAGTTCGAGATCTGCCAATATCTCTTCGCACACCTTGATGCGAGCATCGAGGAGCGTGAGAAGGTGTGGAACATGCTTGTCACGACCTCTCTCGACATACTGACGACAATCGACAAGATTCTTAGAAAGAGCCTCGAGGTCCTTTGGCGAGTAAAACGTAGCCTCTTTAAGGTGATCCAGTAAGCGCTATATCGGATTAGAATCTGACTGGAATAAGATCTGAATGAAATCACCTTGATCGTTGATATGTAAGAATATCTGCACCAGAATGTCAGTGAAAACACAGTAAGCCGAAGCACAGCATACTCACACTGCTGGTGGCTCGTGATTCTTTCCGACCGTCAAATATGCCAGTGAAATGAGTTGGAAACAGTCATCAAGCATATAGTCGACTGTAACAAGTTAGCGGCGTGCAAAATAATAGGTCAAGTAGTTGTGGCGACGAACCCTTGTTCTGCTCCAGCCGTTTCGTTTCTCGGATCTCGTTCAGGATAATGACTTGCTCGATGACCTGATCATACAAGTTCAGGACATCTTGACTCTTGACATATGTCGAACGGTCGCGCTTCAACAATTCCAGCTCGGTCCGTATCGATTGCAGCTTGTCCAGTATCGGCTGCTCCTTCGGGTCCAGCGGTATCCGTGGTAGAGGCGAGTCTGTCATATTAGGCTGCAGCAATTGATCGTCGACCTCTAGTCAAGTCGTTGAGCGAAGTTAAAGTTGTCTGAAGGGGCTCGAAGGACTATGAGCTTGCGACTTTGCCGGCAATGGCTGCTGCAGCCAAGAGCGTATAGCGGGGAAGTCGGACGTCACAGGTCGGCCTATCGCTATCGCCCAGGAGGGGCACTGGCAGCCCTGCGCACGAGCCGCCACCTTACCACGCAGAGCTTAGCGCGTCGCTTACGAGAAAGTGCGACTGCAATATTCGGATCGCGGACCTCACACATTCTACATTGCGAAACTCTCCGTCAAACACACACGACAATCGTCACGACCAACGTCACAATGTCTACCTCTGAGCTCGCAACCTCCTACGCTGCTCTCATCCTCGCCGATGACGGTGTCGACATCACTGTACGATTACTCGAGCGCGGCTGCGTGCACTTGCTTATACTAACAAACTGCAGGCCGACAAGCTCCAATCGCTGATCAAGGCCGCAAAGATCGAGGAAGTCGAGCCCATCTGGACAACTCTGTTCGCCAAGGTGCGCACGACAGAGTGAATTGCATGCGAGACACGGTTTCTGATATGGAAATAGGCTCTTGAGGGCAAGGATGTCAAGGACCTGCTCCTGAACGTCGGCTCAGGCGGCGGCGCTGCCTCTGCCCCCGCTGCCGGTGGTGCCGGAGGTGCTGCTGCTGGCGGTGCCGACGCACCAGCGGAAGAGGAGAAGAAGGAGGAGGGTACGTTGACCCAATTCACAGCCACGCGAAGAACGTACACTAACGCACCACGCAGAGAAGGAGGAGTCAGACGACGACATGGGCTTCGGTCTCTTCGACTAAGCGCTTTCTTTCGCATCTTCTTCCACATTTGCCTTACTCGGGGTGTCCAAAAGGAATCAGCGGCATACTCCCCCTGCTGGGCAGAACGTTCACGACCTTTCCGTGATACGACATGCATACGGATCATCTAGGAGAATACAATGACGGCGTCTTGAGATGTGTATAGGACGGCAGGTTCAATGGAAACTCGAAAAGTGCAAAGTGTGTGTCTCATGCAACGTGAATCTGGCTATCTATGGATCGTTGTTCGGGCCGAAAGTGAACATGCATGCTTGCGTCTTGGGACCCCTTGACTACCCGGGAGGCGTACACCTTCTCGAGCCCGACTCTGCCAGTGGATGTGTTCCTCACATCGCTTCTTCTCCTTTTCGGTCTCATGTGCGTGGAACCGATCAGCTGGTTGCAGCGAGAAGTCCCCGTTCCCTTTTTCTTTCTTCAAGATCCTCTCGATAATGTCCACAAGGAAGCGAGCTGGAAAGCCGTCTTCTAGTCTCGTGTGGAATTGGTATTTTTCCTTGCAGAAGCCTGTCACCAAAACCTCTCGGATCGTAGAGTTGGCGGCCGTTTGTGTTGTCAACACGGTGAACCAAGTCTGGGTCCATGAATGCCACGTCCCGCCGCTCATCGCCCACGCCATCGACGAAGCAGTACACCAAGCGTGTCAGGGCGTTGAAAGCTACGTCGCTCATCCCATAGATGTTCGCAACCAGGAACAACCTGATACAAACATGAGCCTGTTGGCACCCAAAAGTACACTTTAGGCCCCGATTTGCTAAGAAAAGGTGATTGCACAATGAGTCAGGGACTCCCATCTTTTCCCAATCAATTTCTTCCAGGTGGCTTTTAGACGAGTCTTCTTCGTACTCGCGCCGCAACTAGTGTACAAACGCGTCGATGACGGAAGGAAAGATGTTCAGCTTGATGCCGAGAACGCCGGGATACTGAAACAGTTTTGCGAAGCCTGGCGCGTACACTTCGAGGAGGCTGAGGTTGATGGGAATTTTGCGCGAAAAGCCACCGAAGGGGTCGTAGACCTCGCTTTTGACGCTGATGACGATTAGTCGGCTGCCTCTTTGCGGGTTGTGGTTGTGTTGCTTACATTTTGCTGTGGCCGTGCCTGTCTAGCATATTCGCGTCGCCCATCGCTTGCGGTAGCCGTCCGAGACGTGGTGGTGGAGTGAGGCAGAGTCGAGGTGTCAGGATTTGAGGTCTTGAACAGGTGTTGTCGGGCCTAAGCTCAAAGTCACGGTGAATGGCAAACGCACAGTGAGAGTAAATGGTAAAGTCTTGAGGTTTTAATTCCGGTACAGGAACTGTCAGCATGTGCTTGAGCTTCTCGAACGTACTGCATCTAGGATGTAAAGCATGCACTACATCTCGTATGGAAAGTTGCCTCTTCCCTTGCCCGCTAGACGAATCCAACACCCCATCTAGGGTGCCAATTCCATCAAGATCCTCAGTGTGCGCAATGCGGCACGACTGGTCCTGGATGTCCGTGGTACTTGCAGGGGTTCCTCCACGGACCGTAACTCTCGCACTTCTTGTCCCATGCCTTACGTAAGATGTCGACGAGTAAGTCCTTAGGCAGTTGTCTGAGTGCCGCATCGCGCTGGTCACCGTAATCATGGTAGCCCTCGCTCAGAAGCTCTCTCAACAGATCGCCAGGCTTTGTGTTGCGATAGAGTGTTTCGATGGCTGTGGTGCTGATGTGATCATGGTAATAGTCAGACTCTTCGACGTGATTGATGAACATCCAGTTCTTATACCAGACCAGACGATCGATGGCGCCCTGACGGACGAGGTATTTCGTATCTGTTGGCAAAGGTAACATGTTGATGGCTGCCTCGGTATAGTCGGAAAAGTTTGAAGCATTGTCCCAAATCAGCGGTTCCTCGCCGTAATAGTAGGCGCAGCTGCCATCATCCGGCCAAATTAAGTCGGAGGGTTGTTCAGGCTTGATGCCTGGGCACAACGAATTGCTTACGCCAGCGAAGTGCTCAAAGCGTAGTCATCCGATGAAGATCTCAAAGCTTTCGGGTGTAACGTCGTTGAGCCTGACCGACCTTACGCCTGGAAAGCGGAAGAGGCTTGCTAGGCTAGGTACGTATGCCTCGAGCAGGAGATGCAGAACGTCGAAGGTCTCGTGGATGTCATTACAGAGCATATCAAATTCGACAGTTGCGGTCCTATAACATATGTGAGTATAGGCACACTGTGTGCAGGTGAGAAAAGTACCGTTGTTTCGAAGTATAAAGTCTGTTGGGAGGTCGTTGTGTCATGTTGACTGGACGTCGAAGATTGCAGAGGGGCGTGCGAGATACACAGATCGAGGCAAGCGGATGGGGGAGAAGTGCAAGCCAGGTATCGTCTCCCAGCAAAGGCAACAAGGTGAGATACGAAACAGACTTACCCAAGTGAGAGGCACCAGCTCGTTGAGCAGTGAGTGCGCGCCTGTATTGAACATATATGGGTCTCTTCCAGGCAGGTAAGTCGAAGACGGTGCAGACCAGCTAAGTTGAGGCTGGGAAAGATTACACTCTCCGTGCTCTTATTGGCGTAAACCTGGGCGGCATTTGGAGCGGCCTTTTGCAGGCAGTAAAACCTCTTGGAGCTGGGTACCTCCAATCGAGCCAGGCATTCCATATCATGACAGATGTTGTACTAGAGGCCCAGTAGAGCATTAACGCGGCCGGCATATTCTGGCAGAGAGGTCCAACGAGCAAGGAAACTGCGAGGAGCGTTCTTCGAATGGCGAGGGGCCATGAGGCGCCGTTCTCGACAGTGTTCTTCGTGATGTAGATGTTCGTAAACATGAGTCCTGAGACGACGAACGGTAAGACGCCGGTTGGGTCAGGAATTAGGAGGTCTGGGAACCACAACATGCCCTCTGTTGCGAGCGATGGTTCGAACCACTTGCTCGTGTTGACTGCGACTTCACCGACAGCAGCCTGGGCATCCTCGCCCCTGAAGGCAGAGAAGCCTAGTCCCATGAGACCCTCTCGTGCAGCGCACTTCTGCCGGATAGTCTCGGCCATGGCAAAGAATATGGGTATTTGTCCAATTGTCCAGCCAAGCTGACCCTTCAATGTGACGTTCCACCTCTTGTCCAGCTTGGCCGTCACCTCGTTGACTTCCTTTTTGACTGCAAGCGACGCCTCCTTGGGTGTGCGGAAGCTGGCTGTCTTCAGAATCTCGTCTCGCTTCTGGAAAGCTAATGCTTGGCGCAGTGGTTGTAGGCCGATGTAGCGTGCCATGAGCGATCGTGCCCATGCGCCGAAGGTTGTGACTAGCGCGGCTCGTGTGATGAAGGCGGTGAGCGGTATCGCAGCATACCAGGGCACGCTTGTGTGAATCAGATTGATCATCTCGTGGGGCAGGTACAGGACAGCATCAAGCAAAGGGTCTTGTCGCGGGGCTGATGCGTGGAAGGCGCGGGGTGCAGGGCGACATCTTGGTAGAGAAGGTCTAGCAAGCCGCATAGAAGCCAATTGGCACGTTGACCGCCGTAGCAGCCCCGAAGACAACATGTCGCGATAATGTTTGTGGTGTTGCACTTTCTCGCCAGCATCATCGGACTTCCGGCGGAAAGAAGCTTGAGCACACGCCAGGCCCACGCTGTCGGGCCGCGGGCAGGCACCATCCCACCTGCCAGACGTCAAGCTACGTGGACCTCTGGTGACTTTTATTTCCAGCGTCTTCTCTCTGTCACGATAACTCAAGCTAGGCGCTCGCCATGGCGCTTCTCGCCGTCTTCCTCTCGCTTCTGATCCCGGCCCTTATCTCCGTCGTCTTTCTTCCGAAGACCCTGCACCTGCTCGCCGAACTAGTGGGTCGTCGCCTGCGTCACTCGTCCCGCACGCGACGAGGGCTGCTGCTGGATCGTGTCGCCGCAGAGACCAAGGCTTTCGAGGCAGAGCACAAGGCGAAGGGCAGTGAAGATGACGACTGGGAAAACATAGTGCCTTCACCACTTGGTACTGCTGCCAATGGAGCCAGAGCAGATGCAGAGTGGGATGGCATAGTCGGCTTCTTCCACCCCTTCTGTAACGCCGGAGGAGGCGGAGAACGAGTGCTATGGGCTGCAATCCGAGCCACACAAAAGCGCTGGCCGGAAGCGACAATTGTCGTATACACAGGCGACCACGATGTCGACAAGAACGCCATTCTCAAACGTGTCAAGGACCGCTTCAACATCCGCCTCCATCCGCCGACCGTCCACTTCCTCTACCTCACTACTCGTCATTGGGTGCTTGCAAGCACGTGGCCGCGCTTCACACTGTTGGGACAATCCCTGGGCTCGGTAGTCCTTGCTTATGATGCATTTTCGCTCCTCGTGCCTGATGTCTTCATCGACACCATGGGATATGCTTTCTCGCTTGCACTCTCATCCTGGTTCTTCCCAGACGTACCGACTGGCGCATACGTCCACTACCCGACCATATCCACCGACATGTTGGACTCGCTACAAGTAGGAGGGCAGGGTGTGAACGCAGGCACAGGAGATGGATACCGTGGTCTGGCCAAGAAGAAGTACTGGCAGCTCTTTGCAAGGTTGTACAGCAAGGTTGGCAGTACTATCGACGTCGTCATGACGAATTCGACATGGACACAGAGTCACATCCAGTCACTCTGGGGATCGTATCGAGAACAGCGGAGTGCGCTTGTGAACAAGGACATTAATGTTGTGTTCCCACCAGTTGCAGTCGAAGACGTGACGAAGGCCGTCGAAGTCTCAGAAGCCAGCGAAAAACATCGTGGACCAGCCCTCCTCTACATCGCCCAATTCCGACCTGAGAAGAACCACCAGCTTATTCTTGAAGCATTTGCCCAATTCGTTCACTCCAACCCGAAGCTCACCGCCTACCCTGGTCAGACACCGAAGCTTGTTCTAATTGGTTCTGTACGAGGCTCCCACGACGATGCGAAACGAGTGTACAACTTGAGGCTGTTAGCCCACGAGCTCAAGATCGACGAGAACGTTGAATTCATTTGCGACGCACCATGGCCCCTCATGCTGGAATGGATGGGCAAGGCGAGCGTCGGCGTCAATGGCATGTGGAATGAGCACTTCGGTATTGGTGTTGTTGAATACCAGGCCGCTGGTCTGATATCGGTGGTCAACAACTCCGGCGGCCCGAAGCTGGACATTGTGATCGACGTGGACGGCAAGCCTACAGGTGCGTACAAGTATTCTGCCAAATGAAAGCGTACATCTGATGCTAACATCCAACAGGTTTCCACGCCACTACAGCACAAGAGTATGCCGATGGCTTCCAAAAAGCACTCTCATTGTCGCCGCAAGAGACTATAGCCATGCGCAAGCGAGCGCGCACGTCTGCCGAGCGCTTTACTGATCTCGGCTTTGCGGAGAAGTGGCTCACTAACATGGATAAGCTGGTTGCCTTGCAGGTTGCACGCGCAAAGAAATGATCGCGTCTATTTGTTTCTCGGGCGCTTTGGAAGAGCTTGTGTTAGCGTTATGATACCACTGATAGCATTGGGCCAAAGGAGCAACGACATTTTCGATAATGTCGATTTCTATCGCACTCCAGCTTCACCTTCACTTGATACCCTCACCGTGCCAAGCGCCTCATTGGTCCTTATTTCGCGTCTGCCTAACTGCACACGCGATATGATTGCGAATTTCATGAACATGAGACACTTAATGAAGACGATGAGTGCGAGGTTCATATACAAAGAATAAGTCGTAGCGCTGCCCAACTCGTTATGGAGGAGAGATGTTGAAGAGAAGAGATGGTTTGATGCACAACCGCGTTCCTTGCGACAGTGTTCGCCAAGTGATCGTAGCAATTCGCTCCAAGATGCGACATGAAGACTCACAAGGGAGTATAGTTCATGTAACCGCTTACATAAAAAATATCATCGTACAACTGAAAGACGTCGATGGCATTGTTTGCTTTGTCTAATAATACGCACAGCGTATGTCCGGCTATGAATCTATTGCACCGGCCTCGCTCCCGACGCCAGCATATCAGCCTCTGTAACCGGCACCTCCTCTCTCCTCAACTGTTCCGGCACCCTCGCCTCCTGCCTCTTTCGAATGCCCCTCGCGCCCGGCGTAAGATACGTACTATCCAAATTCGGCAGATCCTCGCCTGGCGTCGGGTGCCAATTCTTGCTCTTCCACGGCGTCACACCGAGGATATACATGGTATCAATCTCCTCCAGCGACCTCCCATGGCTCTCGCAAACAAACAAGTACACAACCACCGCGCCCGCGAAACAACACCCCGCAAACACGTATCCGTAGCGGTAATCAATCGCCGATGTGATGTACGGCGTGAAGAAAGAGATGAGAAAGTTGAAGACCCAGTTGGATGCAGTGGCCAGCGCCATGCACTTGGCTCGATACCGCGAGGGGTATATCTCGCCAACGACGGCCCACACAATCGGGCCCCACGTCATCGCAAACCCGGAGATGAACAGGCACGCGAAGACAATCATGGCGTAGCCGATGCCCTGGTTCGTGGAGCCGTCGGGGTTGGGCAGGGCGAAGTGGCCGAGCGAGGCGAAGACGAGGAAGCACATGAACATCCACAGCGCGCCCCAGATGAGGGAAGGGCGGCGGCCGTATTTTTCCACGATGTAGAGGCCGGGGAAGGTCATGCCGAAGTTTACGCCGCCGAGGATCATCGAGGTGACGTAGGAATTTTGGATACCGACGGAGTTGAAGATTGTGGTGCCATAGTAGAAGTAGTAGCTAGGATTGTGGTTAGAGGATGTGAGGGGAATTGAGGTGGAAGTGAGGGTAGGGCACTTACTTGGCGCCTGTAAGCTGCTGGAGAGCTTGGAGTGTGATACCGAGTAGGGTACGGTACAGCATGCGTGGGCCAGTGAAGATCTCGTACCATGGGTGATGTTCACCGCCAGCACGTTCAGCCTCGAGTTTCTCTTCGATCTCTCGGATCTCGGTCTGGACGTGGGGATGGTCCTCTGGAACGCCGTAACTGAGCGCGATGGTGTGGCGCGCGCTTTCGATTTTGCCCTGACGGTATTCCCATCTGGGGGATTCTTGCATGAACAGAATGCCGACAATCATCAGGAACGACCAGATGAAGCCAATGCCCATGGGGATCTTCCAGGACGCTGAACTTGGGGTCTTCTCCGTGCCGAAGTTGATGCAGTATGCAACAAAGATACCAAGGGTGATAAAGAGCTGGTAGCAAGACACCAATGCGCCGCGCACATATCTTGGGGCAGTTTCGGACTGGTACATAGGCGTAAGGACCGAGAGGCCACCGACCCCGAGACCTGCGACCCATCTTCCGAGCGAGATTTGGTACCATATGTTGGTGGTTGCGATTTGGACGATGACTCCAACACAGAAGATGATGTTCCAGAAGATGATGGAGTACTTGCGACCAAACTTGTCGGATATGGGCGCAGCAATGAGCGCACCCATCAGGGTACCGATTGATAGCAATGCAACTATCAAACCGGATTTCCAGTTGCTGAATGACCGTTCGCCGTTCTCATTTTGGTCGGCAAACTTCTCTAGGAAGTCTGGCATCTCCAAAAAACCTGAGATTTGACCGGTATCGTATCCTGAAGTCTGTGAGCAGCTGCTTCTTCTGAAGTCTGTTCAACTTTACATACCGAAGATAAAGCCGCCCATCGATACAATGATAGCCATGGCGATAATCCTTGGTCTAAAGATCTGGCGCATGCCAATTTCAAGAATCTGGGGCTTCTTCTCTGGATCAGCCACAGAAGAAGCTGGCGAGCGCGACTGCGCCTTGAAGCGATCGAGTATCGCCATGATGGAGTACAGATCTCGTGGTGTTTGATGTGAAGCTTGGAAAGGGAGACGTTTTTGAGTATGCGGGGACTCCACCCTTTAAGTCTCCATGCTTTGTCTCCGCGATTCACGCCCGCACCCCAATGCCGTCATCCACTACAGCGGTTCCAACGTCCGTATGGCCATTGCTAGCCTGTGCACTGCAGTTTGTGTGTCGCGTCTCGAACCGCCGACGTCATTCTTCAGACGATCACTTGAGAAACGGGCGCTAGTTGTGGAATGCCTTGATGAAGCTTGGCCAACGTAAGGCTTCGGTATTATCAAGCTTCACCAAGCGTATCGTTCCTATTGGTAGAGGGCCGTGTGGAGTGGAGATGAGGCTCTTCGGCAAGGTGCACAGATGGGAGATCCGACGTCAGTTTGCGATCATCGTCAATAGTGGAGAACAAAGCTGCGACGCGCAAAATTTTGCGGTGCCGGATTTGGTCTTCGTGCCGAGGTGCAACGACTTCTCTGAACTCTGCATTTACCATGCTGGCCGCTGTGCAGACGCATCTCTTTTCCGATGTTGCGATGAAGGAATGGTTCAACATAGAAAGAGCGATAAAATGCGTGGCGTGACGTCATGAACGCGTTCCTCTTCCGCTCGCGCTAAAGTCTTCAGTGAAGAACATCGATAGCAAATCCAGATGTAGAAGCTAACGGGACTCGTGGAGACGGACGAAACGCGCATTTGAAGCTAACAACGTGTCAGAGACCCGCTTTAACATTCTTCGAACATTCTGTACAGATGGCAAAGTGGATCATGGCCGAGCGCAACGAGATGTTGACGCGTTCCAAGCTTGACTCCACACCGGTCCCGAAGGCACGACATGAACTCGTTGTCAAACATGCTCTCCGGCATGCTCCTCTGGGCTATCTTCTTCCTTCGATGTATCAAGGGTACCGTATGCAAATGGAGTATGGATATACGCATGGGATCGAGGCGTAACGGCTGTAGCATGTCGGAACGAGACCTACTCGACTAGAAGACATCAGTGCGCCTTCCGGTGCGATCGATTTGATGCTATTGAAAAGCTGCGCTTCCCGACATATAAGAAGCGATTACACACGAGAGCCTCCAAAGGTCGAACGACTTGCCGCATGCTCTACACGCCTAATGCAAGCCTTGATTCACGTCTTTTGCTTCTTACAGTAAGTTTCCTGAAGGGTGTGGATTGTAGCGACAATTTCACGGGACCTCTCCCTACATTTTTACGTGCCCTTCCGGTGAACGCAAGCACACTAAAGGCTTGTGTACGTTAAGCTAGCAGGTAGTAATGTGGGTCTTAGAGACCACACCATCAAACACCTTCGGAATCTTCAGGATCGCATCTGGTAGGAGTGTTGTAGCATCAGACGTGTTCGAAGACTATTCAAGAACATAGTCGGAGCAGGTTGTTCCGCATCGCAATAGACATCCGGGCTGTCTTCCTGGAGAGCTAAACGGGCCTTCTGATCTGCAATCGTGAGATAAGATTTTAGCCACTCAACAGTCAGCCAAGGTCACTAAGAACGATAAGCAGTCAGCCGTATATCTTCCTTCTTCTAATTTGTCAAGCATTTCGCAGACATCTTTTCATTATTTAGTAGACCACAGGAGCCTTTGGACTCTTAGAAATCACCTGCGAAGAACTCGTGGGGAAGTTAGCCGAATGAACTCCAGAACCGCCTTCAACGACTTCCCCACATCTCTAAACAGCGAACTCTGGACGAAGTCAGTGACAAGCGATTCTCAAGAGTTCTTTTCGTCTTGATTAGCCTCTTATCTACCCGTTGCTTCAATTGGAGTCAATTGGAGTAGCTTGGAGTTATTGAGAGTTGTTACCAGCCGTTATCTTTCGCAATGACGTGTGACATCCTTGACTCGGTTAAAAGTACTGACCCCGCAAGACCGTTCGTGCGACATGGGTTAAACATATCGATTGGCTTATCTTTCAGCATGCTCACCATTTACTTCGGATCGACAAGATGTTGTGCTCATTGTGTATCGTACCCCAACTTGCCCACCCGTTCAAGGGGTGAGTTCCCCAGCATTGCTACCGCGGAAAAGTACTAGACCGACGAAAGAGCAGCCGGGAGTTTCGTGAGCGATATGGTCAAGATAATCGCAAGAATTGGAGATTGCCTTCCGTATATATGCATTGTACCTCTTCTGTCGAGGAAAGCACCTGCCGAATTTTGATCATTTGCTCTGTACTTCACAATGGCTGACGCGGTTGCTGTGAAGACCCCACTCCCAGTGGGAGCTGGTTATGGTATGTTACACTGTGCTACTTTCATCTATGAATCTAACAAATTGAAGGTGTGGTTATCGGCATCGGGTTCTTCTTCGCCTTTTTGATGATGTTCATCTCCTATCTCCAGAATCGCTACACGCAGTACTCAACACATCAATCGGAGGAGTTCAACACAGCTTCTCGATCTGTTAAACCTGGTCTGATTGCCTCTGGCATTGTTTCCGCCTGGACATGGGCCGCCACTTTGCTTCAGTCTTCGACTGTTGCTTACACGTATGGAGTTGCCGGACCATTTTGGTATGCAGCTGGCGCTACTGTTCAGATTCTCATGTTCTCTATCCTTGCGTGCAAGGTCAAGCAGAATGCGCCGAGATGCCACACATATCTCGAGATCATCAAAGCAAGATATGGGACCTTCGCGCATCTGGTGTTCATGCTATTCGCCTTTGTAACAAACATTCTCGTCGGTAGCCAGTTGCTACTCGGCGGAAGTGCCGTTGTCACAAGTTTGACAGGAATGCCAGTCTATGCTGCCATCTTCCTAATTCCAGTTGGTATGGGCAAATTGAGAACGCAGCAACGAGTCAAGGCTGATCTTTCTAGGTGTTTGCGCCTATGTCATCCTGGGCGGACTCAGAGCGACATTTCTCTGCGATTACAGCCACACCTTGATTCTCATGATCATCATCCTTTACTTCATGTTCAACGCGTACGCAATCAGTCCATTGATTGGGTCGCCTGGCGAGATGTTCGACCTTCTCAAGAAAGCTGGAGCTCAGCGCCCGATCGAAGGAAACAAAGACGGATCTTATCTGACTCTGAAGTCGAACTACGGCCTTATCTTTGGCGTCATTCAACTCTGCTCAGGATCTGGTACGGTCTTCCTCGATCAAGCCTATTGGCAACGTGCCATTGCATCGAAGCCATCCACAGCAGTCCGGGCTTATCTTCTAGGCGGTCTTGCCTGGTTCGCAATTCCGTTTGGCTTCTCAACGACCCTGGGTTTAGCTGCTGCAGCACTTACGGACCACCCAAATTTCCCAACCTACCCTAATGTACCAACCCCCGGACAAATTTCTTCAGGCCTTGCTGCCGCTTTTGCTGCTGAAACACTGATGGGACAAGGTGGCGCTATAGCACTGCTCATTGTGTTGTTCATGGCAGTCACATCTTGTGCTTCAGCCGAGCTTATCGCAGTGTCATCTCTGCTGACATTCGACATTTACAAAGAGTACATTCAGCCTAAAGCTACGCCTAAGCAGCTAATTTTCGTTTCACACATCATGATCTGCGTTTTCGGCTTGACGATGTCTATCTTTGCATGTATTTGGAACGCCGCCTCAATTGACCTTGGCTGGCTCTTCCTGTATGTACCACTCTACCACCTTACAAAGTGCACGATTGCTGACCATATGTAGCGTTATGGGCCTTCTCATCGGGGGTGCCGTCTTCCCGACAGCATTTTCAATCTTATGGCGCAAGCAAACGAAAGCCGGAGCAATCGCAGGTTGTCTCTCAGGACTCGCTGCTGGTCTTACCGCCTGGCTCACGACTGCAAAGCACTACTATGGCGAGATCACTATTGAAACCACGGGACTGTCGTATCCGACGCTCGCGGGCAACCTTGCGTCCATCATGACCGGACTGATCGTGACAACGACCATATCTCTGATCAAACCAGACAACTTCGACTGGGAGATTACGCGTGCTATCAATGCCGTTGTCGTAGATGGAACACTACAAGACGGCACTGTGACACCGAGAGATACTTCGACCCCTGAGCTTTCCGATTCGAATGAAAAGAAGGATGCAACAGAAGTGTCGGCTCCTCCAGCCACTCACGCTTCCCAGGATGAGCTTCCACCTCATCTAGCACCAACCGCGAAAGAAGAAGACGACCCCAAGACACTCCGCAGCGCCTTCAAGATGGCATGTATCTTCGCCTTCGTCCTGACTTTCATCCTCGACTTTCTTCTCCCCATGCCAATGTTCTTCTCCGGCTACATCTTCTCGAAAGGTTTCTTCACAGGATGGGTGGTAGTAAGTTTTATATGGGTGTTTGCATCAAGTGCTATCAGTTGTCTGCTGCCCCTATGGGAGACGAGAGATGGCCTGGCAAGACTGGCGAGGAAGGTCACTGCAGACTTTGCAAAGAGGAAGTAAGGATGAAGAAGAAGGGAGGGCATGGCCAGGTTTTATGGGATGATGTAATCGGTCTAGAATGTTCCGCCTTCATATGAATGAAATTTTAATCAAGTAAACAAAATGCGAGAGCCACGGTTACCTTATCGAACTAATATCGTGTGGGCGCCAGCGGCAAGTTTAGCGTCATCGGGAGGGTATTTGTACCACGGAACAAGGTTAGTGCCCGTGCTACTAGTCTTATACCGTTTTTTGAGAAGCACAACATTCAAGGCATACTCTTTCATACTTATTTTGTTTCCTTCGTTAGAGTCCATACGTACAAAATATGTCCTATGGGCGCTGTTCTCTCTGCAGTCTCACTTTCGCAATTTCATAAGGTTCTGGCACTTTCATACACCATATCTCCGCAACGTTCATTGTGTTGTTCTTTCGATTAAGGGACTACATTGGCCCTAGTTCTAGGAGTTTGTGCTGCGTACTCTATGTTTAAAATCGTATTATAGCTGCCTAATAGGCTATTTATAGGTAGATTAGTAGCAAATAAGGGTATTTAGCTAATAAACGTTTATCTCTTACTTTAGTAGCAAATTATATAGAGAGACGCTTAGGGCGTTCGTAGTAAGGCTTAAGAAGTTCTCTTAACTTTAAAGCTATATTATAAGCTTAATATTATACTAATTCTTATAATTTTTAGTATTTTAGATAGCTAGAAGCATAGTATTTTTAACTATAATAGTTATTATTACTAGAATATACTTATACTTATTCTAGCTTACTCTTAAAGCTCTAAGCTAACTATACGCATATAGCGCCTACTATCTTCTATTCTTATTATATAAGAGCTCTCTCTTAGAGTACTACTTTCTAAGAGGCTAAGTGCTAAAAGCGCCTATCTACTATATCTTTTATATAGTCTTAGACGCTCTTAATTATATTAAGGTCTAGAGAATTAGAAGGATAAAGAGCCTAAATAATACCTCTAATATAGTACTCTGCCTTACTTAATAAAGCTACCTTATAATAAGCTAGAGCTCTATCTTTAATAATAATAATAGAGCAGTTAGAGTTAAGCTGCTAGAGCTACTTAATATATAAGAATAGACACTTATAGAGAATATATTTGCAGTATAGAAACTAGTCTATGCTCTTAGTATTATCTCTTATATAAGTCTTATATTTAAATATTAATTATAGCTTCTTTTATAGGCGTCGTTGCTTGCTCTGCTGTAAGCAAGCCTTATTATTAAGATCTATTATATTATTAGTAGCTTATATAATCTAATTCTAGATAGTGCTTAGTAGCTTTGCTAGCGCTCTATTATCTATAGCTTAATTTAAGAAGTTCTTATTCTTCTAATTAAGCTCTTCTTAGTATTTCTTATGCTTCTTAAGCGTCTTCTATTTCTAGAGAAGTAAGAGCCTTAGCATATAATTATCCTTGCATATTACTCTCTACTTTATAATATTAAAGTATATAAGCTTCTTATATATGCTTCTCTCCTTTAGAGCCTTCTTAATAACTATAGTAACTTTATTCTGCTTATAAGGCTGCCTACTAGCTTATATAAAAGTCTTATCTATAAAGATAAAGAGAGCGTTCTTACTAATCTAATAGAGAGCTTATTTAACGTACTCTCTGCAGAGATTAAGAAGATTAGGAGAAAGATAAAGCTTATATTATTCTATAACTCTTATAAGAGAAGGTTAGCTAGTAAGATAAGAATAGAAGTAGCAAATTTAAGCTACTATAGGCGCTGTTAGGTTATTAAATAGAGTATAGTTTCGTATAGCTTTATCTTAAGTCTCTTAAGAGAACTACTAGTAGGTGTCTTATATATAAACTAACGCTAGAGAGCTCTTTATAACCTTTATTATAGCTCTCTTATACGCCTCTTAAGAGTTCTCCTGCTTAGTAAAGTTAAGAAGATTAATAATATTATTATTTCTAACGCGCTTCTTTGCTCTTCTTACTACTAAGAATATAGTAGCTTATTTCTGCCTAAGAGCTTAGTATATTTAGTTAATTTTCTACCTTATAATAACTATAAGAGTAATAATTAAAGCTTAGATAGAGCAAGTAATATTAGGTAAGCCTTTAGGCTTTAGCATAAAGAATTTAAGAGAGTATTAGCTAAGAAAACTTTAAAAAGTTAATTAGAATAGGCATATTAGTAGTAGTAAGTAGCCTTACGTTCTTAGAAAGAAAGATTACTAAGCTAGGGCTCTAGGCTTCTTATTAGCTAGATAATTATATTGCTACGTACTCTACTATTAATTTTGCTATTAGGCGGCTATAATACGATTTTAAACATAGAGTATGCAGGCAGTCACTATTTTTAATCCCAATCATCATACTGGGCCTCCCCGCAGCCCCGCGCAAAAGCCGATCTCTTCTGCTGTCAATCTCCATCATGGTACCTAGCGGGATTCCAAAGCAATTCTACACTACTGCGCGCTCGCTGCAGCCTCGAACCGAGCGTACACGCACACTCCTGCAGTGCTGAGCGAGAAATTCACAATCTTGTTCCTCCACCAACGGAAGGCGTCCACAAGTGCCTCGAACTCAAGCATCACCCAGGTCAACTCGCCCACTTTATTACAAAGACGCATACATCACACTCCTATCCAGAATCGAAGCAGCGCTCTCCTCGCTACGTGGCCCGCATCGCGATACTGTTGCCTGCGTCGCCTAATAGAAAGTTGGTCCTGCGCCCCTCAGTCTTTCCTTCTGTCGGTTCCGGGTGCTCCGAGCCACTCTGTGCGCTGAGATCTACTTCGATCACGATCAAACTAATTCAGCCCACTGAAGAAACGAACGGAAGCCTCGGCGGCCATGTGGTCTGGTCTACGTACTCATGTGCCTTCTTGGTTGCCTCTCGGAAGTGCTTACTGGGGCCGAGCGACAATTTGTCGAAACACTCCATCACAGCTACAGTTTCGGTTCATCAAATGAGCTGCGTGGTAAGGGTGTGCTCAAGCACATGCTATACACGCGTCGTGCGCCTCGTTTGACTCCATGAGGTTTCCGTCCATAACTCAAGAGTGTTATTGTAGTGCGAGCCATAATTACATCGACCTTGGAATGTTCTAGATATGATGAGACCATGACTGACTGCGGCAAGGCCATGTAACGATATCTCACGCATTTGCCCAAACGCTGGTAGGAGCCGACTGTTGAATGTGAACAGTCACAGCGTACCACATCGAATTCTATCGAGATTGCGGTGTTAATGACGGCGATGGTCAAGCTCTCCGGCCTAATCGTTGAGCTCAACAGGGCTGATACTGGGTCAAACATAAAAATTGTGGTTTCTGACGTCCTTGATGATAGATTTGTGCTACTTTGGAGAGCAAAACCGCTCTTGATACTCCAAGCAGCCTTCGATGTTCTCCATCGATGAAACCACAGCTCGATAGTATCATAACCCTTATTGTCAAAATCTATGAAATTGCCAAGGTGATCACAATCGACGTCGTCGTCGACGCCGGCATTTGCAACATAGTGTGGTGCCGTTCCACTGCATATCCACCCTCACTGTCGCCATCGACAACATACTAGCTCGGCATAATGCTACCAAACATCAGAAGTCTCTATCGCTCCATGTTATGCATCCGATTCAACCGTGGTTGATGTTCGCTGTGTTTCCGCATCTACCAACTTCTGAGCCTCTCGTCGACTGCTGGCCATGGAGTTCGACCACGGCTACATCTCGCGACCGTCTTGAGGTGGCGTGAAACAAGCTCCTTCGAAGTACTCAATTCGGGAAGTATTGTATCAATCTGTCGATTGCAGTCGCCAGCTGACGGGTACGATGCGAAGCTATCTCTAATGACCTTCTCCTGATCTCGACAGAGAACTCATTCGCATGCATACTTCGAACCTTGGCAGTGCCCAACACTTTACCACAACGGAAGACTCCCTTTCATATGTTCATGATGTGCTGCGACTATGCACTCATCTTTGGACCGCCTCAGAGTGGTGTACCTCAAGCTCTTCCAACATACCGAACTGCGCAATTCTCATCACTAAGTGTTGAATTCAGCATCCTTTTAACAGGTAAAGTCGGAAAATACCTCACAATGGTGATGCTAACGTGCCATAGATTATCACACACACGTGCTCTACGGATGTGATATGCCCCAACAATTTGCTGTAACAGGAATCCTTACGTTACCTGCCGATTGTAGAATTATTCCCATGGAATTGCCTGTTGCTGGTCAAACAATGGCGTCAGATGGACTGGTTTGGCTTGCTGTCTTGATACTCAATGTAGCAATTGTATCGATTTGCTATCGATTGTAGTCTTGTCTGCACAGGTACAGTCTGCAACTGTCTCGCCAGCGTCCCAAACCTAACAAAGCTCCTTGAACTCCTCTATGAAACCATGGAGCTACTGTGATAGAGAAGGCTTGGATCCATGCTAAACATCGAAGCGTTAGAATTTCTACACCTCACGACACGATCAAAGATCGTGCAAAGTGTGATCGAAAACACACCATGCAATCTTTTCTGCCGGTCAGTCGGGCAAATAGGCTATAGGGAAAAGGTCTGCAGAAGCCGCGCAAATTCTACAATTGAAGGTTTCAACTTTGCGCCACCAAAGTCTCCGCCCAAACGAGGTCCGCTTGTTGTTGCGTTCCCATGGTAGAGAGTAAACGCTAAATCTTCGCGACCTCAAAAGTTTACTGGACCACGAAGCAAACTAAGATCCGGACAAACGCATCTCCTACACAGATGCGTTGCAACATTTAGTGAGTAAAAAAAAACCCGTGTTTCTTTCTCACGTTGCTGCCGTGTCGCTTCGCTACAGACTCAATTTTTGCATGATGCAGAAGCTCTTAGTCTTTGCAACGCGGCTCTGTTGACTATTTCATTCGCTGCTTGCGCTCTCGATTTGATTCATTTGTTCAATCAATGGTACCTGTAGATCAAGTCTTGACTCAATCGAGTAATTCTATATTTCACTCTGCTAAATGTGAAGTCATTTTCATAGCTCCGTCTTCTCCTTCTCCAACACTATGACTCAAGTAATCACGTGCGAGCTACAATCTCCACGGGCCCTCATTCTACTATCATAGGTACACTAAACTCGGGACCCTGAAGGATCAAAGCTACCAAGACTGTCACTGTACCACCCCATGGTCTACCCGCTCCGCTCCAACTACCTCCCGAACCTTGGCGAACCTTATTGACATCCTTCACTAAGGGTGGTCTTTCCCTTTCACTGAATGGTACAATGCTCGCCGGAACATAATGTTGTGCCCACAAACGACCATGGGACATGGTCTGGCCAGAGCATCCTTTCTTTCACGCCCGTTTCTTCTTCAGGGAACCCTCTGCATAAGTGTTGATTGCTGAACAGTTCCACAGGTACAACGAAACAACGGCGTTGAATCAGCGGAGCCCATCACCATGTTTGATGCTACAGATATCGTCATATCGGGCAAGTCTCTTGTCTTTTGTGTTGATCGTAGCCATTTCTTTGAAGGTACGCTGACCGTCTTACTGTCTTCGCGATCCAGGGCACGCTCATACCTTCGAGGGTTGTGCGATGCTCTTTAACGAGTAAGCTGGTGTTTCAACGTCGATTGCTGCTCGCTTCCACAGGTTTATCCATTAGCGGCGAATGCTGAAGCGAGGTTCCCGTCTCCTTAGATGCATAAGACAGCACTATATCGGGAAATCTTTCCCCCTGGCTGTCGAACGCAATCATCACATTCAAGGTACGCCATGCATCATCTCGTTTTCTCTCCATGTCTATACCAATCTTCCACGCCTTCAATGTGCCTTTTTGGCAACACCCGTTGAAGCTGTCGATAACTGTCCGTTTCCAAAGGTTCACATTCTGATCGCCTATACTCCACCACTTGGCGAAGGACTCCAACAGGTTTCAAAATACCACTTCAAGTAACTTCTCCTCCTTTCTGTCAATTGCAGTTCTCGCTTTTAGGGCACACCACACACTGCGACCTCGCATATTCCGACCCTTGGTATCTGCTGTAACATGTACGTCATTCAACACACATCAAGCGCTTCTTTCTTCAGCAGTTCCCCTTTTCAACAACGCTGTCTGTATTGCCCCCGTAGGCAACTTTCCACCCTTCCGTCGATTGCAGCTGCGCGGGTACGTTTTCCACATTCCCACATTCTCAAAGTCGTGCAGACTTCCATGTCAGGCCAACACTGACCTCATGCCGTACAAACGCATGCCGTACAAACGCCACGTCTCTATCGACGCCGTGCAGCATACCCTCTTTGGCAACTTTCCCCTCCGCCGTCGAACGCAGCGCTCTTTCCGCGGACAGAAATTCTTTTTCCACCGATGACAGCAGCGAATCATATCTTTGTGCTACCACACTGCGCGGAGTTGACCGATGACAATGCCATGACGAATTTCCCATGTTGCAAGTATCGGGAATGCGAAAACGCATGTGAGCGGACACGCCAGCCGGGGGCATTCTCAAACAGGAGAATGCCGGGATCAACGTCGAGGACATGGGGTGATTAGTATGTATCGAACGCCAATGCATCCTCACGCAACATACTGCCAATTCGCAGCCTGGAGGATAGAGAGGGCCATCGTGTTCTCTCCAAAGCGTTTCGTGCTTTATATCCGTCATGAGACACGAGATACCCTTGCACCACATCAAGCCAGCGCTCGCCCCCTCAACACTCCCCTTCCAGCCATATTCCTCCATGCCATCGATGATAGCTGGAAAACGCGGAAACCTACTCCGGCCACTCACCTCCGAGGCCGGGCATTTGCGCCGGCCTTTCGCAAACTCCCTCGACAAAAGTCGTCTCGTACACAATCTATCAAACGTACAATACATCAAACTTATTACTACTACTGCGAAGTACAATAATAAGCTTCGGTGCCGCAGACAGAATACCCGGCTGCTGTACCCGGTGCCAATTATTGTGGCGCTTTCCTGGATAGGCAAGTTTAGGGCAAAATGTGGATTACAGGAGAAAAGTGCGGGTACGATATCCGCGTTGCCATAAATTTCAGATACGGACGTGATATGAGATGAGAGGAGCTGTTGGGTTTGGGTTTAAAAGTGGCAAGGTTTCATTTGATGCTATGTTATGCTATGCTACTGCTGAACGCTGGAAATGCTCATCTTGTCTGCTATTCACTCCTTTCCTCCTCGCTGCCTTGTCGACGGGTACATTCTGCGCAATGTGAATTCTGGCAGGCTCTTCGATACCTGGCTGGATTTATAGCCGAGGTCTGCACCGAATGAGGTGTTGGGCGAGGGGTTAGGCTGTACGTCGCTAGATGGGGACGGGGATGGAGGTGCCAAGATGCCGAGTTTTTCCTGGAGCTTTTTGTATTGGACGTCTGGGTCGAGTGCATTCTCCGGCCTTAGTTGTGGTGTTCGCGCTGGGCGAGAACGCGTGTTGGTGGGCTTTTGTTTGGATGACGTCGCTTTTACCGTCGGAGTAGGAATTGGCTTGGCGACAGACGCGGGATCAGTAGGAAGCTGAGTCTTGCTGGAAGGCTCTGGCATAACCACAGGGCCCAGTTTATCCCCAGGCTGAGATTTGCCAGCACTCTCCGTTTCGGTGCTAGGCTGCTGTCTGATGAGGTGCGTTGCCTCCATTTCAGGCAAGTGCTCAACTCCGTATTCTTGTGTGACCGGTACACCTTGCCTGTCCGCACTCGCCGGGGCTTCGGTGGGCTTTGCACTGTACGAAGACTCCGCTTGAATTGCGGGTAAGTTCTTCGAATTCATTTCCGATTCCCGTGACCACAAAAGTGACATAGCCTCTGCACCATGATGCCACGTCCGAGGCAAAGCTTTGAATTTCCCTCTCAACAACGTCTGCTGGCGACTCAACGTCGCCCAGTTGCGGCGCGGTCCACCTCTGCTCCTCGTCTTCCGCCTCGAGCCTGGTCTTCTCCTGCGCCTGAACCTCCTTGTAAACACGACTTCTCTCCAAGGTCAACATGAGCTTGTTCCGCTGCGTAATTCCAGCAAGCGCTCGCAACAAGTCTGGTTCCATCTCCTGGTCAGCATTGAGGTGCTGCATGATCTCTCCAATACGATCAACGCGTTGCGCTTTGGCGTAGCCCCGCAGCATTACGCCGTACGTAAATTGGTCCGGATCAACACCTCGACTGCGCAAAATCTCAAAGACTCGCTCGGCCGCTTGGACTTGACCGGTCTTGAAGAAGGCCTGCATGAAAATGTTCCAGGTGTAGATATTGGGCTGAGTCGAGTGCTCAGCCATGTCTTTGATAAGCTGCGACGCGCTGGCAAATTGTTGTTTCGAACAGAAAGCAAGCAGAAATGCGTTCCATATGATAGCGTCGTTTGCAAGCCTTGTCAGCGCTGGATCGATGTCCTGCTGCACGATGTATTTGAACCTTGCATACATGTCCTCCATCTGTCGTGGGCTTCCAGTAAGAGCCTCCTGAATTTGAGCTTGGTACATGATGTACACGGCCATAGACGGGGGATCCAACTTCGGAGCTTCTGACGGACCATGCTCTGTGCCCGGAGGAGCGCTCAGTGTTCTTCTCACTCGACTCGTCAACAAGTCTAAAGGTCTAGCTGAAAAGAGGCGTAGATACGCACGCTGAAGCGAGGCTAATGTTTGCGCTTTGTCTGAATGGTCGTGATGCCTGACGTAGACATAGTGGAGGTAGTCTGTGGCTAACCATGGATCTCTGATCTCCTCGGCCACATCAGCACAATGCTCTGCAAACTGCGAGAACATGGCAGGATTGTCCTGCAACGTGCACCCGTGCAAAAGGATAGAGTAGGTGTGCTTGTCTGCCTTGAGTCCGTTACCTTCTAATGTATTGTAGACCTTGAAGGCAGTGGAATAATCGTGAGCTTCCATTGCGTTATGCATAACGACGTTATACAGAAGTAGGTCCATCGTAATGCCTAGGCGAACGATCGCCTCTACAATGGCAGGAGTTTCGTGGTATTCGTGACCCTTACTCATACTTTTTCGCAGGATCAAGGCACAAGACCATCGAAGCCGTTCTCGATCAGACAGTGTCTCCCAGGTCGTCGAACTGTTCACTGCTTTCAGCTCTTCGAGACATCGTAATGCAGATCGAACATCTCCAGCTTTGGCGAATGCATTCGCATAATGCAAGAGAGTGTCGAAGCCGAGGTACGTGCGATTTTCGAGGAAGCACGTAAGTACCTTCTGGAGATCCTTGGCTTCTGCAACGCTCACAAGGTTGTATAGCAGGTCCTGTGAACAGACTCGTGGGCGCGCAGCCAGAACTTGGTGGAAGACGTGAACAAAATCTGACACGAACTTTCGCTTCACAGCTCTCTTGTCTGTACTCCACTCGTGTCTGGCGTCATAAACATCTCGGCTGTGTAGCTTTGCAAGGTGGCCTAGGGCATCTGCGATGACATCTGCTTTGCGTGCTCGTAGTAGCCGATCGCTAGCTAGCACTTGAATGAATTGCATGGCGCGAGCGGGCTTGCGGTGCAGTAAATACACCAACAGGCTCTTGTATATCGATTGCCTGGTTTTGCCATCCAGCGCCATCCAGTTGTCCCAGGTTTCTTCGAGATCTTGCTTCGCGGCCTTTGGAAATACCCTCGCACTCCACCTGGCGCACATCGGGTCGTGTTTGACATCTATCTTGCGTGTATATTGCCCTATCGCAGGGTACAGAGATCGGTCCAGTGCTGCAAGGGCCCGTGTCATGACAAGGCGATTCCTCTTGCCGCCTTGTCGCCCTTGCAGGTTTATTTGAGTATCGTCCCAGTGCTCGAGGTTCATTATACGACGACGGAGTGATCTGTATTGGCCCTGCTTCATGAGACTTGACCTCCTTTGATCGATCTCGTGGGCAACGTAGTTCGCGAGTCGTTCTCGTTGAAGACTAAGTATTCGCTCGCGTCTCGTTGCAAGCCGTAGCCCTCTTCGATACAGCGTTGATGCTTTTCGTGCTGCCGCTGTATCTGATGCCTTCTGAATCGACGTTCCTCCACGAGAAGTAGCCCCACGAGTAGCTCTGCCACTGCTATAGCCTCTTCCAAACTGGCGTGCGAACGAAGAGATTTCGGCATAGCGGCGCTCAACTGAGAGAGGGAGAAAAGGTACTGTTCGAGGATGCTGGTCTTGACAGGACGAACCCAAGCAGTCCACCAGCGGTACTGCCATTTCCGCACTGTGTGGATGTGCATAGTGTATCTGACCCACGTTTTGGTGGAAGCCTATTGTCGTTTTCTTTCAACCCATAATTGGGCTTTCCAACCTCCGCCTTCTCTTTCTGTGGTCTGCTGCTCTTGCCATTGGGTCGTTCGCTCCTCTTCTCGATAGAAGAGGTTCGGTAAAGACTCGCGGCGCAAGAAAGGGGAGTAGTGGGAGCTCCGCGCTGGCGATGAAGCTAGCATTAGGGACGCGGGCTCGGGGCATGGGAGAATGGGTATGCTGCACGCTTCATCGAGCCATGACGGGGCAGTTGAGATGAAGATGTGCGGCGCGTGAGTGGTGGACGAAAAAGTCGAGATGCAAGCTGCGCCTGTGGCTTGACGAGCTAGCCGGAGCCTCACCTCCGAAACTTTTGGAGCTCTCCGCAACCACACTTCAACATTGCGACAACACCACCACAATCAAGTACATACCACACTGGAAGAGCTTTGGTGATCGCGCCTATAATAAATAGCCTACAAATCTTCGAGAAGGATCAGACCGCAATCTATACAGCACCTACAAGCTCTCCTCCACGTTTGCGCCAGACCCACCATGTCCTCCCACGAAAAGCTCTCTGCCGCCGCGAACGACCGCAAAGCGCGCCTCGCACAGCTCAAATCCCTCAAGCGGAAACAAGCCCCCCACAACAGACGAAGCCGACAACGAGTCCCCAGCACAATCCGAGAATGCATCGACCCTCACAACCACCGACGCCTCCATAGACAACACTGTAACAAAAACCTACCTCTCCGGGCGCAACTTCGACCCTTCCACCCGCAACGTCAAACTCGGCTTCGAGAACCAGCCCATATCCGATCCGACATCAACACTAGAGTACAAAGCGCAGCAACTCGCCATCGAAACCAAAGCGCAACAAGACGCGGAAAAAGCCGACGAGAATAAAGGACTCGATCTGTTCAAATTACAGCCGAAGAAGCCGAATTGGGATTTGAAAAGAGATCTGGAGCAGAAGATCAAGCCACTGGATGTGCAGACGGAAAATGCGATTGCGAGATTGGTTAGGGAGCGCATAGAGGCGCAGAAACAGGAGGGCGTGAAGCAGGTTGCTGGGGCTGGGCGCGGGAATGAGAATCAGGGGGATGGCGAGGAGGTGGGGATGGAGGGGACTGAACTGGTCGAGGCGATGCATTTGAAGGAGCAGGAGGAGGAGCGGGAGAGAAGGAGGGATGAGGAAGATGAGGACGTTAGCTGAAGGACTGGGTGGCATTGAGCTGAGTTGAGATACTATGAAATGCCGTGTCGAGGAACACGTTCGCACTTGCATCTGGCCGGAGAGGTCACTATGGAGCAAGCGCTGCGCATTATGCCGCGCACACCAAAACGAGAGACCAACGATACGAGTAGAAACTTTCGATGGGTATATTATAGCTGCTAGTAACGCAGCTTCGGCGAGCCCTTCGCCGTAATGAAGCTTGCCCTCAACTCCTGTCCCGCAAATGTGATGACCTGAAAATGCCGCCTGTCCACCTTTCAAGGACTTCTTCACAAAGCTGGATGATCTTAGTGCCCCCTGGCCTTCCATATCTACATTTTTACATCCTCCCTCCCTGCATAGCTTTCGTCAGAGCAACGCGCTTGCTGAACGGACTCAGACTGCGCTCGCGCTGCACAGGCGGCGGCGCAGCGACTGGTGGTGCTTGTCGCACTGGCCCGTTGTCGAAGCGGTTCCTCGGTGGCCCATCGAATCGTCTCTCGTCGCGATGTCCATTCCGTCCTCCACGTCCACGCGGACTAGGCGACCGTTGAACTCGTCTCCTCGCATGTGGACTGGGGCTACGAACGCGCCCAGGTCGATACGGTGATGGAGATCGTGCGGGTGCTTTCTGCGCTGGCGGTGATGCGCCCCATCTGCCCTTCGCTGCGCCATTGCGGTCGTCAGACGTGTCCATGGGATCGAGGCTATGAGACCGAGACCTTGAGCGCGAAGGCGAGATACGGCGCACTGGTCGCTTTCCGTGCCTGCTTCGCGATCTTGAAGTCCTTCTATGCTTTGGTCGTGCGTCTTCATGCGACATCTCCATGCGCTGTGAGACGGAGCGCGATCGAGTTCTGCGCCTTCCTCGCTCGCCGGGGCTAAAGGAGCTCATGCGCCGCCGGGTGTTGCGCTCGGCGCCGGATGAGGAGCGCGAGTCTCTCGACACTGATCTTCTCCTCCGCTTTGTGAGCGCCTTGTCATCGCCGCCATGGTGCTTCTTTCGGCGTGGAGGTGAGCGTGACCGAGACGGCGAGCGGTTGGTGGAGATGGTGGAAACGGAGTCTGCGGATGAAGTCGAGAGTGACCTTGAGCGCTTGCGGTCGCGAACTGATCGCTCTACCTCTTTCTTCTTGAGTATCTCGTCGGCGACGCCCTTCTTGCGCAGTAGGTCTTCGGGGACTTCGGTCGTGAGCTTAGGCTTCAGCTTTGGGTTCAGAAGCTGCTGTGTTCGCGAAGGCCGTGACTGGTACGGTCGTTCTTGTGCGGTCGCCTTGCATTCGTAGCTGTAGTGACCTCTTTTGAGACACTTTTGGCAAAGCGTGTCTGCGGAAGCCTTCGAGCGGCCTGCGCCTGGCCGGCGGAACATGGTGATTGATGCAGCTAAAGCCGTTCGCAGCACGCAGTGTGCCTAAAACTGTGGTTTGATGTGCAAAGAGACTTGTGGAACGAGATAGTTTCGTGGGTGAGTGCACTTAGGCCAGAGCAGGTACAGCTAGCTATCGATCAATCAAGCCTCGCCAAGTTTGTTTCTTGCCAGCGGAACTTTCAAACTTTTGGTGACGGAGCGGACACGGCACGTGATGACTAAAGTTACCCGCTAACATTTCTCCGCGCCGGTGCACGGACTTTCCACGAGCACCATCACCCATTGCTCTGCCTCGAAACAGACCTCACCCCGCAACCCAGCCTGGTCTCCGCAAACGCGCACTTGTGGGCTCAATCGACGAGCCAGTCTCCCAGTCGCCTGCGCCGCGCGCCTCAATTCGAAGGTGCCCGACAATTTTCAGCCTTGCACAGTCGCATCCCAGATCGCAAGCCTGTCGTAAAGGCCTACTTCACGCCGACTCTCAACCACCCCCACCTCCCACGAACGTCGGCACACCAACATGTCCAGCTCTTCGGCCCTGGCTATCGTGACTTTCCTTGTCTTCCCAATTTCTTGAAAATAAAAAACAACCTACATCCGGCAAACAACACCTTCATTTCGGTTCAGAACCGCGCATTTGCTGCATTCACTTTTGTGGACTTCACGGCTCGATTTACACACGACAAGCGATACCTACAGTGGTGCGCCAGTCACGCTCGTCTCCCGGTCTAGATATTCTGGCCCGCTTCTGCAAGCTTGCCTACCCTTCTAAACCATACCGACTACACGGCCTCCACTTTGAAAGTATAATTACGATCAGGAGAGCAATATGTCTTCTCCAGCCCCAGCTGCTGCGGAACAGTCTCGTTCGAGGCCCTCTTTTGCGAAAGTACGTGCGATCAACATTGGTATACTCAGGAAAGTCAATTGTTAACACTACTAGGTTGCTGCGTCGGCACTCACACCTCGTGTCCCTAAGGATGCTGCGCCTAAGGCTCGACCCCCTGTCGCGACACCTCGTAACCTTCCTCTACCACAAAACAAGCGTCCTGTGCCAGTGAATGGCGAGACCAAGGCGCGTGCGGAGAACCATAGCGCCAAATCGACGGACGGAAAAGTTGCCAGCATAGCCGCTCGAACTGGAGAATGGACGGATGCTGCAGTGCAGTCCGCCGCACCGTCGTCCGACATCAAGGAGGACGTACCCACAGGCACTGACAGGCCTCAAAGCATTGCACTCATGAAAGTGGCAGCTGCAGAAGATAGTAGCACCCAAGTCTCGTCGTCAGATGGGTCTGGCAAGCCTCCCAGTATCGACGGGAAAAGTGTCGCATCAGCAAACACTTTCGCGCTTGACGAGAAGGAGTCGCTCCGACCCGATGACAGCGCAAGCTTGAGAGCAGTCGAAGAGGAGGATGTAACAAGTCCACCCGACTCTGTCGTGGCCGACTCCCGACATGGATCTGACACCGGTGCCACCCGTGCTTTCCATGATCAGCTACGCGAGATTGCCGTTATGAACCCTCAGCACCGAGGCGTTCCAGTGGGACGATTCCCTGCTCTCCAAAACGGCGCGCACACTCTCTATGACCCTAACCAGTTAGCAAATGGAGCTAGACCGACATCGCAACCTGCTGGTAATATTGTTCCGCGGGCCAACGGCGAGGCACATCCCCCTGCCATTCCAGATGACAAGCTGCTTGAGGCTCTGAACTCTCCGCGCGACCGGCTGTTTATAGTCAAGCTTGAGCAGGACTTCATCGACTTCATCAAAGAAACTCGGTACGTTCAACTGAATCGGCTGATGGTTTGTGACTACAGACTGACCTACTACAGTGAAAGCGAGTATGATTTGCCCAACTGCAACACATTCTACAGGATGCTCGCTCATCGTCTGGCTGATTACTACTTGCTCGGACATACGGTCGACTCCACCATGACAGGCGTGAAGATTACACGTACACCTTTCTGCAGAATGTCTGTATATCAACACAGCTACTGAGATGCAGCTGCTGACTTTCTATAGCCCACCACCCATCTCACAGATGGTCGACCCCGCCAAGGGCGCCAGCACACCACCAGTAGAGCTTCCTGTCCGGAAAATCATGCGTCGTGATGATGGGAAATCGGGCAACAACACTGCGGGAAATTCCCAGTCTGCCTCGAAGACGACATCTGAAAATGGTGGTAGCGAGGGTAGTAACGATGGCAACGACAAAGAGAAAGACAAAAGCCGTATGACTCGGGAAGAACGAGAGGCACACTACAAATTGGTTCGGCTGAAGATCTTTGGTAGCTCGGAGAGCGAGGAGAACGATAAGAATGTCACTCCTGACGGCACTGGATCAGGTGAAGAGAAGGGTAAAGAAATTTCGCGGTCAAGCTCTGCAGCTGGCAAAAAGAAGGGCAGGAAGCAACGCAACTACGATGACGATGAGTTCCACTCACGCTCCAGTTTCAACGTCTATTATCCGCAGCAGCCGTACTCAGCTTCGGGCTACAGCGGTGACAGTGCTTCATACTACAGCGTCATGCCTGGAAGTGTGCCGCCGTCGCCTTACTCAAACATGAACGCCGGATCATACACAGGCATGACCTCGGGTCCAGCACCCCCACAAGCCTACAGCAACGTCTACCCAGGCATGGTTTCTCAGGATCCGCAGGCGCAATTTGGCTGGCCGGGCCAGCAGTATCAGCCTCCAGGCGGCTCGGCACCCTATCAGGGTCCTGGCCCCATGCAGGGTGGGTACGATCTCTCCGCCCAGTATCAGCGTGGCATGCCCTTCCAAAACGCAGGCATGCCGTCACAGATTACTCCGAAGATGGGCAACGCGTCTATGGTTCCGTACCAGGATCCGTACCAGCAGGCGCAACCGATGCCGATGAACAACGGCTGGTCTCCAGGGCCTCAGCAGCCATCGTACCCTATGGCGCAAGGCTCGTATCCGCCCTCTGGTAACGCAAGCCGACCCGTATCTGCACCGCATCAAGCACCTACTTATCCCTATGGTCAATTTCCCCCACATCCATATAACGGCAGGCCAAACCACAACCAGCACCCCATTCCTGGAAGCTACAACCGTCCGCAGTTCAATCCACAGAGCCAGACGTTTATTCCTGGTGGTCCTCATATACCGTACCAGCAACAGATGCATGGTCTACAAGGCAACATGCACCATCAAGCGATGGGACCAGGCCACAACCAGCAGCATCAAATGCCTCGCATGGTGCCTTCTGCCACTAGCACCCCATCATTCGGCTCACCACAAAGCATCAACAACTTCTCTCCGGCCATGCACAGGAATGTGTCCCAACCAATTGACAAGACGCACAGTAGCATCGCCAAATACGGAACGCCTTCAAATCTCCCCCAGAAGCCACCTGCTCCTGTAGCAGTTGCTCAGCAAGCTCCAAAGCTACATTGACGAACTCATGATCATGACTGCATTGCGGGTGCTATGGGTGTAATGATTTATTAACTGGGGCTTAGCGAGCATCATCCTATGGTCTCTACGTAGTTGAAATGGATGCGATTCACTAGGTAATCTAATCAAAAGTCTTTCTCACATTGGTTCATATTTGCGTCGTGACTACCTTCGAGCCGTTGGTCTTCACATCACCGAAAGAAGTCGGATGCTTCGGCGGTGGGTGAGTGTGACGTCTGCAATGCCTTAAAATACGATATGTCGCATCATCTTAACTTTTTGAGTCTAGTCAGGACAACTGCACTGCCCTTAAATTCGCTCGCCAAGGTGAAGATGCTGGGCGATCATGCCATTGGAGGCTACCATTGTCAGCCTTAAAACCTTGGCCCAAGCCACGCGTAAATATATGAGAACGCCTTGCTCGCATCGAGATTGACTTCATGGCTCTGCGATTCTCGTAGGACACCTGTGTACATCATGGTATGCAGAATCCAGTCGATTTATAGAGGATTATTCACACCGTTTACAGAAAATCGCGTTCACTTGGTTGCTGTACTTCGCAGCATTTCAGGTTGCGTGGGCGCTGGACTTCGCAACGACCAGAGGCCCGTTCTTAGTCAACAATGCGACCCAAAGCGATATTACCATTAACGGAATATGGTATGGATGCGAAATGATGTTACAGTTCATGAAAGAATCTGACGACAATTCACAGGTACTCCCTCTCGAACTCCACCACGGATACCAATGCCATGGACCCCCTCAAAGACGCCAAGGCATGTACGCGTGATGCCGCCCTGATGGCACAAGCCGGGATCAACACGATATATGTCATGGCGATCGATCCCAAGGTCAACCATGATGACTGCTTTTCGATCTTCAATTCTGTCGGCATTTACGTCGTGGTTGTATTGCGTAAAGATGGCGTCTTTGGCACGAGCCAGGAGGACTTTGAGAAGTCCTACACCACTGAGTTCCTCAAGGGCATGTTCGAGGCTATCGATGCTGTCAAAGGCTATGATAATCTACTAGGTTTTGATCTCGGTGTGCATCCCACATACGCGGGTCCCATGTACAATACGTCAACAATATCATATGCGGATACGATGAAGATGTACCGAGTTTGTCTCTCTACCCTTTCATCCGATCAAACCAGCTGATTTGTACTGCAGGCATTTGTTCGCGACACAAAAGAATACATCGCACAGAACGCCGCCCGACCTATCTTAGTCGGCACCACGCTGCACCTGATCCGCAACGACGAACTCCTCGATGCGTCTTACCAGACTGAGTCGCATATGTACTACTTTTACTGCGGCGAAGCCAACGATCCATCCCGCTCCGATTACATCTCCTTCTACAACATCGGCTTCTTCGAGACCTCGCCCGTCGAAAAGCAAAACGCTTCCTACCAAAGCTACCAGAAAAAAGCCGAAAAATCACTAGTACCCACCTGGTTCAGCTACATGGGCATCTTCGACGAAGCCGACTACGTCGAATACGAGCTCCGCCCCGACCTCCTCAACGACACACTCTTCCTCTTCAACTCCTCGAGCCAACTCGTGCGCCCCAACGGCCTCTTCACGGGCGGCGTGCGCGTCAGCTGGACAAACACAAACATGGGCTGGAAAGTCCCCGGGAAAGCGAACTGGGGCCTAACCACCACAACCCCTAATGGCGACGTGCAACTCACGCCCAACTACGACGCTTTCCGCTCCATCATCGACCAAGTCAATCCGGGCTCCTGGCTCAGCGGCACGCAGCGCCCCGTCCAGCCCGGCCAGGAACGCGCGCGCTGCGACGCAAACGCAAAGCAGATGGCGAATAAAACGCTCATCTCGCTGAGCCAAAATGACGCGAATAACATCACGCTCGCGACGGATTGGGCGCTACCGACAAGGCCGCCGGGCGTGGATGCGATGATTGAGAATGGCGTCGGGGCAAAGACGGGGAGGATGGTGGATGTTACGGTGACGAGTGTGGCGTTTGCGGTGAGGGATAGTAAGGGTGGGGTTGTTACCGATTTGGCGTTGAAGCCGAGTAGTAGTCAGGCGAGGGGGCCGACAGGATCGGGAGCGGCGATTGGGATGCCTAAATCGAGCGGTGAGTTGAGTACGGGGGCGAAGGCGGGTGTGGGTGTTGGGGCGGGGGTTAGTGGTCTGGCACTTATTGGTGCGATGGGGTTCTTGTTATTGCGCAGACGAAAGAAGAGAAAAAGTGTTGGGGAGTCAGATGAGGCTGTTAAGAAGACGAAGGATGTAGATGGGTATCACAAGGCTGAGTTGGCGGCGGGACGGGAAGTTGAGAAACAGCAGGCTGAGCTTGATGCGAGCGGGATAGGTCCGCAGGAAGTCATGGCGAGTGAGAGGAAGTATGAGTTGTGTACTGCAGTTCAGCAAGAGCCGGTGGAGCTGCCGGTCACGGAGAAGCCGGTGGAAGCACCGGGACGATGAGGGAAGGTAATGTCTGAATCATTGTGACATGCATTTAGCACGAATCGGAATCTCTGCTTTCTTTCAGGAGTGTTTGCTACCTTTCGCTCCTTCTCATCTCTGAAGCTACGCACTATTGAATTCGCTGTCAGTTCTTGATTTATATCTCAGTGGTAGAGGTCGTCATCGAAGACGGATCCAAATTCGGTTCCACTTGCAAGTCCCAACGCAGACTGATTGTCCAAACTTGGATTTCCCTCCTATCCTGCCGAATCATCGAACTCGCCTGGCTTGAGATCGAGCTACTCTGTGACTTCCGCTGGTGCGTCCGCCATAAAAGCATGATAGTCGCGCTCGTCTCGAATGTATCTCAGTGCATCGGCCAAGAACTGAGGACAGCACTGATTCAGGTCCTTTTCGAATGTTGGCTTGGTATTGCAGAAGGCGCCTACGATCTTGTGGCGAAGGGAAGAATGTTCGGTGGTATGCTCGTAAACGTAGTTGATCGTACCGACAGTAAGCACCAGGTCGGAGTTAGCCTCGACTTCATTAAATAGTCCACTGCTCGCAGGGAAGTTATCAAGCGCGAAGATGCACAGCTTCACCAGAGCCAGACCCGTAGGAAGGGGGTGATTGGGAAAGAAGCTCTGGCTCTTCTTCCTGTTCAACCATGCAACGACGATGTCGAAGGTCTCGATGTCGCAGTCTTCGATCCTGACATAGGAACCTGCGCTGTCTTTCGTGGTGGTGTGCCGAGTGGGACCTTCTTCGTGGAGCAAGTTGTCGGAAACATAATAGTCCTTGAAAGCTGAAGTCTTGATAACTCGGAAGCGTGTGACGCCGACTAAGGCTCTGTTATCGTTAGTGGCTTACACTAGATGAGCGACAATCTAGGTAGACTTACGGAGCCTGCATAGCCGATGGTTTATTGTCGGTCGAAGTCGCCATGGTAGAAAGTGGTGTAGGAAGTGTGGAGCAAAATATATCGGAGCAGCGTCTTATATGATCGCCCTGCTAGCAAGATGACGGTGAAGGCAGCTTGAACCTCAACAATCAGATGCCAGGTAAAGCTCATAAGACAGAATATGAGGGTGAGACTGCACCTTGAGAAGGATGGCGCGATCACCTCCAAAACTCTGCACTAAACCCTAGGCCGTGGTCAAGTAACGAGCTCGGTAAGTTTCAAAACTCCTGTCGGAGGTCAAGCAAGCTCTGTGAAGTCAACGAAGTGAGCGGGAACGCAAATGCACTATTCACTGAAGCATGTATGATGTGCTGATTGGCTGGCTCTGTAGATGTACCATGTAATAATACTAGAGATGAGAGCAATTGGATTCTGTAAAGTACATTTTGAATATCTTAGTGGTGTACGCTGTACTGTCAAACTTGGCAAATTGACACCCCAAAGGTCGTGGGGCTTTGGACTCCTGCAGAAGGAGCTTATATGCTCTTTTTCCGTTTCCTTCCGGATGTGATCCTCTCGAGATCTGCCTTGTGCAACATGACGTCCGCGAGGAACGACTTTGGGTACCGCAAGAGCCTGTCGCGCGTGCTCAAGGACATGTCCTCTGAGCAGCAAAACGCCGTCAAGAAAGACCGATACAGCGATGAATTAGATGTAAAACATTCGCAGACGCAATTGGTAAGTACCGCAACACTTTTCGCATCGTGTTCTGCAAATATGAATCGCGGTTTGGCTTCCAAACATATCGTACTCGCATGCTCTGTTATGTATGTGACCAAAGATACGAACATCTGCGTGCGCAGAGTAATCAAATTGTTCTTGCAACAGAAAGCATAAAGCTGATATATCTGCAGTAATGTAGACCAGTCGAAAATGCCGAGTGCGAACAGCAGTGGATCCGAATCGCAAAGTTTGGCAGTAAACCACCTCACGAATAAGTGAAAGGTTTGAATCGCGACATTGGAGGTCTTGGTGACAAGTGTTTCGTCTGATTTCGTGGGGTTGAGGGTGGCCAAGAACTCGGGGACTTTGGATTTGAGTATGTTTCGAGCGATGTAGAAGACCTGGGGAGTATCGCCGTCGATGACGGTGATCTGGTCAACACCAGCCAAGATTCTTTGTGCATGTTAGTGTATCAGTAATCATATCATGGATATGAAACTTACGGTGCTTCAGGCTCGCTGGTCGTCTCGGCCATATCGAAGCAGGGTGTATTTGGGGAGGGAGTGAAGAGGTAGGTGGCAGTATTTATATGGCTCACGTTCGGGATCGTTGAGAGGGGTTTAAAGAAGCCCAGGTGAGCGACAGGAATTCCGATGGTAACGTGAGAGAAGCCGATTGACGGACAATAAAACTGAACATGAAATAGGCACAGCTCAGTGGGAGGCAGGGTGAGATCGTGCCCGAAAGAAGAAGGATGCAACTACATCTAAGAAACTGGACAGAAGCAGTCACAAGCTGCTCATTTTTTGCAGAGATGCCGTGTAACAAGTACTACTGACCGAGCTCGCAATCGATCAGTTTGCAATTAAGTTTAATGCTTCGATCACACCTCAAGCAAACATTACCATCACAAGCCCATGAGTATTTTGCGGAACATGAGAAGCACTTTGCAGTCAAATCGGCATTTTTTGACACAATAAGATAGAATTCCCAAGACCCAAGGAACAAGAGAAGAGTGCCTGCTTGTATCCTTGCATAGGAAAAACCTCCCGTAGACGTCTCTTGGAGACATTCGTGAAGTCGCATTGATATGAAATGCAGAGGATAGGAAATGGCCAAAATAGACTTGCTTCTCCAAAAAGCATGCTCGTTCACAACCACTGCCCAAGAATGGTGTTCAAACAAACTCAACCCAGTCCTCAAGTTTGACCATTTCGCGGAAGTGGTGACAGTGTCTGTCGAGTGGATGCCGGGATCCGAACTGTGAGCTCCCATGTGACCGCATCACCCCGACGCCTTCCTCTTTTTCTTTGGTAGCTCCTTTTCAGTGTGTTGTTGATCCACGTTCGTACCTACGACTCGCGCGGAATCTTGCTCACTGGTCGCAGCTCCAAGTTTCTGGACCATAACGTCGACAAAGAAGTGTTTTGGGTATCGTTTCAGATATTCCGACGGGTTTGACAAAATCAATCCGCCATTCAGACGAGATCCAAGAGAATGACGTGAAGCGGTGAATGTACCGGTACCCGCCGTGCAAAAGAGATCCACGAGAACGGCGCGAAGTGGTGAATGTACCGGTGTGTTGTCATAGACATAGGTGACATGGTCCGGTGGTGTGAAGAGTGCGATAGGAACATGATCGAGACTGCGCTTGACAGACATTGCCCGCTTCTGGATTTCATCGATCACAGCTTCGCGTAGTGTGGGAATGCCATAATTCTCGCCAAAGACATAGGCATGGGCCAAACACAACCATCGACAGATGTAAACCATTGGAGAGGAAGAGCCAGTTTTATCCTCCAGCCATTTCACGAAATGATCGAAAGCTTCGATTTGAACATCAGTGATTTCGACAGCGATTTGCTCAGCCTGTTTCGTGGGATCGACAGCGCTCATGAAACCGGGCGCTTTGGAGTCAAGTAGGTTGCGCGCGATGTAGAAGATCTGAGACTTGCAGCCTTCGATGACGGTGATTTGGACGATGCCGGCTAGGCGACTAAGCGTAGTTTAGTGACTTCAATATCAAGAATGTGACAGCGTACTTACGGAGCATGAGCGCTAGAATCGACGTTGATATTGCTCTCAGCCATATTTGACGATTGTGGTGGTGGAAGGAAAGGAAGCTGAGTAGTGGAGGGAGATCGGGATTTATAGACCTCACGCACACTGGCGCGGCACAGGTGAGAGCGATTAAAGGAAGCTGCGGTGAGTGATGGAAGCAAGACCCATCAGGCGAGAGAAGCCAGTAACAAAGGGCGAGACTGTAGACGATCTTTGGAGAGATGCAGAACGGCCGATGTCCAGCTCACGATCTGTGCTAGGTAAGTAGACGGTCTTCATCACGGCTGGTCGAACGAAAGAGTTACATGGCAAGGATTATATTGTAGAAATACACATTTTTGTTTGCTAGCCATTGTAGGTGCCTGTCGGATATGTTCCCCAAGCACAAAAGCACTTGCGGATCTTTGGACCCGGGCCTCAATCCGCCCGCTTCCTCTTCAAGCCCATGAGCTCGGCACGATACAAGTGAATTTGCAGGATACCCTCTGTTTCCGCACCAGTTCCTTTCGAAGCGGCTAGCTCCAATCGTCTGTGTGTCACCTCGACCAAGAACACACTTGGATAGCGGAGCAGTTTCTCACAAGTCAAGCGCTCCTCCATGTCTGCAGCACAGAAACTGTCGACCAGCAATTGACGTAGGGCTATGAAGTTACTGCGTTTTTTTTCGTCGTAGATAAATGCGATCTGTTTGCGTGGAAATTGGTTGCCGGTTGAGCGACACTTGGAAGAGTCATGCGGTTCGCGATGATCAATATACGCTTGCATGTAGAGTGCCAACTGAGTGAGTGAAGCGACTTGTAATATCCAGATGTTGTACTTGTATCCGAAGATGTAGGTGTTCAACATGGGCATGATCCTGTGCCAGGCTTCTGCAACATACTCCACATGCAGAGCATGTTTGCTCACTGTTTTCGCAACATCTTTGTCGGTAGTGATGAGCCACTTGACAAGGAAGTCGAAAGTCTCAATGTCAATGTCGTCGATCTCAATTGTTCGTTCGGGTCGCTTCAAGCCTTCCTTGCACGGCGGGGATTCGAGAAAGAGGGGTGCGTGAGTCTTCAGTAGAGCTTGAGCGATATAGTATGTCTTGGTCTTGTCGCCCTGAGTGATGTTGAACTGAAGCACGCCGGCTCGAGCACCAAGATAAGCTACAATCAGCTCGAGAATCTTAAGCCACAGAGTGGCAGTACTTACGGGACTGAAACGCCATCCATGATAACGTGATTGGCTTCGGCCATCGTGCAGTGGTTCTTGTCGTTGTAGACTTGGAGCTCAGAGCAGAACGAGGCTTACTATATAGATCATTCTAGCGCGACACGGGAGCAGGTGAGAGAAATTGTACCGCGATATCTCTTCGACCAGTAGGTACGTAGATAGCTAAAGTGAGAGACGGTAGGGCCACATCCTGCAACCTTGACCATAAGTGAACGACGATTATGAATGGCAATACATCCAGTCGGGTGAACTGAAATAGGCAGAGAACTCTCAACAAAGCTTTCTGGTTGCGCTGGATACACATGGTTATGTCACTTCAGTAAGATACAAGCTCGAACAGTGGGAATGCATAGCGTTGAATGCCGACCACACAAAATTAGAAGAAGTCCAATGTTCAAAATTCTAGCTGATAGCATAAGACAGAAGAGCAAAATAAAATATTTGGTTTGGGATGGATTCGCATAGCCCTCAAGTGGGCAGGACCCTGAACCGAACCATGGAAATGAAGGCCCCTCAACCATCTTCCGTGGCTCTCGCAGAGAGAATTAATCTCGTCAGAACCGAGCCACGATACTCACGAAGCAAATTTTGCAATACAAACGCAAAGTTACACTCCTTCTCTTTTCTTCCTTGCACATATTGCTCTCCTCCTATACAACACAATCACACTGTCAGATAGCGTGAAGAAACCAACATATCTAACCATGCCACCTCAAACCCCCTCAACGCTGTGCACACCAAGGTCCGTCTCCCCGTCTCCCTATTCTTCTCCCACTAACCTCCCTCAGCGCCGCCTCCCGCATCGACCCCAGAATGACAATTCTCAGGGTCGGCTCAACACGCTACACCCTCAACACAGCCATGCTTTCGCTCCATTCTACCATGCTACGCGACTCTATCAAGGAGGAAGAATCAGGAATACTCCTCTGTCCAGACTGGTGGGACGTCGGAGCGTGTAAGCCCCCTCCCTTCCACCTCTAGTATTTTGAGTTAATGCGCAGCAGTCGACGTCTTCATCGACTGGATCTACACCCGCAGATTCCCCAGCACATACCGCCCCTGGGGCATCGAGCCGCCGCAGCCCCTCGACGGCGACGCTTGTGTTCGCATCTACATTTTTGCTTGGCAAATCGACGCCTCGGAGCTCCGCGCCGCCATAGAGTGCAAGGCAGTATCCTTCTTCGTGCAGAATGACTACTACGCCCCCTTCGACACGGTTAATCTTGCATTCTCTGCGTTGCCGCATGAGCATGTGATGCTGGAATTGCTGGTCGATGCGCATTGTCGCTCGTTTAGGGACGATGCGCAGGGGAAGTGGGAGATGCAGCAGGAAAGCAAATTGCCGGGTAAGTTTTTGGTAGGGGTGATGAGGAGGTATGCGAGGGTGGGGGCGAGGAAGGAACTGAGGGCGTCTGACTATCTTGGACATCGGAGTGTTAAAAAGAGGAAGAGGTGGGAGGAGGAGGAGGCGGTGGAGAGTGTTGAGTCAGGCGATGGAGAATAAGGGATTTGTGAATGAAGATGGTGTTGACCGTGGTAATTATTGGAGAGTTCGGTTGGTGTCTAGAAGATTCTGAATCGTTCAAGAGGGATTGTGCATGCCTTCGTGTCGTGGAAATGTAGTTTTTACTTTTGCGAAATCGTCGTCAATATCGATACTGGTAACTTACGTAGTAGAAAGAGAATTCATACGCCATTGGCCCAATACGTTTTTTCCTAGTCACTCAGCCCCGCTTCCCTAACAACCCCCTCAACTCCCTATCATTATCACTCCTCTCTGTCCCGGCTTCCTCCACCCTCTCCTTCTCCGCCTTCTCCCTCTTCTCCTTCTCCAACCTCTCCTTCCGACTCCTCGCGACATCGCCCATCAGTGCCTCCTTAAACGTGCCTCGATCGTCATCCAGTCTCTCCGCCATGCCGTGTCTCCGCATGCTCTCCTTGTGCCATGAAATCTGGCCGCCGTCGGCTTCGCGATGTTTTTGCGCATTGAGTTTTGCGGCGCGGATCGATGTGCGGGCGTATACAAAGAGGAGGGATGCCATGGTGAAGGCTGCCAAAGGAGCCATTATGGTGCGCCCATTGACGATACCCTTGTTGCGGTGCAGGCGGTTGGTGCTGGCCTTGGGAACTTCGGAGAGGCCATCGGCGGCTTTGGGCATGGAGAGTCTGCCGCCCATTTTGGAGGTTGAGAAAGGTTGGGAATTGATTTGAGGGGTGGTGGAGGTCAAAGTGAATCGGGGTTCGAGGTGTGGATGTGATAATGCGGTATGGCTTCACGGTATCGTATGATCGTTTGCTATGTGCCCCACAAGGTCGTGGATAGCTCGAATGTGCTCAATGGTGATCATGCTGTCTGTATTAGCTAGTATAAATATAGCCACGCGTGGTTGTATCTACAATTGGGTATGTTGGTAGCTCACGCGAGCTGGTGGTGTGCATGTGGTGAACTATAATCGATGAGGTAATGTCCGCGGCGGTGCCGAATGCGGTAAGGCGCAAGGAACCGGCGCAGGCCGAGGCTTCATCCCACCATTCGTCATCAACGAGCTTCGAAAAGTCGGCTTTCAATCCAAATCAATTTTCTTGACGCGCACACTTCCGACGCGTCCGGTGTGTTGAACAAGCTACACACCGATCTCACTCTACTATTCGCTCTCTAACAAGCCGCTTCTTTGACAGTTCCGAGCTTCTGAAAGCAAAACAGTCCAGGCCGTAGAGCTGGGCTTACTAACATCCAATTGACCATTACATTCTAGCTGCATTTGCGTCATTCTATAAGTAGAGCTTAGCACCCCACTTCGCGCTCTAATGCGCAGAACATTTGTCTGTAGGCTACGAGCTCTGTCACCGAGTCTCTGTTATACTGCCCCACCATCCGCCGCAAAGAGCTTCCTTGCACGATCCCACTTCATTCCTACCTCACGAATAACCGTGGCGTCTTCCCGACTGTCGAACCTCTCGTCCCACTTCTCTACCACCACCATTATGTCTTCAGCCACCAAGGAGTGCGACTACCTCGTGCTAGGTATCGGCAGCGGCGGTATTGCCTCTGGTCGACGAGCAGCCAAGCACGGCGCCAAAGTCATCGCGGTCGAATCGAGTCGGTACGGTGGTACTTGTGTAAACGTCGGATGCGTGCCAAAGAAGGTGACCTGGAATGCGGCTGCGGATTGCAGAGACGTTCAAGGACGCGTCTGCATACGGTTTCCAAGTCAGCGGGGCACCAGAGTTCGACTGGCCATACTTCAAGAAGAAGAGGGACGCTTATGTGAAGCGCCTCAATGGCATCTACGAGAACAATCTCAACAAAGACGAGATTGAGCATTTCCGCGGAAGGGCCAAGTTTGTCGGAAAGGACGAGGTCGAGGTTGACCTGCATGATGGCGGCGTTCAGCGCATCAAGGCGAAGCATATCCTGATCGCAACCGGCGGGCGACCGAAGCTACCAGAAATTCCTGGAAAAGAGCTTTGTATTAGCAGTGATGGCTTCTTCGACCTCGAGAAGTTGCCCAAGAGCATTGCAACCAGCGGTGCCGGATACATTGGTGTCGAGATGACCGGTATGCTCCACGCGCTGGGCTCAAAGACTCACTTCTTCATCCGCGGTGACAAGCTTCTCCGCACCTTCGACCCCATGATCCAGGACGCTGTGACCAAGGAATACGAGCGTCAAGGCATCAACCTCTACAAGGGCTCTCAGATCACCAAGGTCGAAGACATCGGCAACGGCTTGAAGCGCGTAACATACCAAGAAACCGAGTCGAAGAAAGGAGTCTACTGTCGAAGTTGAGGAGGGTCCCTATTCGCGACTGGTCGCGTGCCTGAAATTGAAGACCTCAAAGATCAAGGACTTTGGCATCAAGCTCAACGACAAAAACCACATCGTCACGGACGACTACCAGAACACTTCGCTGCCCAACATTTACGCGATTGGTGATGTCTGTGACCGCGGTTTCGAGCTCACCCCCGTCGCCATTGCTGCTGGCCGTCGCCTTTCTGACCGCCTCTTTGGCAACCAGCCCGACGCTCGTCTCGTATACGAAAATATCCCCTCGGTCGTATTCTCGCATCCTGAAATCGGCTCCATTGGTCTCACCGAGCCTGAAGCGCGCGAAAAGCACGGCGACCAAGTCAAAGTGTACAAGACGGAATTCAGCGGCATGTACTTTGCCATGATGGACCCCGAGCACAAGCAGCCGACGGCATACAAAATCGTCTGCATCGGCAAGGAAGAGAAGGTCGTCGGCCTGCACATCCTGGGCCAGGCAAGCAGCGAGATCCTCCAGGGATTCGGCGTCGCGATCAAAATGGGCGCAACAAAGAAAGACTTCGACAACTGTGTGGTACGTACCCTAAATCCCCTACACTTTTTGCTACCACACCTCCGCGCGCGCGCATGCAATGCCGGCAGCGGAGGAGTATTGTTTGTTGGGTTGCGGGGAACCATCAGCGCTAACATTCCCTTTCTCGTAGGCTATCCACCGCGTGTCTCCGCCGAAGAATTGGTACGTGTATTTTTAACCCCCCCGACAAGAGCACTAACTGCTCCGTATCACACCTGCTAACGAATGCGTGCACATCAGGTTACGATGACCTAGTCAATATGCTACCGCGGTGATCGCGTATAGATTAGATGTAGACCGGGTCTAAATAATCGAACCATGTTTAACGTAACGCGATATTGAAAATCAGCGTCGCAAACAGTGAGATGTCGAGTCGTGAAGCAAAGCAAAGTATTGCCCCTTTTTCCTTTTCGTCTGTCGGTGGGAAGACTTTTTCTCTCCCCGCGTCGACGTTTGTGCAGCGTTGAATTATGTTTTTTTTTTGCTATCGCACCAACCCCACACATTGTCAGTCAGTGCTTATGCACGACCAGCGTTCGTGAGGGCGTTTAAGCCACTCCCGTTGTCACTTTCCTAATGCGACGATTAGCTTTCCGTCGCCACTTGTGCATGCTCGGTGCGTGTGCATGTACCACCGGTTGTATTCCTGCGCTGCTGGATGTCGAGTCGGTGGTCGGATGAGCGGAGGCACGCGGGAGTGCCGACGTCGTGTGAAGGGGCGATCTTGATGCAGGCGCTGGAAGTGATTGACATGCGCGGGTTTGGGAGGTGGTTCGGCTTATGGGGTGTGACAGCTGCGGGAGTGCCGACGTCGTGCGATGCGGCGATCTTGGATGCAAGGCCCAGAGTCATTGGCAAGCTTGACTATGGCAACGACTTTGGCAATGTGTGTTTACTTGCGTGCTGCGATATGTTAATAATGAGTGAAGACTTTCTCTTACCAGACTGAGTGTCTCCTCGTTGGGCAGGAAACATTGCTTGTCCCGCGACTCGACACACTTGACTGCTGCTGATGTTCTGAAAGATGCAAGTCAGTACATCTGCTTGCCATGTAGATCGTATCAAGATGGAGACGGTGATGCTCAAGCCATGACTGGTGTAGGAGGAGCTTCTTCGACTATTGGCATGCACATGACGGTCTCGCCTTGATGCACATAGCCGTATGGACGTCTCAGAGTCGTAATTTTGCCCTGTCTCAACTAGCTGAACAGAATGATAGACACTGCACCACATCTGAATATCAAGAAAGGATGAGCAACTCTCACCACCCCTACCAACACACGACTCAGCTCGAAAATTTTCTCCAAATCCACGCGAGTGCAAATCTCTCGTGCCTGGGGAAGATCGCTTGCTGGCAGAGTCATGATTCCCTCAAGCGCCTCTGCTGCATTTGCGCTCACACAGCTGATAGCTGTCAGATCCACTGACCAAGTGCATGTCATGCATACGGCGGATCCGACAGTGGCAATACCTGCCAGTCCTCCTGTCGTGTGCACACCCAAGCAGCCACCCAGATGCCCATGCGAACGCTGTCATCCTGCTTCAGGGGCAATAAAAGCATCCAGCGCCTTCGTGCGTACGTACGTACGTGTGCCCATCCTTGTGCCGACAGCTACGTGGCATCCCTTGTCCTCCAGGCTGCCCTTCCCATCACCAGCATGCCGATGACAGTGCTCAACCAAAGCATGGGCAAGCGGCGCCGTTGTTCCACCGCCAGTACCCGCCTTCAGTAATCCGCGGGCGTGGCTCCCCAATAACGCGTGCAGGAGTGGAGTCTGGAGGAACTGAATTTGCAAGCGAGATATGGCAGTGCGTCGAGACGAGAGCGATACGCCCGTAGGAGTACCGTTACGAAGAGAGGGCAGTGTCCTCCCCTGGACCGGGTTGGTGTTTGCTATCGCGATCCTTGGCCGTGGATACGCTGTGCTTTGGCGCTGGGATCGTGGGTGATGGGTGTCTGGAATGGGCGGCGTGGTCCAGTGTCCATGCGTGATGTGATGACTGGCAGAAGCAGGATCCGTCTGTGAATGCAGTGGCTCGACTGCACTGCACTGTCCATGCAGAAGGATAACGAAACTTGCCGGTGCATCAGCACGTGTGCCTTGGGCATCGTTGTGCCAGTTACTAGCCCAACTCCCACGCATTTGACTAACCACGAGCACTGGAAGCGCCAGTAGGCCTGTGTCTCGCGGTCTTTCCCACTGTCTGGATGCGGTCGCTGGACGCTGCTCCAAGCTCTCCGGCGAACCATAAACCATGAACCATGGAGTGTTAACCCTCAAGGGCGTCGGGAACATGACTGAGTAGTGATGCCAGTGCACAGTGCATGAGCATATGTCGTGCATGTCGCCTGTGTTTCCACCGCCTGGAGGAAGCAACCGTGCAGAGTGACAGCTCACCATGTCATCCTGATGCTCGGGGGTCACGATGGTTCGGCGGTGACTGCTCAGTGAGCATGCACCAGCAGCGCCCTGGCAGTCCTCGAAATCCCACAGCGCCTGCATTAGCTGCCTCTCCACCGTCTGAACCAGCGTCAACCTGCACCGTCCATGCAAACCTGCTGCTCAACCAACCACCCTCCCTTGCCTCGCCGGTCTTGAGTTTTCAAAGAGTTTGGTTTGGTTCCACCGTCCATGCTTCTCCAGGCTTCCTGCCATCTCGCCTGCGCTGCTCGTCTCGCAACCAACCACAGCAAGTCCATCATCGGTGAGTAAGCTCAGTCTGAGGCAGTGCAATCCCCACTGTCCAAGCTCGCCCATCTCCACGGATCACCACGGTATTTGAATGCCGAGACGAGTCACGCATCCCAACGGTCCTTGACCTCTTTGATCCACGTCCGAAGGCAATCCTCAACGGTCGTGTAAACCTGCTTGCTCCAGGTCGATCCGCTCCACTGCTGGTCTGTGGGGTTTCGAAGGGAGGCTCGCATCGATCCTGCTGTGGCTCGTGATGGCAAGGCTTACGGCCGTCGGGATGGGGCTTCAATTGGGAAGGCAGTGTGGTTTCGTGAACTGGCATGGCAAGTTTTTGCATGCTGGGGTCGGTTTACAGACCGTTGCGATTGGGACAAGCTGGCATCCGAACGAACAGACGGTGTGTCGTCAAAGTCACATACCTGCGCAGTTTGTCATACCAGGATGTGAGAAAACCGTTGAGCTCGGTACTACTTGCCATGCGTTTCCACAGTTCACAGACCAGCAACCCGTGTTTTGACAGCTCACACATCAAGTTTCGTTAAACTCACATACGCAATTCCAGTTCAGCTCGAGCGTTGTGACAACCAGGGTGTGAGCAAAACCGTTGAGAGCTCGGATACTTACTCCTTATGCGTTTCGAAGAACTCACAGCCGAGTTTCGTCAATTGCACACTCCAAGTCTCATCTCGTCAATTCACACATCAAGTTTTGTCAAGTCACATCACATGTCTCGACAATTCACGCTCCTCATACTCACATGACCAAGTTTTTCTCATACATACCAACGCTCGAGCGTCTGTCATACCAGGATACTAAAACCGTTGAGCTCGGTTCTCGCGTCACAGAGCTCCTTGCGCGCTCGGTCACACTAGCCTACCGTGCTCTAACCTTACCTCCCTTCTAGAAAGTCGTTCATGGGGTTTGGTGTGCAGCTAGACTAGCTCAAATCACATGGCACCCAACTCCTCCCATGATCGACCCTTATTACCCGTTAAGACGGCGAACATCATCTAGAATAGCCGTAGAATGCAAGTGCGCCATGATCGCTGCTGGATGCGCAGCATCGCAGGCCCTCTCACGCGCGCGCCCAACTCCCCATACTTGCTTGCATCAAAACGTGGGAGAATCTCACACCAAACCTATCCGCCTTGCCCAGTCTTCAAAAATCTCACTGATTCCATTCGTCCCACGTGCTACCAATTGAAAATGCCGCACAGAACCCCCCCTGTCAGTTGATTTAATCCCAGCCAATATACACCAGTATTAAACACCCATGAGCCTGGATGAAACATATAGGCCAAACCGCGCGCACTAATCCCCTTCCTTTCGCTTTCGGATCGGTCCGGAATTCAGAGCTGCTCATGTCATTGTCACGTCAAGCTGTCAGGACGGGAAAGAAGAAAAAGTCGAGGGCCCGCTGTCATGGATTGCGGAAATGAAGGCAACCGGGTGCTTTCCTCGGTGCGTGCTGAGTGGTACGATTCCAAGAAATGTTATAGTTGAACTGTGGGGGGTCGGCCGGCCGTACTGCTGGTGATCGTACGCGCCCATCGCAGCGGGACAAGCGCGATAAGATAGCGGACACGATGTGTGAGGATGTGAGGGCTCAACGACCATCCATAGCACCACCATCTCTGTCGTCGCGCTCGCATCGTCACTGCGGCGTCGCACCGCGTTTCTCCTTGGTGGGATATCCCCCTTGGTAGCAGTGGCAGCAGCAAATGCCCTGCATTGATTATCCAAATGCTTCTTTCCCCGCGGTTCGCTTTCGACGTGCAGCATCGCGGGGTGCAGGCTAATCTGGAAGCCAGGAAGAAGCGAGCCGGGAAATATGTAACCTCACCATTATTGCGCAACAGCATGCGACAGAAAAACAAGCGAGACATGCACGCCAGCCCACCCTAACGGAAAAGTGTCCGATGAAGTTGTAAAGTGATATGTGGCGAAGGACAACTGGGGCCCGGTCTCGCGCGCTTCTGCGACGAAAAAAAAATCTGGCAAAAGAGTCCAAGCTTGTAATTACCGGTCTGTGAGGTAGCCTCGCGTAGCTGAAGGAGGGACCCTTCCATACCGTAGCTTCCTTCACACCGTATCGCGGGCTTGTTATCGTGAAACTCGGAGCTTTCTCCGACAGGCCACCGCCGACTTTATGAAATGACGTTCCAGACGGGGGTCGTTGCGAACGAGTGGGCACCTTATGTGCGATCATATACCCTTCTAGAATATCGTGCGAAGGAGAAGAGCCGCACTCGGGGCTTACCAGTACAGGGTCGGAGCGACTTGGCCCGGCAGATGTGTCCCTGACAGCCATCGATTCAAGTTGGCGATGGGCGACGCAACTTGAGAAATCAACTTTTGATTGTTGTTTGTTTAGCGACATTTGATGTCTAGTTTCGAGGATCATGTGGCGGGGGTATCCTTTCGTCAAGACTTGCCCTTCGCAAGTTCATGCCTTATGCGCCCTGCTGGCTTATCTGGGGTATTCATTTGAAGCGTGTAAGCACGGCTACATTTACCGGGCTAACGGCATGCAATGCGTGATGGATGCCAGGATTCAAGCTTGGACGCGAACACGAATCGCGGCTCGTTTGTGTGATCCATGGACCTTGACCTGCATCTTGCATGCAGCGCGTCCAAAAGAGGCAAGCCTTCTGCAGCTCCGATGTGCGCGGCACGCCTTCTGTAATGAGAGGTCGTTCCGGGCCTATTCCGGGTTATGCGTGGTGTGGATGACCTGCAACGTAGCTTGTATCAATATCTGTGAAAGTGCTGTGGACATTGCGCGAATTGGTGTGATGCATAGCTGGCATGATGCAGCTGGTGACAGTAATATTGTACAAGATTGCTAGTGTTTGCGGCCGTGATGATCATCCATGTCCTTGTGCGCCTTGAGACCGCCCAAATGGTCCTATTGCGCCGCGCTGGTATCCGACATCTCCCGCGCTTGTGACTCGAGTCATGGTATCCCAAATGGGTGATGTCGATGTCGTTACAGTATTTAGAAGAATTAGAAAAGAGAAACTGAAATGACAATCCTGCCGAAACCAATGCGAAATTTTAGGCTCGTCACTGCCGATCGGCATGACGAGGAATATGCCACCGTGCTTGTTGACGAGGAAGCGATCTTGAAAGGATCTAGCCACTCTGGCCACCCAAGAAGTAATCCAATTCACTGGGCCCACCACGGCTAACTTCATTCTCTGCAAGCTGTTCCAATAAACTCAGGAAGGGGTCCTTGCTGTCAGGGTCTGTGTGTACTGATGCGCCTGACGTGCTTCCTGCACCCGGGGTCGGCTGTTGGTCGTATGGCGTAGGCATGTTCAGCATGGGATCGAAATGGGTTGCTGACTTGTCTTGACCGGAGAGATTTGCCGTTCGCGGCACCGGGGACGGCGCGAGACTTGCGAATTGTGGTAGTGGTGAGAATGAAAAGTTCGGGCTGAATGGCATGGTCAGGCCAGAGCCGCTCGTGTTTGGAAGGTTCAGGGATCCGTGGTTAGGTGGTGGGGTGTACGGCGGTACCGAATGTCCGGCGGGAAGGTTGGCCTTAGTCTCGCCGGGACTGGCATTCGAATTGCTGTCTGAGGTGCCAGCATCCGAAGGTCTAGATTTACGAATGACGGGTGGGTGGGTTGCTGATGTTGGTGTGGGCAATGGGGGAGGCTGCGATTGGGTTGAGATCTTCGAGGCCGCGGTCGATCGTCGCTTCTTGTTCGGGTGGCCATTGGAGTACTGTCGATGTTGTGACGGAAGAGATCGCGGCTGGAAGTTCTGGCTGCTGCCGACAATGCCACTGCTCATGTACATATTATTACGCTGCTCAATATTGTAGGTTGCAAGACTGTGGATTATTAGCTTTAGACAAAGCAGGGACAGTTATCGTCCTACCTGTCGTGGATAGATTCAAGTGGAATATCAAGAAACGTAACATGAGCCCCATCAAAAATCTGGCCGGGATACCTGTCGAAAAAGTCCTCGAGCTGGAAGACTGGTGCGTAGCGCATGGGGTTACTGGCCAAGGATTTAACGAGCTCAGTGTGACACCCGTAGATCGTCTGTAGTGTGTCCCGTTGATGCTGTACGCCGGCCCAGATGCAACGTAGCTCAGACAGCTGCTGCATCTCGCGCGACAAGAATTCCGCGCTGACCGAGAACACCTCGCCTTCTCTTCCTGGATAATGTGCGCCATGCACGTGAATTGTTCCCGCTGTGCTCAAGCAATAGCCGACAAAAGCTGGCCAATCTATAATAGAAGAAGCGCCCCCTATCTCGACTAGCTCCGCAATGGCGTTCGCATGTAGGAAGCATAGATTCGTGGCCTCGATTTGCCAGGGTTGATGCTGGGAGGTGCTGGATAGCTCTGCTAGGTCAACCGGTAGAAAGGGGCGGTATATGAGGCAGTGGATGAGGTGGTAAACGAGCTTGCTGAGGACCAAGATAACGCTGTCCGGTTGGCCAAAAAGAGCTTCGATCGACGTAAAAGTGTCCTGAGTGTCGGAGGCCCATATGTCAAGCTCCTGTCGTATCTTGGATAGGGTGGATAGCGAGTGCCATGGGAAGTGCGAGTCGCCCTTGACGCCACCGGCTGCGAGGTAACGATTGGTGATGCCCAGGATCCTCGCTATACCGATCAGCATACCCATACTCCCTTGTCCACCTTTTCCAGCACCGCCCAAGTACTGTAGATTGCAGCCGCTCGGAAAATAGTCTCCTTCTAGTGGCATTGCACCGGGGTGCAGCTGCCAGCTGGGAAGACGAAGCACAATGCATTCATCCGCAACCAATGACGGGCGCTTGGAGCCGGTTGCAGAAAAACGATCCATGAGGTAGCAAGACCAGAAGAGTCGACGTCGGCCTTCTCGCTCGGCGGGGGTGACTTTCATGCCAGCCGGCAGTTCGCGATGCAGGTCCAGTGCGATGGCCATGCTGATTGCAGAAGCTGGGGAAGGGAGTTAGCGCAACGCCAACGTCGGATGTCGCTAGGCACCTACTAAGCAGCATGAAAGTCTTCTTCCCTTTGCCTAATTGAAAGCTCGCTTGGGAAAGCAGCATCAGCGTCTGCAGGGCCTCAATGGACGGCTCGTCAATATCGAGCTCTAACCGGGCGCGGCGCGCATACTCCTGGCCGATCTGGACAGCCGAGGCGTATCCTCCGAACTGGGGTGCATATCTGGAGAAGGAGGATTAATAGCAGTCGCTATAAGGCAGGGGTGGCGAAGTATTACCTGGCGCCGACAGCGTATATCGCGTAGGCTAAGTGGCCCGGCAGCTGATTGGCCTGGAGTCGCTGTCTGGTAGTGGCTTCATCAAGAATGTAGTACGGCTTGCCGTGTATTCTGGCAAAGTACGTGTCGAGCAGTAGCTCGGGAGAAAGTGGTGGTGCTGATACACTGGCGGATCGTCAGCAATGTCACCGCTCCACAAGGGCAGCAGTGAGCGGCGCACCTAGGCTCAACCGGCG